GACGCATTGTTACGTGGAGCGCATTGCAGTCTAGTCAAACTAGAAAAGCAGTCGGTTTTTAAATGCCCATGGAATCAAATAATCACCTTATGCATGGCTCGGCTAAAACATGGTTCTTATCAAAGTTATTTCGATGGGACTAGCTGCATTGAACGTACGCCCACAGCACTTGCCTGTGATGTTTGTTTGACCCCTACCATGTTGTAAAATAGAAGACAAATCGTTGGAACAGTGAATTTCGACAATCTATACAGTTCAACTGAGCAATTATTTGGCAGCACGCATTGCGTGGTTCTTCGGCACGAAAGGGGATATAGCAGTCTATTGACTATACGGACGTCTACAGTACAGAAGAACAATGAATTCGTATTGATATATTCTTTGAGCCTTAAGGCATTGAATATGTTTTTGAATGTAGCAGAAGGAAATTTCAAATCAGTAACTAAGCTCTAACACATTAAAACAGTTCGTCAGGATTGAACTAAGTCTGGAGAACTTATATACTAAATCGCCTGTTGCAGTCACTGGTTTAACAAAGTCGGTTGTCTTACAAAAAGTAAAGTTATCAAAACACACATTTTTATAAATACCCTGTTAGTGTTATAATTGCAAAAACAGTACGACAGGATTTATTTAAAGCCCAATTTTGTGGTTATTTTCTATTTATATAAACAACTATCTGTTTTCGTGTTGAGCTGCATTTTCATTACGGAATGATGTAGAAATGGTTGAACATTTTCAGAGGAACTTTGCAAGAAGCGAGGTTTGACTCAACAACGAAGAGCAATTTGAAATGACGGTGATATTCACGGAGAATTACGATAGAATTCAAACGTAGATTTCCGCCGGCCTGCATGCATGTAGGGGCACATTCAGTGTAATAAGCATAGTCTACTGCGGTGATGATTATGGCTCTAACAGTTCGTGGTTGTTGACGCAGTATAGAAATAGTTTCGAAATCAACAGTCATTTGACCTTTTTTACATGTGATATCACGGTGTTGTCGTAGTCTATAGTGACCTTAGTTTCATCATATGCGATGTATCTGCCCAACCAGTAAAAGACATCATGAAACACCTTGCTAATAGCGAGGTTTTCGTTCGCTATACATACTCAATATGTATGCTTTATATACAGTGCACTGCATGTACAGTCATGCAACTTCTGCGTGAGCATCACGCAACCACTGATCTCGGTTGAAACTGCAGTAATAACAGCAATATATATTGTGATATTTTCATGCTTATATAGTTTAATAGTCTTACAGTCTTGGTGTTGTTGCACGTATAAATGCAGAACTTACCCAAATTAAGTCGAATGTCACTGTTTTTGCTTAAAAAATGTCAATTTCAGTCACGCTGCTCGCCATGGCTAAGAGAAACCACATTGACAACTGTGCACTCCGCTGTTTTTTAAACAAAAGGCCAACATCTTTGATCGATCTATCCTTTTACATAATCATTTTAAAATGTTTTGAAAACAACGCACCTCTTTTATAGTGTAAGGCGCTTCAACCCTTTCTTCTTAATTTCTTTTTTCATTTTGAATGAGTTTGAAATAATTGTGTGTTCTCGTTCCTGCCTTAATTATACATGGTGGGTTTTGGTTGGCTAAACAACTGAGAGCTAGCACTTAAGTCTTAAGGACTTTCTTTTTTAATTGCTGTGGATGCTTTTTTACCCTAATTGATGTGCTTGGTCAGTTGCCTAATGGATTCCCTATTGAAAAATGTTGTAGAATTTTTAAACTTTTAAGAGTATAATAGGCAAGTGTTATTATATACCTAGTGGTGAAGTGCTATAATGATGGTTTATGAAAAGAAGTTTTTTAACAGATACTAATTCAATCTCCTCATATTATACATATAATTGTCAGACTCTGAGACAGTATAGCAAATGTATAAGATGGAATGAGAATAATGATCCTCCTAATTGCCAATATTGAACCAAGTTATCGAAACCCTACTCGTGAGTATAATAATCTGCAAGTCGAAGTCTATGTAAAATATGTAAACAATCCTGGCCAAATGTTTTCGTAGACAAAGTGATAACGAATGTTGCCACCCAGACAATTTTCTTGGTGGTATACATAGGGTATTGTGTTGTCTAACATTAAGTGAGGTCAGGTATAGCAAAAAGGTTAAACATTAAAGTTTGCACAATACAATTCTTTCCCCTAACATGGTGAAACTTTGTTTATAATTAAATAGCCTTCGTTGACCTCTTATTGTTTAATGTTTCAAATCATATTACATCCGGTTATATAGTTTACATTGCACTTTTCATGACTTTGCTAAAATGTTTCATTATAAAGAGGTCAAGATTATAACGTCAAATTAATTTTCACATATGATCACCTATAGAACTAGGATAATCGTTTAATTAATAGTTAAAAATAGTTCAGCGCGAAGAGACAATGCATCGATGAAACCTTTACGAACTTTTCAGTTGTGTTGTTTCCGATATATGCATATGCACTACAATCAGAAACAATATGTTGTCAATTTCAAGCCCGGGAAACCAAATGTTTAAGGACACACGTTAATTATTAGACCTCGTAGCATCGCTAGTTTCTCAAATCACTTCGAAACAAAGAGTTAGCGCAAAATATATATCTCAGCACCAAGAGTTTCTCAGTATTTACATCCGCTATAAAAATATAATATAGTCTCATGAAAATCTTCCAGGGGTTATAAAAAATCCACTGATCAGGATTAACTTTGGCATGATTTAGTAACCAAACTCAATCAAGTATACTATTATAATTATAATGTTATTTAGCGTGAGATTATTATTAATTCTCGTCGGGTTGTCCTATAGCTTTTGAAGGTGAGATTTGTGCCCTACGATCTTTCAAAATTACATTGGATTTAATAGCACCGTATAAGTATAAAGTTTTCTCAAACTAGTCACCAGTACAGGGGCAACAATGTCCATATTGGATCATGATTGTGTTCGAATTATCATAACATATTAGCGCACTAATATATCAAAGTTGCTCCTCTTTATTACCGATTTATAATTCGTTTTACGGTCCAAATGCTAGAAAAAATCTTTCGAGTATTCTAAACCGACACTCTAAACACACAGATTAACCTCGACTATACATTCCTATCTGTTTACGCCAATTTCCATAGATGTATATCGAAGTGAATTGCGCGTCATTTTCGTGAACTGCCACGCGTTACCGCTATTTGAACCATCGCAAGCCTACCTTACTCAATCCGAGGCCTCTCCTGTTTGTTAGATGAAAGATGGTTATCAATTCTCCCCACAACCTTGACAAAGCTAGTGTTCTTCTTTGTTGTTCCTGTTGCCAACCTAGCGACTTGCGTTTGGAAACACCAGAGCGGTAAACGGATAGGTTCTGCAGCACTTAGCACCAGGAAACTTGGTTAAGAATCGCGTCAACGTCTTGCACAAATCTATCGGTTTCTGCCCACAAACCGGCGAAAACAATCCACCATAATTCACAGCGATTCTATGTAGTTTTCTCCTTCGAAAAACAAGATAAATTAAATACGTTTAAAAGGAATCACCCGTCGTTTTCGATTCAAAACAAATCGTTTGTTAGTGTTTTGATGATGTCTTCGACATATATGGTTGTACCCCGTAAGGAGTACTTGTAAATTCAGAGAGATGGCCGAAGCTTACCTTGTTCCAAACGCCAAGTTTCAACTTGACAAAGAGCCAGCTAGTGAAACCAGGCAGGCAGAAGTAACTGGGGTTGAAAACGCGACGTGAATTATCGATGTGTTGGTAGGTGGTTGTCCGTATGAGATAGGGATGTTTAGTGTCTGTTATCCTGCGATATCTTTCCGCGCTATTTGCTGCCCCGATTTCCCCTACGACCGATCCTTGCGGCTTAAAATACTAGGAACTTTCCAAAAACCAATACCGAACATAGGTGTTGCGACCCTTTTGAGCATTTGCATAATGTAATTAAGCTTGCTGTAAGTTTCCGGACATTTTGTGTCGAGGGAATGTGGGTTTTGCCTGTGATTGACAAATGTCCTAGTTTCTCGCTGGGATGCCATTCTTCTGTATAACATAAGGACAGTGGGACATCGTATATACATACGTGCATATGTAATGAAAGAGTGGTTGGGTTGGTTTTAGCGCGCTCTTTCGTATTCCGCTGATGCTTCAGTCGTTTAGGTCTAAGGCTTGAGATCGGAGTTCAGGATTAAGGTTGTCGGACTAGAGTTCGATTAGGTTCAAAATATTTTGGTGAAATGACAGTTTTTTACACGGAAATTGAACCTGGAATTTTGAGCTGATTGGGCATGGGAACGAGTTTGCGAACTGGTTGGCATTGTATTTATCTATAATACTTGCACATATTTGTAAAAGGTAGTAACATATTTATTACATGGTGTGCTTTGGTTTTCAAAGGAAGGTCATTCATCATGCAGGAGATACAAGTACTCGCTGTTCTAATCTACGACGCAAAGGCGCGTACATTTTCGGAGATCGTAAACTGTTTTTCTTTAAACCAAAATCGCAAGGTTTGTGTTTAATTTTGATGAAATATTTCGAATTCAGTTTCTGTCTTGGGTAACATATTAGCACAGAAGGCGGAAAACGGCCGCTGGCATAAAACAATAACATGATTACCCTGCAAGCATTGCATATCTCATCATGCTGTTTTGAACATCTTTCGAGGGTTTTGCCGGGGACGTTATGGAACAATGTATTGCATTGTAGGATTGTCACGCGTGGTGTATAGGGTAAAAAGGGGTTCTGCTGCTACATACGGGTGGTAACAAGGGTTTTTTAGTGATGTAGTTCTCTCAGATTCATCTTCATTTTTGAAATGACCTCCATCAAATATCTTAAGCCTTCCTTGGCATGGCGACCATAGTAGTTATGTCGGTTTTGTGTCAACATTGTTATTACTTAATTATATTAGTCTCAGGACAGTTCAAAAATACCAAACACAGACCTTTGTTCGTGGTAGACAGAAAATTAAAAACGCTTTAAACAAATTAAGCACATGATAGCCTTCATCGTTTTCCGATACACAACTGATTTAGAACTTGCAAGACAGCCCTTCTGGACCTGCTTAGTTATTTAAACGATTTGGCACATCTTGATACAATTCCCACTATTTACATGACCTTTAGCTACATTGGTTAAACAGTCCATTTTTAATTTTGTTTACTTCACTAACGATTAGTTCCAGTTAGCCGATTAAATATTTACATATGTGTCCGCCGCACCACCAAATATGTCAGCCATCTTGTTTAGTTCAGTTGCCTTCAAACTATCGATCTTCTTTTTAAAAGGATCTTGCTCGACCAGCTCAGCACTGGTCACATGCTTCAATTCAGAGCATGCCGAAGGCCGTTGCAAGCTATGATTCTGGTCTGGTGCCGGCCGCTCGGATGTGGTTTGGGCGTGATGAAAATTAAGAGGGTGGTCTTGGTTTGCAGGCGATACTAAATCAGTGAAATTTGCCCCAGAACACGCGGGTTGCTGTGATAGGCTACAGATATCATCCATAACCTGCTCTGGAATCTCCCCTATATCTGAAGTTAGAAAAAACCCGTCATTAGAACACTTAGTTCGCACGCGGTTTCCCCTGCTATTTACGATAGACTTGGTGTAACATCAGGCTTTCCGCGTTTGACGTCACTATCAGAAAGGGTCTGTTCTCGGAAATCGTTGTATCCCTAAACTCCTCTCAATGGTCTTGCCACTATATCCAATTCTCCATACAGGTTCAAAGTTGCCATCAGTAATCATGGGCGTGAATTACTGACCTTGTTTGCTAAAGACTAGTTCCCGTTGGACTAAATTTTAAACATCTTAAACTTGCTTTTGGAAGTGCATCTCAAACTTAGTGGACTTTGGTAGCGAAATATTGTGAAATGTACATGTTTCAAATATTGCCAGGTTAGCTTGACATCCTCCATTACGTGCGGGAAGTTGGGAAGTTGATACCTTTTTCGAGAATTTGCTGTCAGTGTTAGTTCTGCTGGCGTTCTCTTTCGTTGTAGCCGATCATTGAGACAAAAACGCGACTATATATGAACTACTGCTAAGCTCAAGGCACAAGATGTATTTATTTTTCGTACCTGAATATGGATAATTTCCTGTGTTGGTGATAGAAGTTAGCGTAGGGTCGATGTCTTGTAATCCATGATGATGGATTGCACCGTTGTGATAGGATCCTTGGTTCGCATGCATCATGACTTGTTCAAAACCATCTGCTTGATTAAGCTGATACCGACTTCTTTCTGTATAAAAGGAATATAGGAATGTTGATATGGAGCTCGTTCAGGGCCCGGTTGTACCGCCCTGGTTGTACGAAAGCCGGATAGCGCTGTCCGCCGGATAGTGGTTTTTCAATCACGCGCTTTAAAATCGCTTGTTGTTTGTTATAACTTTGATTAAATCTTAGTATTCCTAAATTGAGGATCCTCTTTAACATTTGTTGGTTCCAAAGCTGAAATTTTATTACTCTTCTAGCATTTTGAGATCGGTTAAAAAAATCACTATCCGGTGGATAGCGCTATGCATGCGGCTTTCATACAACTGGCCCCAGGCCTCTAGCCGCGCCTGCACTACCCCATACGCATTTGGAGATTTGGCATCCAGAAGACGAACCACACGAGCACTTATTACGAATAAAATATCTGCGAATTTCTTAAAGAAATTTTTCCTTATTATATCCTTACAGCTCTTGTCAGCTATCTCATATCAGTGGCTAGGCGTCAAAAGCATTGCATCGGCCTCGCAAAAGCGTATTGTGCTCCACCGATAGTTTTTCTCTCAAAGTTTTTTCTCAACTGTTCCTGGCTCGAATTTGAGTGGTGTATGATTTTCTCTCGAAATTAAGCCTTTTAAACCCTTTTTAAAAACTTATCCTTATTATATTTTACACAATGCTGCTCACGATAACCCATGGCTGTGTTCAAATTGCTACTAGGCTGCATTAGGATGAACTAAATTATAGTATTAAGTACTATCTCTGCATGAAGATCAGAATTAAAGCAATTTAATCGTAATAGTCGTGAACAAGTGATTTTCAGCGATGTGAAATAGACCGAAGGTAAATATGTCTTAACCCAAGGTATTCAAATTGGTCATTGTTGACTTGCACACGTTTGCACACACGTAACAACAGTTTATCACATCAACCAGCTTGACATTTTCTACGACTGGATGGAAAACCAAGAATTCATAGTTTTTCATACTCTAGATTGCCAATACTATAGACTGATCAGATTTCAGATCAAGTATGATATAATTGCGACAATAAGCCACAGCGTCTTTTCGTATAAAGAAAGCTATATTAATAGTTCATTTCTCTCCCCAAAGCCAAAGGTATACCAGACTAATCCATTGTCATGCGTATATCCAGATTTAGATGATCTTAAAGCTCTGAACTCCTGCATCGTACAAATCAATGTGTATTATACCAGTGCTATTTTTTTCACTGAACGCCAAAATAATGTTAATTATGGGCTTAGAAATTCCTCTAAACATTTGCACTTTCATTTCCAAAGGAATTTTGACCACCGGCGCGGTAAACTTTAATTGCCTGCCTCTTAATTCACGGCGACAATTTGTCAACTTGCGATTTCGAAAAACGAAATCTCGGTCTATTTTCGACGGTAGGAAATCTTGAGTGTTTTTCACTTCCTGTTCGTATATGGCACAATGTGATATTGCTTTTTTCATCGCATAAAAGATAGCGGTCAATCTAAATGATAATTTTTTGCAGAATTTTCAACTATGCCAAAAAAATTGATCAGAACTTTGCCATATATTGTATGCATGATCACCATGGTCTTCGTAACGGTGTTTATATTGCGTCCGATACAGTTTTAAAAAAAACAATAGGAAGAATTTAACTCGTCATTATTAAACCGTTGTGAAAATGAAATAACATTACTAATATAAGCAGTACTTCGCTGTGTTCCGCCTACATTATTACACCTAGCACTATTACGGCAAAAGTGAAAATTCCTTTCCGAGACTGCTGAGATATTTGTCTCATTAATAAACTGTTAATACGTTATATAATTCTATGCTGTTAGCTAGTGGATTTCGAGACAAACAAAGCACAAACTATTCTTTACTTCATGGGATTACTATTTGTATGGTAACAATTTGGAAGGCATATAGGTAAAGTCTAAAGAAAGCTTTCATTAAACTGCACGTATATTTATATTCGCGGGTTTGAGACCATTTTTATTGCAATAATATTTATCGATAATCTTTTGAACTTTTCCGGAACTCCTCGTTTTAATTTAGTTGAGTTGGCGTTCGATTAATGCGATTTCGCCAGCAATACCATACAAAGTGTATCAGACGACACACGGGCAGGAAAAATATGCCTAAAATTCATCTAGTCAAAGCAGAGATCAAATGATACAAATTGCTATAGTCCCTGCATGAAAACTTAAGAATTGTACAACGCAGATTATTCTTCCTATATATTGTACGATGTTGACTTTAGTATAACCTACGTCCGTTTTGCCAAGTGGAGTTTTTTAACAAAATAACCTAATAAGCCACTACCAAAATAATCCATTACAAAAATCTTCACATCATCTCTTACCATACTGAAACATCCCTGCAAAGGAGCAATTCGTTTGAACGAGTGTCCTATGGTCCAGAAATTTAAAAACCCTGCATGCATGCGGTCCTTTCGGGATCCGCTCCTCTCGTAACTCCACGATGTTTCTGCAAATATTCAAGTTCATGCGAAAATTGCATTTCCAAGATTTTGGATTTGGCTTGTCGATGTTCGTGCGATATTTTCCCGAGGTGATCGCCCACATTCTGAAGAGGTTTGCATCCTTCTCCAGCGTCCACGTTCCTCGAGATTTGTGAGGCCATCGTATGATAGCTGTACGCCTGTTACGATCCTTCCATTTCGCGTCTTCGCTGCATAGGTCGTTGTCGAGAACGTGAACGAGCCAATCTTTGAATCTAGGTTTACGAAGAGGTTTCGACAGGGCCATGGTAAAAGGATTAGTTTAAAATGGGTTTGCAAATCGTCTCATGCACGAGTGTGTGGCAGGCAAGGTGTTTATGCATGGTTGGACGGATCTGTGAGTATTTGTACCCAACTTCCATCACTTAATATCTATATGACGTCACTCGACTCACGCCGTCTCTTGAACAGGAGTTTTTTCAATAATAATATATATGACGTCACTCGACTCACGCCGTCTCTTGAACAGGAGTTTTTTCATCGGTGAAAATTGTATATACTTTGTGTCATACTTCGTACTAAGAATGGGTGACCATACACTTAGCGTAATTTACGATATATAAACTATATGTATACATTCGCTGCATCATAATATTTTTTAAAATCCAGCTTTGTTTAATATGCTTTAAAATGCTAGTTATGATACAATTGTTTTACGCAGAACAAAGTCGATGGTATATGTATAGACAAATATATGCCTCCGGTTCGAGTATGTCCTACTGCATGATATTTCATATGTCGTACATCATATATTTCCATCAGTTCGGTTCAACTTCTTACTCCAGCTAGAATTGTTTAAGATATCATCAATGCATGCAAATGGCTTTAAATTTCACCAAAATAGGTTTGTTTGTATATATCATACAACAGAATATATATACGATAGTCCGTGCCGGAATTGAGTCTAAAATTTCTTGTAACATTTGGCCATCCAATAAATATATTTATACTAGTTTTGGTAGTATAATATTGAGCCTATGCAAGTGTCTAAATTTAAACTGTTTAAATTTGTATAATGATTTATATAGAATATCATTTAGGGAGACGTTATTAATATATAAGCTGGAACATACGTTATATAGTCCTTCAACGTGAATAAGTTTCGCTATAGAAAAGCCAGCTCTGCGGGTTTGCATGCATGCATTATATAAATTAGGTTTATGGCGATATACACTGCGTAGATTTTAGCTGCCCGATTCTTGAAAACTGGAAAGTTTCATGAACTATATTGTAACATATATCTTAGACAGATGTCTGTATTTCATGGAATTGGTTTACACTATTCTTTTAGGGAAAGTCCCTGTATTATATTAGGAAGCGATTATATCACATGCAGGTGATATATTTTTTTAACTAAGGAAGCTGATACTGAATTTATATATAATGTGTGTTAATTGATTCTGGAATGTTTTTCAGCATGTTCAAAATGAAAATGAAATTGCAAGAGAAGGTATAACGAGCGATTGTGCTGCAAAATTCCGCTGATATATTATTGTCATTCCTGTGCACCGCCGAGAACATCCAGTTCCTGTTACAACAATGTCTGGATAACTGGATTTATCCGAGTAATCCTGCATAATTGCAGCCATGAATCAAAAGCTGATTCAGTAAATACATTCGACCCAATTTTAATTAATATGAACACGATTTATTCCGTCGTTAGGAAGATTGTATATCGGACCATTTAATATTAGAGTATATAAATAGGCCGGCACCGTGAAAATTTGCAATCAATAAGTCCGCCGCACACTGGAGTAAACAGCTAAGCTGAGTGTCACTCGTGACTTAACGTCAGGAAATGTACAATGTACAAATGTATAAGAAATGTACAAATGTGAACCAGTGAGTTTTTCGAGTGAAAATTTACAGACACTAATTTCTGCGGTATTAAATAGGCCCGTATGTATAACAAAAGCATTGTACATAGTATATATGTATACAATTTGCAGCGATGTTATATTAGCTCATATATAGTCTATAGACATGTTTTCATAGGCCGGAATCTAAATTCTAGCTTAATTTTCACTGCCTCTGAATTGTGGTGAGAAAACATGGACATGCATGATCATGGACATGGTAGAGATTCTCAAATTTGTATGTGTTGTTTGATCACCTAAGCATTTGCCTATGTCTATGAGGAAGTATAGCTATACTGTCATTACACATCAACTGCAATAGCATATGCTCTGATTGGTATCCTCAAATGTAGTGATGCATTTTTACTATACCTATAAGGCTATATGTTGACAAAGCCTTTGATGATTATTATCCTCAGGTAAAACTATAGCAAATGGTAGTGTTTTATAGTTGAAAAAAGGTCCGAACTATTTGAAATATACGTATATGCATGAAGCACACGTATGGTGGTGATCCTAGCAGTCACCCTTATAATCTCTCGTAGCGAGCTTCTGTCGTTGTATGTTAAAATACATAATTATATCAATTGAAATCATTGGCATTGCTTGGCTTGTGTCGACAGTAAAAATACATATCCACTTATCGCGTCCCTGCATGGCGACCCCGTATAGCATGTAGCCTATATACGATAATCTATCGTGTGATCTTTGTCGGAACAACAATTATACCTGAAAATTTGTCTCAGTGGATCAAGTAACGCAAACCGAAACCTGCATTTAATTTCACTATACACTCGTGCGCATGCAACAGTAAAATTTAACAGAATCAGCATTTAATTTCATCACTCCATCAGCTTTTCTTTTTACTAACAATTAAAGAATGAAGACATCTTACATTACAACTAGAAATTTCACACACATGACTATACTTAGAAGTATTTTTTCTATTAATTTTTAAGCTCAATGCATGTATATATACATTGTAAGTCTTCTCAGAATAAATCCACATACTATATATCTGAGGGCCACAAAAAAATTAATGAACCTGCAGAGTTCTAGCCAAAAAATAAGCTAGCTGGCTCACCGGCGAATATAATGACAGAATGAACCCAACAGTCATCATTTTTATGGTCCACAGAAATGAGGTATTTTCGTTTTCAGTTTCTATATAATTCACTACGAATAGCGATAAAACTGACACTCGGATTTCTGTTTCCGTTAAGTCAATCCGTAATCTTATGCCAAGAGACCTGTTTATACTTCGAGGAATGTCAGTATATCATTTGTGTTTAGTGCTTTACTTTCACATATATATATTCTGGAGGTCTGTTTACACGATCCATTTTTATCGGATCCAATTCACTTCTGACGTATTGAATATAGTCTGTCGTCGATAAAGCAGCACTGCATTGGCCATTTAATATTCTGCCCATGCATATACATTGCAAGTCAACAGAAACATCCAACATGCAGAAATTAATATAATAGATCCAATCAAAATAGATCGTGCATGCGAATATGTCATGCAACAGAGCTTGCAAAGCTGATTTCCAGTTTTGCGGGGGTTTTCTCGATCTTTTGCACGCTCCAGAAAGCTTAATGCTTCAAAATCGTGAGGTTAAAATTTGAAGGCGAACAGCATAAAGAATGCTTTCCAAAGGTAACATAAAATTGAAAAAAGCAAATTTTGCGAATAAACGAAGGTGAAAATGTGATAAATATACAGACCGCTTCTAAAGTTGACTTTTAAGCTGCATAAATATTACTCCTTTAAATCTGGCCATTTCAGAAGAATATTACCATGACGCTCATGGATCATCAGGGTAACGCGGTGATCACATGGTCGACGTGTTTAGTTCCGAAAGTGATCATCATGCAAAGTTCGTCTTTTCAAATCCCGAATATGAATATCGCATTAGGTTCGCTGCTGTTTAAGCCAATTGATAGTTTAAGTGAAACTTCGGTGTTTCAAGGACGATGTTATGTTTACAAAGATTGATGGTGAATTTGGAAACATGCAGAATTTTTTCCTATACCGCGGGTCCACTCTTCCAATTGTGAAAAATCGACCGAAGCAGGTCATTTTTCTTGACCGAACACAATTTAATTGAAAAGACTATATTATCAAGCAAAATATTTCGTTCGATGCATGTAAATATTCTATCGAATGAGAAACCGCCTTAACGTTTACTCTTACAGTGGAACGTATATCGCAAAGTGCTTTTTTACCGTTTTTTCTTCGAAAGTCAATCAATAGCTGTTGCACTTTCAAGACGTTTTGTTTCACCAGAACATGCTTTTTACTCTTTATGTTTTTGAACAGCATGCTGTGTCAGCTGCATAGTTAACCATTTTGAACTTGTAGAAATGAAGTTAGTCATCTGGATGTACGTGCATAAGAAAAACGCGCCACTCGCTAGCAGCCTTGACTTATCAAAATACATATATTATTCATGTGGTTTGCAGGTTTCTATGTCAGTTGACAACAAGCGTGCTTTTTTACAGAAGAAAGCGAATCGAGGCTTTGCAAATCACACAGTCTTGTGTAAGTCGCCGACTTGTTATCGTTTCCGTTCAAAGCAAACCCATTAAAAGCGGGCTTACCTCATAACAATTCAACAAACGTACAACTATGTGCATGTGCAGTCTTTGTTAGTACGAACTATGGAATTTCCTCCATAGTACGTGTGCAAGCCTAAATTGGACATAGCTCATTCATAAAAATCAAATGTATATAGTTAACATGCATTTCTATAGTTCCTTAATCAAAAACCGAGTCGGAATAATCATCAAATGGAAAAATGCCGTCAAACTCATCAAAGATTTGACCTGACGAATCATCGCCACTCCAAGCACTCGAATAGCTTTGCGTAGGACTCGACCGGTCGATTATTTCACTATGTGTAGGACTGGTGACTAGGGGATGACGTAACGGTACGGTGTATTGAATTTCATTCGTTCCCAGTGTATTGTTGTTAGGTCGCGCGCTACATTGGGAATCTATGTTTTCCGTGGAAAGAAGTGATAACACCGTTGTTCCATCTTTTACCATTTTTGGATCGTTCACCGGGTAATATAGGCTGTTACTACCAGGGAAGAAGCTAGTGTCAATGTTCGGTATACAGTCCAGGTAACAATTGGCATCTAAATTCAAGGGTTTGAAAGGGTTCGCGATTCGCCTTTCTTCTTCTTGGCAGGGTGCAAGGTCTGTGCCGAGAATATAGTTTCGATTAAGACCTAATTCAAGGCTGATCAGTGGGTTTCCCGGATGGCTTGAACTATCTAATCCATTAATTAAATCTCGCGAATTAACAGCCAAGTCGCTTAAGCCACCGTTCCAATTCATAACTTTGTTATCTTGAGTTTCCTTCAGCCAGTTACCGGAATTTTCATATTGGGACATCAGAGGGGTTGTGACAGTGTGACTATTTGACCACGTGAAGAACTCTGCGGTTGTTTCTTTGTGTAACGGTTTTATGCAGTTTTGTGCTTGGAAACCAACTACTGTTGGATGTGCCATTTGGGTTTCCTGATTAACAATGGTTTCTGTCCAGCTTGGGGCTGTGGCGTTTTGCCGTCTCTGTTGTGCCTGAATAAAAAGTTTACTTTATTTTATGAAAACTTTATTTTATGAGGTACACAAGGCAGTGCTTTAAGGCCACTGACCATCCTCAAACCTAGTATTGCATTATGTGCATTCATCATCTTTTTCAATCAAGAATTTGGTTAATTAATTACCTTTCTGTTTATTCTAAAAACTTTCATTGGAAATTCGTGGTCCATTTTATCGTTCTGGTAAATGTCAGTCAAGTCTTCAAAGTTCACCGAATTGCGTAGGTTCATTCGAAAGTTGGTTTTCAGAGATTTCTTCGCACTGTTGCTGCCATATCTCCAGGAACGACTGCATTCATTTTTCCAGAGCTATAAAAAGATAATCAGTTAATGAAATAACATATAACTGCCATCACGTAGATTCTGCATTCAGTTTTTCCTCCTGTCCACTAATTTGTCATCGTATGTCTGTTTCTTGCTGGTTTGTTTGTACACTGTTATTTTTAGGGAGTTATTTTAACACCAAAAAAGGGGTGAAAAAAAAAGGTTCAAAATGAGTAGCTTTTTGGAGTAACAAATAACTCCACTTCTGGTGTTATAATTTAACACCGCTTTTGGGGTTAATTTAACTCCAATTCTGGACTTAAAACATAACTCCATTTTTGGAGTTAAACACATTTAACACCGTTTTAGGTGTTAGGCCGGTTTTCTACTATATAGGTAAATTATTTCGATCGAAGCAAATTTTTCGCTTGATTTTCTTTTCAATTGTGATCTATCAGTAAATCTGCTCGGTTTAATTTCACAAATGAAAAGATAAATAAATTGAGCGAAATATTCCGTTCCATCGAAGATTTCTACCTATAATACCGATCGAGTCAACAAACAATGCAGCACAAATATCGTTATTATATTATTATAATATTGAATACATGAGATCAATTACATTTCTGTTTGAGTACAGCAAGTCAACTACGCATTAAAGGAATTGCTTCTATAGTATAGCTCTTTAATACTTTTTATTTACACTTTAACACACATGCACATTTGCAAAAAATTTAGAAAATGTTTTTAAGTGGAGTACCATGCATGCCTAAAACATAATGGTATAGTCATTAAGACACTGGTTGTTCAGTTCTACTAGAGTTCTACTAAGCTAAGACTCACTCTACCAAGATGATGACCTGGCTGTATAAGCAATACTGATCCACGTTTCTTCTTTTACAATTTTCCTCGTAGTAAAATTTTCGGAGGTTTCCTGTTGTGCCAATTGCACGAAACGAGTCTTCAATCTACGAACAAATAGAAAAATTGCATGTATATGAGTGTAAATTCGAGTAGTGTGCTTTGTATGCATATAACAGAGCACATTGTTCAACAGACCTTCAAAATCTATATGTTCTATGTGATCCACAATGCAAACATACTCAAACAAATAAGCAGAAACATGTGAGTATAAGGAAGGAATAATTTCAAGTAACTTAGGCTTAGCTAATATAAAAAGAATAGGAAAAAAATTCCACATACCTAGAATTTACTGCATCATGGTAAGTTGCTTTCGTCCATTGAGAATTGAACAGTATTTTGGGGTTGTTTTCAACATCGTTTCGCTAAGTTAGGGCTTTCTTGTATTGAAATTTGTGTTTGAGTTTCCCATTGGCATTGCTTCTTCTACCCTCTACCGGGCATTGTGGACTTCTGTCCTTCTACTGCTTCTAAAGATACGAATTCGAATTGTTATAGACTATTAAAATATCCCAGGAACTTTAAGGTAAATATCGGAGGCTCGCGATATCATGTATTCATGCTGATCAGAAACAAAAAAATACTTCGCCGTCAGTTTTGCGACTGAAAAACTCTTTTGGCAACAGCCCCACAGAAAAAATAAATCGACCAGCATCAAAAATTATAGAAACAACTATTTGAAAAACATTTTAGAATCAAACTATAAGAATCTTGCAATAAATTTGTCTGTTTTTGCAGGCCAAGTTAACACAATAAAAAGGCGGGAAGACTAAATGCAAGAAAAACTTCAAATATTTACCTTAAAATAGCTCGCAGTAGTCGCCAAATCCAGCTTTTCGCATCCAAAATCGCAAGTCCTCTACTAAGTTTACAATTTTCGAATGAAAAGTACCGAGAAAGAGAACTTTTTACGGAGCGAGCGAGGGCTTCGTGTGTACTTTGCAAATATTTCGCCAAGAAAGACCCGGCCACTGAGCTGTATAAAGACCTGAAGTCTTAGCATAGGTGTCCCTGGCAATTCAACCCACATCATGAGGTTTTCTTTTTCTTGATTAGTTGACTCAGTTTGTCTTGATTTTAAAATCAACTGTCAAAATTTAAAATGAAAGTTAATGTTAGGATACTATCAGTAATGTTTTTTGCTTTATTAATTTATGAACATATTCTGTGGTACCTAACAAACACTTATTTCTTCAGTTTAATAATTTTCTTGTATGATTGCATGGCGACTTTAGTAATTATAATAACTTGTAGGTACACCACGTAAGTATTAAATACTGCAAAGCTTTCGGTCCGTTAACCCGGACCTTCATCAGTGCAATATGAAGGTCCGGGTAACACTAATGAAGAATAATAATAATAATAATAATAATTATTGCACTGATGAAGGTCCGGGTTAACGGACCGAAAGCTTTGCAGTATTTAATACTTACGTGGTGTACCTACAAGTTATTATAATTCTTCAGTTTAATTAATCTATGATTTGATGTTGTTGGTAATTTTGTATAAATGTTATTGAGGTCTCCAAGTGGGACAATGGAAAAGACATATAAATTAATTATTTTTCATACATGAAAATTTAACTTTCATGAGCCCTCAAGAATATTAATTCAAAAGGTCAAATTTTTTAAAATTGATTTCTGATTAAAACCTGCCTTGCAATACATATTGTGTATAATTATAGCTCTAAATTATCTGCACAGTTTAATGCTTGATTCACATGATCTGCACTGTTCAATGCATGGTTCTTTGACAAAAATATTAACACAAAATAGTTTTTTCAAAAAATTGTATTTATAGCCTTATGAATATATAGCTTCATAATCATATATAACATGTTTAAGGGTCAGTTTTGAGAGATGTATTACTTAAAATTTTGTAGCATAAAGACCACATTTGATATGGAAGACTGCAAATCACCAAGCTTTTAAATGCCACTTAACTCTCAAATATATATGTTATTCAAAAATGCAGCAATCAAATGTTTATAGCACTTCTTGGTTGTGTAAATAGCTAATGTGCATTTGAGCATTACACTCAAATATTGACCACCTTTCAGACAATTATTAAAAAGAACCAGGAATGGATATTACAATGTCCCATATTACCTGGTTATTTTAAGGTGATCCTGAATATAAAAATAAAGAAGATTCATTGCAAAATAATTAACAAAAAACAGGAAAATTTTTATTATTTGATTTATAAACTGAAATAAACAAGCATGCTTGGATTTCTTGCACATACAGAGGTTAAAAATAGTTTTATTGAATAATTCATGAATAAATCATGTTTTAAAGTACCAAAAATTTAAGCCTGGGGAATTCGCATTTCCATAAATATAACAAATGAGCTTTTTTATATAGTTTGTTTGAAAATTTGATTTCGAAAAAACTTCAATTAAGGCCTTCCAGGCTAGAACTACAAGACCGTGGGTTATGATATTTTTAATGCGCTGAATACCTTATATAATAATGCGCTATACGATGTATAACGATCGGTTGTCAATGCTTTACTCCAGCCGATCGACCATGTATTTCGCTATTTAATGATTGATTCTATGACATTTATCGTTATAAACTTACCAGAACTATCCGAGGCAATCTTTTCATCACGTATTCTGATGTAGTAAATGATTTCAATACAAGATTTTGTTCAATTTCAATAAAAATTATCATTAACGCGATGTGCATCACCAATCTTCACTCCTTGTTTTCAAATCTCCATTATGAATATATAATGAGAAGAATTTAACTCCAAAAATGGAGTTAATTCCTCTAACCCCTCTAGATGGGATTATTTTTGCATACTAATCAACGTTCGAAGACCTCGTTACTCCTCCGAGGAGTTAATACAACTCTAAAAGTGGTGTCAAAATAGCACCAAAATTTAACACCCCGAAAAATGAAATTTGGGGGTGTTAAAATAACTCCCTGAAAATAACAGTGTAGTTAATTCCTGCTTATATCATCAATTTGTAGAAAACACCGCGTGTGATTGTTTTATGCAGAGCTTTCGGTCCGTTACTGGGCCTTCATCACTGCAATGAACAAAATTTCACAATGCAAAATCTTATGAATATAATAATTCTAATTTGTTCATACGATTCTTTGTTTTCCTGTGTCAAGCAAGTTGCATCCTTAATTGTTTGGTTTAACTTATTTTTTTGTTTGTTGCTTGGCTACTCTGTTTATTTTGTTTGGTTCTTCGTTTATTCCTCTCTATTTGTTTTCTTGTATCTTCTGTCTCCTTGGTTGTGTATTTGTCTAGTTGTTAACGTGTTTACTTATTTGTTCCTTTGCAGCTTTGTGTGTTTGCGGACTTATGTTTTAATTTCTTTACTCTCTTGTTTGTTTGTTTATTTCCGTGTTTGCCTGCGCTATTTCTTTGTTTGCTCCCGTGAGAAGTACTTCCAGGAAGCAATTTACGTAGCGCATACTTCACACGTTCACACATTCATATATAACTCATTTAACATGGCATCCTCACCTGAAATAAATGTAAACATTCCTCAGTGTATAAATGACTTTTCTGGTGCACCCATCGCACAGCGAATATCCTCTCTTCTTCGTCCAGCCAGTACGCGTTTTGCGGTGACCGCTTTCTGTTCAAAACGTTTAAAAGCCATTCCAGGAAGGTTTGGCTATTTCTCTGTCTTCGCGGTTTTGACATTGGCGTTCTAAGAATATAATTTTCAAATCATTAAACGATGCTATATGGATACGTCCATGCATGTCTGTGGCGATTTCGAAGGCTAGATAATGTTATAGTAATTCTTTCAACCATTGGAAAAGGAATAAAATTACAGCTTTGGAGCTAGAATTATAAAACGGGATTCCTAATTTAAAGAATACTATATATAGTTCAAACAGATTGGAAACGCGGTGGACAGTGCCATCCAGTTTTCCTATAAGGCGACCCTTGGAGATGGATAATTAAGTAACTCTTTCATAGTTTAACCATGAACACATGGTTTAACCATGAAAACACACTCGTGAATTAAAACCCTATGTATAGAATATATACGGTACAATTCTACGAAACATCATGTACTGTACTCTTGTTTTCTATATGGCCATTCAAAATTTTTCAGAAACGAATTTTCCTGGAAGTATCCTTGAGTTAGACGTTACGTCATCGTGATTGAGTAAATACGGCGTCCTAAATCGCTAGAGGACTGCCGATATTCAAGAAATTTCCGTCGTTATATTAATTTGTATAGACAAATGGTACTGTCTGCTTAGACATAGTTGACATCATTCGTTTCACGATATGCCGGATTGTTACTGACGGGTAACTATGAAGTTGATGTTTTGAATAACTAAAAATATCTTCAAAGGAAATCCTATTCCAAACTATTTGTAAGGGTACTTCACCGTTCATTGTGTGGTTGTTCTGTCGTTAGGAAGCTGGCATGAACACTGCTATAGGATCCTAATCAGGAGAAAGGCATTCGACCGAACACGAGCATGCATAATATTTGACACCGTGTCAGGCTGCCTTGGTAGATTTTTGATATAGAGTGTTGTGAAATGATCTAGAGTATATATCTTGGAATTAAGGTTCCGCTGTTTACATCCGATCACAAACGTTTAGGAAAGAGGGAAAACCCGCGGGCCAAAGAATGTCTTATTTACTGGTCTAAACACTTGAATTATGTTGCAATTTGAATTCCGGCATCGTTTCGAACGGAATGCACACGATTGCCAAGCAGCGCTGTAGATAAACGAGGTTGTGCCCGCAAATACTGGAACATCGATTCCTCCAGCTGGGACACTGCAGCGTATGTATGCAAACCACACCAGGCGTTCCTACCATTATACAATTGCTTCACCCTCATGTGGTCGGGGTTTAATCTTTTTATGAACGCTTTTTTGAATAAAATTTGACCCTCGTAAAAGACAGAGGTTTTACTTGGGTAAACCACTTTCACGCGATGACAGAAGATGCACCTTATTGAGCTATCATCCCGTATTACTGAAGTAAACTAAGTTTAGATAACGTTTTATTTGCAATCGAATTTAAGTGATCGCCAGGCAGTTTGGAGCGAAGTGAACAGGCAGTTTGGAGCGAAGTGAACTATTCAATATCATGAATAAAGTTCATTTCAGTCAAGTTATATATCATATATAGTATATTGATAATAATATAGGCCGATATATACGAGTCTTATATAGTGCCTTTGCTTGACTCTCAAGAGGGATATTCTCAAATACAGATAGAGCCATCTAGGTATACTTTAACACTAGTTTATCGCTTTCCCTGCACCTAATTGTATTCTATTTCTATCCCCCGTCGGGTTTAACCTTTAAATGTGCTGTTGATATACGGTTTAACTTGTTTGCCAAGTTTCGTATTTTCTGCTCGTACTGTTTGTCGTTGGAAACTCTACACAGAATAGTACATACGTTTCGTAGAATTTAACTCGGCTTTTTCTTACCTTGCGTTTCCAGAAGTACTATACAGAATATTCGGGCAATTCAGCAAATCTCCAAATTGCGAAGAATAGCGGCGGGTAATCACTTCAAAACTTCAGCTTGAACTGCAAGACCGCACGTGCTATTCTATGTCGTATAGAATCGAGCGATTTGCAACACTCCACGGTGAGTTACAGTCGAGGTGATATTGTCGCGAGTACGCGGCTATGACTGCTCGTGGCGAGCTACCGCAACATAGATATATAACGTCATTTGCATACACATATATATATATATTCAAATTTTGGGGGTTCTACCCAGAGACGATCCGGTCATGCGGCAAATGTAATCAAATGACTATTTTTGCAGGTTGTAATTCTTACAATATACCGTCATGCATCCCACGCATTTAGTGCCGCGCCCCTGCTACGACGGCTCTTAAACATTAGGCAATGCGTATTTAGAACTCACATGCTCGAAATTTCACTATGGCTGTACACAGGAAGACCGGGCGAGCGACGTTTTTCTCGGAATGAAAATGAAATTTGAATCCAAAGTGAAATTTCGTTTCGATCGTTTATCGTGAGATTGCAAAACGCAATCAAGCAAAGCTATTTTGTTACTTTCTTTCACCCCGTCAACACGATTGACTTCGTAAAGCGGTCGTTGCAGGAGAACCCGGATTTTTAACGTATCTCGCCCGTGGGGTCAAACTCGGGCAAGTATTTATCGCCTGAATTGCTTCAAAGCAGATATCTCGTGCATTAGGGTCCAATGTACAACGTGTAGTGTGTTCTATACAATACACAGTCGCGTGGTATTTTTTGAACACCGACGGAAAAATAATTCTCATGCATTTTCCATACATGGTATAAGACTTACTATGGAGACTGTATAAGGTTCATTTTAAACTATTTAACAGCACTGATCAGGCGCCAGGCGGCATAAATGATATGGTGTTGGTAAATATAGTTGAACTTATGTTGGTAACAATGATAAATAAAGATTGATAACCCAGCTAGGGTACTACAGAACTACAGAAGAAAGCCTAAACTATATTTAACCTGGTGCCGGCTTCATTAAACTATATAAGTTCCCTTCAAGTCGAAATTGGTGCTTTCTCTTGGACCAGTTTTGTGCAAAGGAGGCTTCTACGTGAAACTTGGTATAACCGATGTCTATACTAGAACTGGGATACACTACACCTAGACTAGAAGAATAAACATTGGTTACCAATTAATATGTAGGATATCTCGTTCAATATCAAACTGTTTTCACCGGAATTCAATAAAGGCGATTTCTCGGACTATCCTGAGAAGTTATACGCGCGAACCGGCTGTTTTTGAGAAGCTATTAATGTGTTGACAGATATAGTGGATTTAACCCGAGGCCAAGCAACTTGTTTTTATTAGGCAGCCGCATATATATATATATATATATATATATATATATATATATATATATATATATTATATATATATAATATATATATATATATATTATATAATATAAATATATATATATATATATATATATATATATATATATATATATACATAGGCCCGGTGTACGTATTCTATCATTCCATCTTACATTAACACGGAACCGGACGAATTTGGAATTGTGCACGAAATCGTCCCGTTCAGGTTTTCACGCGGGAAAAATTTTTAGTGCTTACATGAACTACAAGAAACCGGACGGAATCGCGACCACGCATTTGGTCCCGTGTAAAGGTGGCCTGTGAGCACAAATCTGCCTTGTCACTGCTCATTTCATCGAAAACTCCTGCACGTCCTGTACGAATTTTTAGACAAAATCATTCCAATTTTAGTAATTTGTTTCATGTGGGTGGACGTTAATCTCCCCCCAGTCATCAGTACTAAACTCCTTAAAGTACAATCGTTTCCCGTTGTTGTACACACAGATCCGAAATATCCGTTTAGAAATTCTCAGGTGGTTGTGGGTATCCAATTGCATGTACGGGAAGGAAAAAGACGTCCATGCAGTAAACATGTTGTGCTAATGTACTTATAATAAATTAGATACTTGCAAACAGCAATTTAATGCATGATTTCTGCACTTCATTAATTGTGAATTGATTTGTAATCAAGTAACAGTCAAACGATAAAACTTTTAACCAGAGGTCACGCGAGGACTAGCTGTTTAAACCATCGCAGGCACAAGATTTTAACAAACTCAATGATGTTATTATATCGCATTAAAATTGCTGATTCACATCCAGGTCACCGTTAGTACTAATAGGATTCAAAGATTCAGGTTTCAGACGAATTCTAAACAAAATTAGACTGCATTTTAAACTTTCTCGCGTGAAATACCACGGACGTTTGTACTTTGTCTTTGAAGTACTTGCTGGGCGACTACGACAGAATGAGATCGATTCAAACTTGTTAAAGGTGGTTCTTTTAGGCGGCTGGCAAAAGTTCGGTTGAAGCACAGTTCATTTTTAAGGTTGAGCAAAACACTTTTTGCACACAATCATACTTTTTTGCTCCATCGATAAAGATCGACTGCAGATGTCTATAATGGCAATTCCTTAGTCAGCGATCAACATACCTTCCTAATGGTATGTCAATTATATATACAGTTTATTTTGCGTACGATGTACTCTAACTGTATTCATCGAGAAAAGCACTCCTATAACTCTGCCCAACAGACCGGCATTTCTGTATCATAAAATATACTCTGTATGCGTGCAAGGGAAAATTGAAGATGCCTACGCTCTGCCCCTGGTGAGATCGATGCTCAACGTTCAAAATTCGTACCTTATAGCTGCATTCCGATATGGCTGTAAGACTTAAATGTCTCGGTTATAATCGGAGATATGCGGTTTTTGATCTCATGTTAATGATCTAATTTTGTTCCATTGCGTTTCGCTGTAAGCATTCGGCCTGTTCAATAGTCTTCAATACAAACGGCATCGTTCGCGACAATACCAACCAACAAGGCGCATAATTATTTATATTTGTACACCGTTTACATGGGGATGTTTTTGTCCTTTGCTTCTCCTAAGCTGTTCTCGAAGATTCCAATCGGGCATCCCGCTGAGAGAGACAAATTCCTCCCCGATTAGGTAGTTTCCTACTTGTTGCCTTGTGTGAAGTATGAAGCGTGTTTACATGAGACCTAAAGCTTGAGCTTTTTTGCAGCGTAAATTGACTTTTGACTTCTTCGAACATGTGACTGGGATTATCTGGGCAAGGCGAATTGCGTCAGTACGATACGGAAATCTTTTTCAAAGCGGAGACCATCAAGCCTAACCCTGATCGTATAGAGTTGTCACGGCTACAGACCTTGAAGAAAATTGCAAGATGGCAATGCATATAAAGTCAAACTCAATACGAATGCCACTACGACCAATCCGTTTTCCAACTTCTGTGAAAATTACTTAGATAACATCTCATTCATTATACGTACAATCTACCTGAGAATAACCTTTCTTATTAATATCTTCTTATACTTTTCCAATTCAGTGTGATTTTTAGGCGAAACCAAACGATGGTATAGATTGAGAAATGGCGGTGCATGTAATCGGATTTTCAGCTTTTTAAAAGCAGAATAGTAAGATTACACGTACATTTTTAAGCATTTTTTTACAATTTTGACATGTACATGCAGTGGCGCCTCCTTAATGACATGTGCACCTTCCAACCCTCTAATGCGGCTTCCCTTAATATGGTGTCATGCACCTCTGATATCTGCAGAAATTTCTCTCACATGCAGGCAGAGTATATAACAGACTGTAGGAGCGCGGCTGTGTCTCAGTGAGAACTTCACATCAACATTTATTTGACGTAGACAGTAGACTTGGCCATCTACATCTATTACATCAAGAGAACGTTGAACTATATTATTATGTATCGTGTGCCAAATTTTTCACCGCTCAACACTATATAATGGGTTTCAATGAAATTCGCTATTGCATGCTTAATGCTTTTGATAAAGACCTCGACGAGACAAGTTCAAATTCCTACATGAGAGTGCTTGACAGTTGACTTTGAACTCTAACTTTATTTCTAAATTAAAGTAGAGAGGTAATGGCGACTTTATTCGAAGTAGGTTTGCCTATATATATATATTCTTGTGGGAAATATCGTAGAACACAAGCAACGCCGTCGAGAAACTTCGTTGCTTAGAAGTCAATCATATAAGTTGTGATCACCACCGAAATATCATCACCGAAAATTGCCCTTATATATAGCTAGTTCTATATTTGGCACTTTTCGGTTTCGCTTACCTGTGTTTAAAGGCTTGACAAACAATAGTGTTCACTCGTGCATACCCACTGTAATCAACATCAACAATGCCAAAACTATTTAAACAGAAGGGCGTTCTGACACTACGGAACTGTAAGTTAATCTTGCCTGTTCAAATATTAGCTTACCTATAACAGCTTCATCACTTAATCCTTTTACCACAATTGCAGGGTTTCGTACGTCTATAGGATCCTGTTAAGGTGACAGTGATGTCCATCTCGCTCATATATGCTAAAAACTTAATTTATAAGTGAGGCTGATTCAACGCGGAACTGTTTTTTAATTAAGGACAATCCGGTTGAAATAATGGAAGACGGAAAAAACCCGTTGCGCGCTCATGGAAATTTTCGCCAAATTCCGTTCTGTGCAACTTTAGCTTGCTTGAAGCAAGATATTTGAAATCCAAAGTAATTATAAAGGGAGGGACCAGTCTTATTCCTGTGTTTAATCATTGAAACTTGTACAATTGTATACCTTTTTTTTATTTGTGCCTATAGATATATATCAAGTGTATTTTTTTTATAAAATTCTTTATAAAAATTGTATTCGATAAAAAGTGTATTTTTCCATAGAACTCCACTTGGTTAAGTCTTAGATACAATAAAATATGGGCCAGCAAGGCTTGTGCCAACATTAAGACGTTATTCTGCCCATCTGAGAGACGTTTATACCCAGTATAAATTTCAGTTTGTACTTTAAATTTTCTTCCTTAGTAAAACTGACTCATGCAATATGATGAATCCTTGGTTTTTCCTTATTGCGATGGCTAATTACAATATGTCTCTTAACTGATATAGATATAATTTAGTTGTGTAGTGAGTATATATTGAGTTGCATGTATATTATATATATATATATTGAATTTAGTCGAGCCTTCTGGGTTCTGTTCTAAAATGCTCATGCACAAGTAGATATATATATAATAAGGTTAGTTGACTGATTTTAGTTGGCGTTCTTTCTATACCGATGAACAAGCAATTAAGAACTGATATAGAAGCATCAATATCACGTAGAAATCAGTATTTTTAAACTGTTTCCGCTATAAAGTGATCGGCTCGTTTTAAACCAACCATTTCAAGGAAATAGAAACCTTATACCAAGGATGATGACCTTGTGATCTGTCAAATGCATTGCCTTTTTCATATTTTCTACAAAATACTATACTTCGGTTGTTGAAAGATGATTGGGGCATCCGGAATTATGATTATTAGTAATTACACGCGAATTGAAATCATTCTTTAAATGATATTGGCTCACGAGACACGAAATTTGATGCTTATCTCAGACGCCCGATTGTAAAAAAAAATCACCGACAACTGATAACATTTTCTTCGAAAAATTAAGCCGGATTTGATGGGCTATAATTAACTCCAGGTTTTTTATGTACAGCATGGTAAATAAGAAAGTTATACTCCATCCAGTTAACCTAGCTCTCTTTAAAAACGTTTGCGTACAGTGTCTCTTTCTGAAACCGTGAAATTCCGGCTATGTAAATTTTGCAGCCTGATAATAGCTGATGATCCAATATCTCCTATAATCAATGAATTACACGCTATAGGAAGTCTGTCCTATAGGGTTCCTAAATAAGAGAGGGAAAACATTGTTCTGTCACATGTCAGTACAATACTAACAAGGTGTCTTTGTTTTTAACAAATACTGGTGTATGTAGAGGAAAGTTTATTTGGGCTATTATGGGCGTATGTAAATAGATTCTTGAGTGCTTGAGTGAACGAGGTGGAAAAAAACCCCTTTTTCCTAGGAAATGCGTCAATTAGCATGGATGTCTTCTGTTTCATTTATACCTTAGTCATCGTGTCTTCGACAATTGTGAAAAACAACACTCCTACGAAAGCGTGAAAAAAATATTTTAGCTGTCAAAGGAAGCATACGAGGTCACGTGAAGGGCAGATATGGCGGACACACGCTGTCAGTAGCGACCCACTGAATTATAGTGAAAAAAACCTGCCATCTGTTATCAATCGTACGGAGTCAATGCAATTTGACAATTAAGTCCAAGGTTTAAACAAACGAACGCCACAGATTGTCAGCGATTGAAATTTGAAAATTATTGTTGTCAATGCGTTCAGCTCATGAGAAGTGCAACGTTTAACCTTGGCCTTAAACTTAAAGACGTGAGAGTGATATACATTCAGTATTATAAAATTTTCAGTTGCATACAACACCTAAGTGCAAACTACGAAAATTTCACAGTATGACAGGAGCTTCATCCAAGTGTACATATAAGTAAAGACGTAAAATAGTCTTGAGCGGTGTTTTAAATATTACATACTTCTTTCTTCGATAAAGAAAATTTAAAAACACTTAGAACTGTCTCAGCATTGACATAACTGCATCGCAATTCATATTCTCAGCAAGGAACGGGAGATAAGACGAGCACACATGACATGGGCTTCCCGGATGCAATTGCATAAAATCAATCAAATATTGTATTTGGCATTCGCCCACATGTACCATGACGTAACACGTTACAGTTCAAAGTACATTTTCCCAGGCTGGAAGTGAAACGAAAATGAAATTATATGAAAAACGAAAACTCTTCAGAGTTATAAGATTAGGATATGGGTTGACCAAATATAGGTCTGATATTATCTAAGGCATTCCTAATTAGGGAAACTCAGTTTATTAAATCGAAAAAGAAAATGAAGGTAGACGAGACATAATTTTGCAGACATACCCCACTTACATTAAATGCCCGCAAAAACTCGTAAACAAGTGAATTAGAAACGGAGCTAATATCAGGTCATATTGACCTTGGGAAACACATTGCTAGGGAATTATTTTTGGCTAGTGAACAGTAAACATGGTCTGATATTGTACAGTATAGGCGTATACCTACTGCTGGGTTGAACATGAATTCATCATATACGGTGTAAGTACCTTGAACTACCTTGATCATTCGAGGTACCTTGAGTTACCTTGCGATATGTTATTGTAACATAACGTCTGATCCAAACATGCATGCAAACTTACTGAGGTGTAGCCTAGCAGGTTCGTGCACGAATATGGACTGCCCCTAGCTTACAATGCCTAAGAAAGTCCTTGTAGAGTCAGTACCCCACGTGTCCGGATAGCTCTTGTGTGCACGGGGCGGCTCACTGTTGCTTTAGCAAACCTGTTTGAAGAACTCGCGGTTGAACATGTCACATGTTTAATAACTACTGACAGATAGATATACATCATGCACTTGCACATAATTTGGTAATGTGAAATTAATTGGGTAGTTCGCAGTATAATTTAGTGGTCTCTGCAGAATTGATGCTGGATGCGAGTGAGCACATCAGTTAAGACGGGATTACTTAACAATCATCTGCGTGAGCTTTTAGTACTTAACGCCAGTAATGATACCATTAATAATTTAATACGATACAGTACTTGAACTGGGGCGATCGTAAGATGGTCTGATATCGCATGCACGTTAAGTGAAACATGTTGTTTATAAGTTCCCTATTAAATGCGATTACGAGCTCTTGGAAACTGAGCTATTCTCGACTGTGTCAGATCTATACTGCTCGCTCTTCCTTATCATTTTACAACCACTTTTGAGTGGAACTATTTCATCATGATCAGAAAGCGATTTTGATGATGTGTTATTGGGAACAATTCTTAGTAAACCATTCTAGGTTATATTCGAACAACGTTCTAATGTTTGCTCTTGAATATGGGCGTTCTTCTCTGAGTGGTCGGAAGTTGTACATTCTCCGCAGTTTTGACTGTGACGAATGTTTTTAAGGGTCGGTATCTTTCTGAGGTAAAGTTGTTAAAATGGGAAATACCGTAAAGTACACTAGCTTTCAGCCTGAATCAGATTAACTAACACCGACGCACTTGACTTTCCGAAAGAATACTTCTTTGTTCATAAGCCTACATTACGTCAACAGAAACAGTCAAGGTCAATTGTTATGAAAATGTGCCTGTACTGTAGTATAGCAACAGACAACAGTCTAACCAAGTCGCATAAGAACTCAAAGAAACTCTATTAAAATCTCATTTTCACCTTATAATCGCTATCATAAACAATAGTTATATTAGGTTAAGATACACCAAATCTATACGACGCGGAAGTGACATGAAATCAGCCGGTGGTATTAGGAACCCAGTTTTATTAATTATATAGTTTTACATTCGGCTCAGGCTTTGTTTACCAAAAGCAGTCTATAATTTTTATTCCTGTTGTGAAACTATCGAAATGAAGACAGTATTTCTTCACGTCCGCCGCGTAGGTTTGGTGTATCTTATAGTTCTTAAACACAATCAAACTTGGATCGTGTGAACAGTCTTAAAGGCCCACACAGACAGGACGCGAATTGGCAACGCGGCGCGAATTTTCAACGTTTTATATTTTTCAAAAGCAAATAAATTTTAACTCATCAAAATTTTCTTGTAGATTGCATTAAAATAATAAATTTTGATTGGTCTAGCGTCCATAGATTCCAAATTTTGATCCCAGAGTTTAATTTATATGCTTCTGAAAACTCGGTCTGTGTCGGCCTTTAAGGTCCCTATATTATCTTTGCCACTGCTTGCAAATCTTATTCCTTGTGCATTTTGACGATATATTTCTTCGCTGGAAAATTCAAGCTTTGATAAGAACATTTGTCTGAAATGTATTCTCTCCATACGGCATACCGCAGCAATTTATGAATTATGAAAGAATGAACGATTTTCAAACGAGTTTTGAACGAACGTGTTAAAAATGAACGTGTTTAAACGTCGAAGACAAACGCCATGTTGGTGCATAGACCCAAGTTGTATCCATTATCTGTATCCGATAGATTTAACAATAGAAAAGGAATACTGGATATCTCCATGCAATGCAGCAAAAGTCAGATCATGTTGTGTTATGGTCGAAAAAAGACTGAGACACTTCACGAGATAGATTGATTGCTTTTTTCGAGGCCTCTTTCAACACAATAATAAAGTGATTTAATCTCCGAGACTGCTTGATCGCCTAGTCACTTGGGAGAAGTAATGCGATTGCAAAAAAACAACAATGACTAGGTGAAATTCAGAAGAGGATTATTTTGCATTGAGACGTTAAAATGATTTTTTCCTAGAATGGCTAGTATCATCATTTTAATCGCAATATAAGTTATTAATATAGATAGTCGAGAACAAAACAAGCAAAAATGAATACACTTCATTCAGTAATAATGTTAACTACAGAGATATTCACTAGTAAACTTCAATAAAACCGGAATGGCAACTCAGGGGAGGGTTTGAGTCCGGGGTCTTTTAGTTTTCTCAGTTTGGAGTGAAATGTTTTTAAATACTAATAAACGTTGCACCGTATATAAAAACTGTATTCAAAACCTCTATTTGTTGCAGAAATTTAAAGACTTCAGTTAAAAGAGTTTCAAAATTTTTGCTCAGAATTTGCCGCTTTTGACCGCTATAGAGTCTTTCAATAGAGTCGTTTATATAACGTATGTCAGTAAAACGGTTCACATTAGACGCTAATCGTCAACATCTTCAAAATCTTCAACAGTTCGTTCTTTAAATTCCTTAACTTTTTCTTCGATGTTCAAAGGCTCTCTCTCAATAACAGTTGACCCAACTTGTTCCGCAAGCTTTTGTATAATATCAATCGAGATTCCAGAATCGCTCGAAGCTCGGGGATTGTCGGTCAAAGGTCGACAATCGTCAACTGATACTCGATTACCTTCGGCTGACACTCGACATCTTTCAGTTAGGGCATCTTTTGTGGATGCTTGAAATTTGTCGACCGGCTCAATTTCTCGTGTATCTATTTTAGTGTTGTGCTGAGGTTCATCTGGAAGTTCTTCGATAAGAACCCGTTGGCGGGTTTTCTCAGGTCTGATTAGTAATTCCATTGGATGTGACGTCATCGAATCGATGCAATCTGATTGGCTAAGATTCTCGTCAATAAGGCTGCGGTCGAAATCAGCAATGAATGGATGAGCCTGTGACAGAAATATAGCGAAGTGTTCGTTACTGAGATTATCCAAGTGCTCTGTGAGAAACTTAGCCAAACTAGGGAGTCACTTTGATAATAACATGGCCATAATGGCATGTTTAGTTTCATGAAAACCTTTTTCATGCCTAGAAGTTTTTTTAAGCTTCGGGTGACCCGAAGATCATGTAAACAGCCTCTTGGTAAGGAGCTCATTGACATATCTACCATCAGTTTCCATTTATTCAAAATCTTGCAGTAATTACCTGACGTACATCTGGGTCGCTTACATCGACGTCTTCCAAATCCGGCAAGTCCTGTAGTGAAAGATATTCCAATCAGACTACTTTCGTTGGTTCCAAATACCATGCGGTATAGCACTGCCTATGCATATGACATCAAGCTTGGTCGTACATACCTCATCGTCGCGACTTATCTGGATTATTTCAATATCGTCTTCTGAAATGAGAAAAACAATATCGTAAAGCCGTATCGCGATTGTTTTGCTATAAGCATGCATGGACTATTACATTCACTTGTGAAATGCAACGGTTTCAATTTACGGCAGGTTAAATAGCGCTCTCGCGATAAACCCATGTTTATCCGATAAATTTAAATTTACAGAATATAAATGTTTTTCTTTTCTTTCCTACCAGACAAAGTCGTCGTGAGAATTTGCTCAGAATCTGTAAAATTATCTTGCCCATCTAAAAAACAAATTATCTTTAGCTTTATCATTTTTCTTCGCCCATAAAACCTGTCAGTAAAGCCCGTTCTCCACTAGGCGAATTTATTCGCGCGAACAGATAAAAAGTAGGAAGCGATTCTACTTTTTCGTGGCGATTTTTTTCGCAAACCAATCACATCACCAGATTTCAGATATCGCTTCGTGTCGCGCGAATAAATTCGCCTAGTGGAAAACGGGCTTTAGTCATTCTCTTATGTACTCGAAGTGTTACCCATCTAATCAAAGACGATTTTACCCGTACCCGGGTCGGTTGATTTGTAGCAAGTTAAGATGCCTGCATGAAGATTCATTTCGGGGTTTTTTTTTCAAATTTAGCTGCATCGAACAATATGAGACGCGCACCTGACGTTATCTCTACTATCCGCGGGACTTTACGACGGTCGTCGTCGGTAATTTGAGATGAGAAAATACCAGCAGATTTCCGTTGATCGCTAGGTGTTGCTTGAGTCCTTTGAGTCAGAAAAATTGGCGAGGATGATCGATCTACAATCAAGGTACTGTCATCAGTGTAAATCTTGTCGCGCATGCGCATGCTTGACTATTGGTATAGACGACCAGCGAGTATTCACTGTAATTACCACATTTATTGGTAATTTGCTTGGTTCGTCTATGAACTCAAGATACAAAATTTGACTTGAAATTGATCGAAGATCTTTTCATGGTAACGATAATGTTAACTCTTGAATGATTGTAAAGGCACACAGTCTGAAAAAATCTGAGTGTCTCGTCAGTCTCGGACACATGATTTGGTCTTTGATTTCGTCATGTTAATTATTTGAAATTATATGAAGTATTGACGGGTCAAAAACTGATATTGACCGAGTGAAAATGAAGCTGAGCGGCCGCTTTGACTGTTGATATTCCCGCCCGTTATTTTGAGCCCTGATATTGTGTGCGAGGTCTAAACTGTCACCGTGAGCATTAGGCACGTGCTTATAACACAAAAGACACCTAGCATTTTAAGCTATACGCGTATATAGCGAACTTCGTTCTTATTTGTAACTCCAAACTAAACTGAAACGGGAAAAGATTTGCACTCAAATTCTTTGAATTAATTTTTTTTTTAATGACCAAGATTACCTTCGTTGCTAGTTGCTATTTTTTGTTCCTCGTCGGTATTTTCATCTTTGATGACTTTGATGACTTCTTCATCGTCTTTTCCGTCAATTCCTCTTTCTTGGCGTCCATCTTCCTCTTTGCCAAGATGAAATATTGGTGCACCTTCGTTCGTCGCTTCCTGCGTTACACAAAGTACAAGAGTTCACGCAATTACCCGCAAGGCTACGGGAGAGGGCTATTGATCAAAAAGACAACTTCCTCTGCCCGAAACTTTGGTGATTCATGACGTGCCTAATGTAGCTCCTCAAGGGGGAGTGAGAGCCGAGAAGTTTGTGATATAGGTCAGTCCAAGACTGTCACTCCATGGTACCTACTTTGTCCGTATCTTCATCTTGCATTCTTCGGTTTTTCTCACGTATTTCAGCCAACGCTGCAAATATACAGTAGGAAAGTTATCTTTCAATCAGTATAACTGACCCCAGCTACATGCAAAACTGTGTATCGAGTCCAAAAGCACACACACATACACACCGTTAACACTGTCCATGATCTTTTTTCGTTCCCTGCTAACCCATAACTGCCTCTCTTCTTTTTCCGCTTCGACACCACCTCGCGCCCTGAACGACAACGGACAAACCAGTTCAGTGCGAATACAATTAATCGGATTTAGATTGAGAACCGGAACGTCAAATACGACGTTAAAATTGCAAATAAATGGCTACACCTGCCCAATGATATAGCAGCTACTCTGAAAATGGCGTCTGCCAGGAGAGAAACTCAACCGCAGAAAATCATCATTTCATTCATTTGGCGTTTTTGTATGCAATTGTTAATCGTAAATATACGATTTTCAAAATGTGAACAGTGAAACAATACAATATTTGTGGTCGCTAGTTGAATCCCTCTAAATCGCTAGGTATTTGTAAAATTAATTGTAGGTAATTTCGTTACAGTTTTCAGTTTCAATTCCATACTTTTTTTACCACGCAACAACTAATTTAACGGAAAATGACAGTCCGTACAAACTTCACCGACAATTCACGTGAACGAGTGGAATCTCATTGTGAAGTCACGAACCGACAGCTAATTTTTCCTGGTCGATTATTGTTTATCAATGTGTGCGGCAAATATTTCGACAAGTTTTCCTGACGACAAGGAAACGGCATGGTTAATTAAAAAAAAAACTGGTCATGCCTTCTTTGGGGCAGGAAAACGGTTTGTAAGGTCGGGCCGACCAGGAAAATTTGTTTTTAGTACACGAGAGTGTTTCACAACATACCAGGCTTCAACGCAAGCTCTCTCTTTCGGAAACACGGGCCGGTCGTCCAAGTATTTTAAATTTTTCTAAGAAAAAAGAGGTCAAGGTAGACTTTTGCTTGAATATCACGTGTGGTAATGGATATTAGCTAATTTACTCGCGGTGCACTGACTAAATCTGATATTTTATAAATCTTTCATGTTCATAATACGTACGATTTTTAGGATCATTTGTTTTCTATAGTGCTTTATCTTCTTTATAACAGGATTGCCAATTAGATTGAGAACACTCTTAGAAAAAAATAACGAAGAAAAGCTAGTTTATTCCATACCAAAAGAAACGAGACTCTCATATATGTATAATGTTCTTGAGTGAAAAGCGGTCAAAAATAAACATGAGAAAGCGGACACATCCTTGAAGTTTTCCAAAATACTCAAGTCGAATACTCACCACTTTAGCCATGGCAGAAAACACATCTAGTATTTCAGGGTCATCCAATTGATTGTGGGATAAATCTAGGACACTGCAGGTAATACAGGATTAAAGAGGTACACAAGCTATTTTTTTAATGATTGGTCTAGCTACACTAGCTACACTATCAAAGTCAGTGTTTTTGAAATACACGCAAACCTCAAATACTCGCAGTTTCGTAGTTCCTCAATGTCTTCAACAGTTTTCAATTTGTTATGAGCAATCTGTAATGTGTTTAACTTTGGCAGACATGCTGGTGTTGTATAGAAATAGAAAGAAAGTAAATAATACCCCTTGCTTTGATGGGTTTCAAAATTACGTGTTCACAAAAAAAACTTTCATCTTACCAATATTTTCAATCTTCCTTATTGAGTTATTGCTCACATTTAGAGTATCCAGGAGAGACAAATGATCAACATTTTGTAATTTCTCTATCAGATTTTGATGCAAATATCTAAGATTGAAAAAACAACTGCATTAGGATTATATTAGTTTTATCATTCGTGCCCACAATGGGTCGGATATGACATAGTCACAACCATAGATTGACATATTACACCATATCCATTCCACCTTCGGGACATCCTAGGCATCATGCCATGTTTGCTAAATTTCTTTTTTGTTAGAACTTCACTTACAGACAACGTAATTCAATTTGGTTGTCAAGTCCTTCTATTGTTCTGATACCATTACATTCTAACCAAAGACACTTTAATCCTGTGTAATCCTCCAAGTTTTCTATCTTACCAAATCCTGAGAATTAAAAGAATGGATATTTCAAGCAATTAGCTTTCAAGAGTTACCACACATCATGTTGAGATCTTTGCAGACCTACATACAGCGCTGATATACAAACATGATAATTTTACTTTGCAAGTATAATCGTTGTTCTCACACAAGCAAAACTTGGAGAGGAATCTAAATTCTTAAAGTTTCTGTTGTCTCATATATGACATGTACAGTAGGTACCTTTGTAGTGCAAATAAAGAACATCATTGAGATATGGTGTTCTGTATAGTTTCTGTTGTTTGCAGATATCCAGGAGGACCTTTTTGGTCATTCTAAAGCAAATGACACAATTTTAACCCAAAACATGTTATGACAATGATTGTGATGGTAGAGATGTTGATGATAGATGATGAGAAAATTTATGATTGTGCAAGTATTGCAAGTAAAGATTAATCATGCAATGTTCAGATATTGATTGTAGCCATAATTATGATGAAGATTGACAACAAATGATGATTGTGGTGATGTTTTGGGGATCCTTACCATACTATATAACAGTGCATGGTCATGCATACTGGTGATTACCATCATTGTGATAGCTAGGACTGGTGGTTCAGTGGTTGGTTGTAATGGTATTGACCATGGTGGTGTGGTGCTGATGTTGATGGTAATGATATGTGGTGATAACAGTGGATAGCTCACATCAATATATGAAAGTAGTGTTATGATTGCTCATCATCATCATCTGTTCATTCATCATAAAGAAAGGTTATAAAAAGCAATATTAACAGTCACCAACATTCTTACCTGGGCCATTTGTCCTCGTCAACTTTCAAATTCTGTTTACATTCAGTTTTTTCGCTTGGCTCGTCCAATAACGACGGCATTTTGCGTAAAACAACGAGGATATACAAAAAATATTATTTACAAACTTCGTTGTTTCTCTTCCTCTCAGCGTCGTTGTTTGTTGCTATGACAACATTTCGAAATTTCCAGATTTTGTAAAATGGATGCACTTCTGAAAACTTCGCTATTCGCAGTACCACAAAATAGTTTATTGCGTTTTTAGTATATACTGCTGGAAATTAAGGATTAGTCTTATGCAAAGAAGAATTTGATTGTATTCTGATAACGTTAACGGTTAAGATGTTAAATTATGACATGTTAACGTTTTAGCCTAAAGAAAACATTAAAATATTATTGAAACATTTTTAGATTGCAGAAGTGGAAACACAGTCGCGAACATTTTCGCGGTGCTTTTTTTTGTTCCCCCCTGTCGTCTGCCGCAGAATCCAGATTGATGAAACACTTTAGGCCAAGATCTATTTCCGGGGGGTTAAAATGAAAACTAAAATGAGCACTTTATCAATTTTTTTTCAAATTATTTGTATTTTGGCGAATTTTAGCGTGTTTGAAAACGTTGTAATATATCAAGTGGCTCCTAGCTATTTTTAACGATACACAATAAAACATACTGTGTACAATCATACTGAATAAGAGCGATGTAATATCCCATATCGAATATTCATATGTGTGAACTGTGGAATATGAATTGATACAGCTGTATCACCCCTGTATGGTTTTATATGACAGGAAGTTTTTTACAGTGTTAGTAAGTAAGTGTATTGATTTACTTTAAATTATGCTGGACATCTTTGAAAATCGCTCAGACTCGAGCTCAATTTAATTTATATTAACTGCAAAGATTATACACACGGAACTGATCATATAGTTTTAAACCTGAAATAAATATGAACTCATCAGCAGTTATTGTTGCCATATTAAAAAGTATTTTCACTTTCTTCAAACGAAATACGTTCTTTGATATCCTGTATTTGAACACATAGACTAGTTGGATACTAGTTTCTAATACATCAGGATTATTAGTCATATACATCCAACAAATGTTAGTTTTTCCACCCAGTACCTATATTATATTTGCAGAATTTTTTAAATAAGAAAATAAACGTTAAATGGCATAAGACAGTACAACATTAAAGAGGGGTAACATGTATGCACATCTGTGACATTGCCTCTCAAGTACGGCTTGTATCTGCCAAATTACAAGTAATGTTTTTGTCAATATTCATATTCTTTATGAATAGGTGCAATTTTTAAATAGCAGCCATATCCTATAAGTGCCAGGCTCCTTGACTAAACAGCTGGGGGAAGTTGTACAAAAGATTAATTAATGTTTAACTGTAATTAAGAACAGAATTGGCCAATCAGAGTCGTGTATTTCCGAGTTAATTTGGATTTAACTATGCAAAATGTAGTTAAGGAGTTTTATACAACCTGCCCCTGGTTAAGTCATATTCTCTTTGTTTCTGACTACTTGAATGAGGATAATTGATTAAATGTGGCCTTGATCTTGTAGCTTTTAAATTTGGAAAGAATGGCACACGGGCAGGAAAAACGAAAAGCGTAAGTTCAATTTGGTTTAATTAACAATAGTTTATTCCATCAAGTTTACAAAGCATAAAAAAGAATAATGATGAAGCAATTTGGGCTATTTTTAGGGATCTGAAACTTGTTATTCTTGGGGATTCTTCAGTTGGCAAAACCACACTGATTCATAGATATATGGAAGGCATTTTCACTAACAAAACATCAGTAAGCATGATAAATATAGTACTTGATTTCATAATTCTGTAAAGAAATTAAAGATATAAAATTGCAATACAACTTTAATTTCACTTACAACAGACTATCGGTGCATCATTCATTTTAAAACAATGGGGACCATATAATGTTGCAATTTGGGTGAGCATATAAACTTATTGTTTGATTTTTTAAAGAATGTTTGACCAAATATCAGTTTATAGTATTATATTACTCTATAACTTAGGATACCGCAGGAGAGGAGAAATATGCTGGGCTTTCTTCGTTTTATTGCCGTGGTGCTTCAGCGGCAATTTTAGCTGTCGACTTAACCAGACATAACTCTTTGAATGTCTTAAAAGACCGACATATTCCCTTGTTACAAAGTGCTGAGGAAGACTGCTTGTGTGTTGTTGTTGGCACCAAACTTGACCTGGTTAATGATACCACAAGACAGATTTCAACTGACATTGGTAAAGCTTTGGCCAAGACCCAGAATAAGGAAAGATTGGACAAATTGAATGTTGTGCCGTATTTTGAAACAAGTTCAAAGACTGGCAAGAATGTTGAGAATGTTTTTGATTTCATTTTGAATACATGCTTACCACTGGATGGTGATTGTGAGGAAAAAGGGGGAAGGACAATGTCTAGTGGAGATTGTGTCGACCTCAATGCACCAAAGCATTGTCATCAGAAAAGAAAATGTTGTTAGTTATTAACAGTACCTAGATTAATGTAATTATTTTAGTACAAAATTTAGTTTATAGATAATTTGATATAATATAATTTAATCTCCTCACTACAATACCAATGGTTGGTTTTATGGTAATGTATCCACAACATAGATAACCTGAATATACAAGAGTAAGAAGACCATTCCACACATTCATCAAGTTACGAAAAATTAAATGTGAAGTTCTTTTAACCCAAATTTAATAAGCTTGATAAAGTTTGTATTTTTCAACAAATACCTCGTAAATTATTTTTACAATATCTATATCATCCTATTTGCATAATATGATTTTTCATAATATAACAATTTTCTCCTGCAAGGAGGGAAACTTTGCTCAAAGCCCATTTATTTTAAACAGTGGATAGGTTGAAATTAAATAATTCCATATATATTGTAAATGACTGAACTCAATTCTTGCTGTTGCCATTGTCGCTATACAAGTTGGTGTTATGTGTACTTTGGTTCAATTGTTTGAAGAATGCCTGTAATATATTCAACCCATCAACTGTTTAGCCTAAAAAGCTTTCAACAACTGGCTCAGATGAGGCCAAATTTACTGCCAAATACTAGATGTATAATTCTATTACCAATACCAAGCAATACAAAATGATGGTTTATAACTCAATGCAGCTTTTTCTAGAACAAACCAGTTTAACTAAATTAAACACAACATCCATGTTTTGTGAAAGTAGATTAAGTGTTGGTAAACCTTTTTTAGCATCAGTTGAAAATATTTATATCATATTTTTTATGCTTTTCATGTGTAATCCTGAAGTTTGCAAACAGGTCTACTTGGTCACTCTTAACAAAACTCAATTGTTTTGAACATCACAAATCTATTGTAAATCCCATCAAAGTTTTGCCAGCTAAAGTTTTTTAAATGCTCTAGTAATGCATGGTACCATACTTGGAACAGTCACTAAAATGTTTGTACTGTAGGACACTCCTCCAACCAGCAACATACTGTTCTTCCATCGCTTGATGTCACTCAACATTCTTGACTGTGCTTCCCACAACAAAAGTCTCCATCAATATCAGTTACCAAACAAGTTATCCTATTAGTGCAACTCAACATGTAGAGATGGTCACATTTATACCAAGATTGCCATTTTCAGCAAAAAGCTGTGCCATACTTGTGTCGAATATCAGACAATCGCTGTTGGAAATTGCTGATGAGATCCCTTCATGGATACTGCGAGGTGTCGCCTCCCAAGCAAGTCGCCGACGATTACCATTGAGCTCCAACCGGTATACAAAATTTTCTGATTGCTTTCGTGTGCCAATGAGTTGGACAATGGCAAAGAACTGTTGATGGCCCTCAAACTTCTCTTGCTTCTCTAAGACAAGCATGAAATGGTGTCCGAAACATGACTGCATCATTACCCAATCAACCGCACCAGGTAGATTGATGTCAGTTGCTAGGAAGACAATATCTTCACCTTGAAGGGTTGTGATGGACTTGTGTGTATGCATAAGGTGGGGCATAACAGCATCCAGAGCCCCCTGCCACTTACATGATGCCCCTGGGCAGGGGCAAGTATAGGGTCTAAACTCACAAGATTCTTCATGCTCTGTTTTATCTGAAAAAGCAAGGGTGGCAGCACAGCCCCCAGAGTTATATCTACACGGGAACATAATTGTGCTGGCCACCTTCTCCATTGCCAAATTCCGTATGCTTCCAAGTGGTCCACGACACGTAGGACAACACTGTAGTTTAGGGCGACAGTTGGAACAAACCAAATGACCGCTAGAACATTGCAAAATCGGTGGTAAAACATAGTCAAAGCAAACAGGGCATTCAAAAATACTCGTGAGGTCTACGTTGGCACTCGCTACGGCCTGAGAAGCGGAGGAATTTTGTCGAATCATCTTCCTATTGACTGAGGCGGCAACTGATGGTCGATTCATGGACATAATTATCTTGCTTCTTCACCGACAATTCAAGCGCCGTATCGCCGTTTTATCAACGATTACGCGCGTTCTAAGACATTCGCACTCTACTATAGCAAATCTTGTGGTTCGGGGTCCTCTTGTTTGCCATGGAAAGGATTAAAAATTCCATTAAATTTCGATTTCGTGAACTAATATCGCGGCAATATTTTTGCTTATGTTTCTCTTCCAAATTGGATCAACACTTGGACCATGACGAAAGAGGAAGAGGAGTGGGGAGAGGAAATAACACCACCGCTTCTGATTGGCTAACCCACTGATCTGGGCCAGTGTAATGAAAAAAACTGGAACGCTATCTTCTGAGCGAAAGCCACTGAGCTATATAAGAATTATTAGCTCAGTGGCGAAAGCTGAAAAACTAAGTCATCCCCAGTCTTTACACGCAAAAACAAACACGACCAAAACATTGAATACAAAAGTTTTTGTTGTGATTTCGTAAAAACTCACAAAAAAATTTCTTTCAAATTCGCTCTGCGCATCTCATGTGCAGTGATCTCCCGCTTCACCGCGATTTTTTAAAGCAGATTCTTTTGGGATTTTTTTTAATTATTTAGTAGAAATTACTAGAAATATCGATTTCAAATTTCTCGAAAAAGGAAGCAGGTTGGGAATAGGAAGACAATGAATTGAATTATTGAAACACATGTAACTTGTACTTGTATGCATAATACATGCCGGCACTGAAAACATTTCATATTTCGATAAAGAGGTATTTATGTAAAGACAGCATCATTTGAATTGCAAATATTGTATTAAACTGAAATATACAATTTATAATAACAGCATCTCGGCAATCGCATTTAGTACATTACATAATCGCTTTCGTCACAATATATAACAAAGTTGTCATCGATTCGATTGGTATCTTAAAGTAATTAAAGTCACATGGATACAGAGATGAGCGCTGGTTCGCCGACTCCTGTAAGCTTATTTTGTAAATACAGTTCTATATACTACGACTTTTGTCTTTGTTGTAGCAGATTGAAATGCATCTTGTTTCTTTCTCTTAAAAGAATTGTGTAAAAGGATATCAATTCACCAATTGGTCGAAAACATTCGAATGCAGTCCCGAACTATATTTCGAGCCATCAAATTTAGACGAAATTCGCGAGGTATGTGAAGTCATGTGGATGTGATATGATAATTTTATCGTTTCTTTGTTTTATCCACCGTTTAAGCTAAAAGCCTTTCGAACAACGAGTCCCAGTAGAAAAGGGCTAGTATTTAAAATTTAATGTAGCTGGTACTGTGGTACAAACACGTGCATTCGTCGTGTAACTCGTGTTATTTGCGTTGCGTAACCTTCGGTCAATTATGTAACTACCGCGAACATTTAAAGTTACAAAATCATGTGATGCTTTATATAAACATACATATTACATTGATCTCTACGGTCATTACCTTAATTATGTCTTTGTTAGAAAAATTTCCCTCTTTACATATCAATCACAAAGATCATGAAACATTGCTGAATGATATTATTATGCATACAACCAGGCTTTTTATATTACTCATTGAGTCATTAATGGTATGGTCAAATTTAAAATTATTAAATGAACACTTTCAGATTCTTAATCAAGCCTCAAGACAAAAGAAAAAAGTTAAAGTTGTTGGCAATGGTCATTCACCATCAGATATTCAATGTACTTCTGATTACATGATCTGCTTGAGAAAATTCAACAAAATTATTGATGTGAGTGTTCATTAAATATTAGACCTTAACCGTTTCCTGTCACTGCCATAAGTGTTAGTATTACTCCATTACAAACCACTTTTATTACAACTTTCATGATCACCTCAAATATAGTACTGCCAAAATTACAATTGTATAATGAAATAAATTTTATCAACATAACCTTACCATTATCATCACCCAACCATCATAATTATCACTCTGCCATCATCATCATTACCCTGCCATCATAGGCCTATTTAGATTACACAATACGTTGCATGCAATTATCATTCTGACAGGTGCAAAATAGGGCCTATGCCACAATCTTCATTTATATTGTTCAGGGTGGAATTTAAAGTGTCATGTTTATACTTGTATTCATATGTTCACATACGCCAGGGTACAATTGTATACGACAAATCTTGTAGTGTAAATGGGCCTTTACACTCACCATTATCATCACTGATCCATCACAATAACTAAATATATATATAATCAATAACATCATCATCAACTGAACATTATAGCTAATTTGCCATTACCAGTGCCTTCTACTGATGAAACTGCATTAATCACACCTTATCCCCAGGGGCGGATTAGCCCACCGGGCTACCGGGCGATGCCCCGGTGGGCCCCCACTCTTGTAAAATAAGGGGGCCCTGGCTATGGGTGCTTGTTATAAGCTTGCAATGTCTCAAAACCTGTTTGCGATCGAGCCTATTGGAAATAATAGCAACAAAATAAAATCACGATTTCGATTGGAACTACAGGAAAACCGAAATTATGTCTTGCAAGTACGGGACAGAGTTAAACTAGTATTGTATCGTAAGTTGCACTTTTACCCGTGTTACACAAGCCCAATGCATACCAAACAATGGCAAACATTCCGAACATTTTGCTGACTCATGTTATAGATAAATATAGACCGTCGATGTCATCATATTCAGGTGACATAATTTACTAAAAGCGGCTTTAGTTTAGCATACATAAACGCACATTATGTAAATAAGTAAAATATACCAATTTCGAAACTTAGTGGCTGTGCCTTCATATTGCACGAAAACGAGGCTTATTGCGCAACAACGATTAAAAAAATCCCAATATTGTCTTCCTTCAATGACGTCATCAGGTGGGCCCTTTTGGCCTATCGCCCGGTGACACTCATAACGCTAATCCGCCCCTGCTTATCCCTAATACCAGGTCAATAAAGAGACTCAACAAATCAAAGCACAAGCGGGTACAACACTTCATGAACTTCACCAAGAAGCCCTAAAACATGGACTAGGAGTTTCACCGTATGTTTATCCCTTCTATTTTAGGGTTTCATGCAATACGACAGATTCTAGGGGGGGTGTATGTTTAAAATATTGTGACATGATAATTGGAGTTTGTGGTTCACTTCATTGCTTGGATTTAAATGCCAATGAAAGTTTTTGAAATTGTCTTTCAGAATTCCTTCAGTATCTCATATTTCACTCGCTGGTCTAATTGCAACAGGAACACACAGCACTGGTGCCAATTATGGTATCTTAGCAACTAATGTGAGTCACAACTGTGGTTATATCACCATGTAGTTTCTGGTGCAACCCCTAATGTGATATGCATCCCCTGATGTCATTGATTCTAACCCTATCGCTAAAGTTCGTTTTCCTCCAAATGAATTTATCCGTGCGACTGATAAAAAGTGTGATGCTACTTTTTGGGGCGGATTTTTGTATGAAAACGCTCTTTAAAGTCAATGACGTGACATTTTGCCCCCGAATGGAAATCTGGCTTAGAATGAAGTTCTATCACGTAAATTCAGGTTACAGAGATGACATTGATGGATGCCAGAGGAGAAATCGTTAAATGCAACGACAAGGTGAATAAAGATATATTTGACGCGGCCAGGTGTCATGTTGGAGCAGTAGGGATTATACTGGATATAACGTGGCAATGTGAGAAAGCGTATCGATTGTGCTCAAAGCGAATGGCGGGAAAGTTAGATGAGGTAAATTAATAATACTATTGTTGTATTTCGCGATGTTTTAAAACTGTTCACCCTTCAACCTTTATCCGAATAGATGTTTCCTTATTCGACCACTCTAAGTCATTTTATATTTTCCCATACGTGAATGGATGTTTTTAGCGTGTTTCAGAAAGCACTGATCCATTGAACATCCTACCTAGATTTAGGCTGTCAAATTCTGAGATTGATGCACTCTTGATTAGGAGGGTCAGGAATTATTGTTTAGATAGAAACAAATTCTGTACTCACAGTGCAGGGGGGGGAGGAGGAAAATGCCATTCAAATACCAGCCTCCTTCCGCTGAAACTATATATCAACCTGTGTTGAAATTATTGTGTAATTGAAGGTGCTGGATAGACTTGAGAATGCTCTGTCACAGACTGAACATTATAAATTCCACTGGTGGCCTCATACGAATCACGTTGCTGTCTGGGATGTGGTTAAGACTGATAAGGTAGATGGTGTATGAAAATACTCAACTGAATAATCGAGAAATGAGTTATTAAAGTTTTTCAAAACATCAATAAGGGCGTTTTTATTTTCTCCAACAGCCTGTGAAGATAAAAAGTAGTTGGTTTTGGGATTACCTGATTGGCTTCCATCTCCTACAGTTCGTGTACTGGCTGAGGTTTGTGTCAAAATGAAACTGGATTTCCCCAGAATTGAATTTTTTACTGAGTGAAACGTATTTGCATTTTTCCGTTAGTACTTTCTTCACGTGGCTGGTGCCGTACATCAACAAATATCATTTTACGTGGTTGAAATCGCAGCCTGAAGAGGTGGTTGACGAGGCAGAGAAAGTGAGTTCAACATGATTTTTTGGGGGAAGATTTGAGGATGAGCAGTTTTGCAGTTGGTTTTAGTGATCAAATATTAATTTCTTTCGAAATTTCGCTCTAGATTTTCACATTCGACTGTCTTTTCGCGCAGTACGTCAACGAATGGGCGATTCCAAGGTTTGTGCATGTTAAATAATTTTTCAAGTCAAATTTTCAACTAAAGGAAGCCAGACTGGTTAAGCTAATTTTTCGGCTTTCCCAGTTGGTGACTTGTGGTATAGCAGCATCACAATATCAGTTCATACACCTGGGGCCGGTTGTTCGAAAGGTGTTTAGCTTAAACGGTGGATAAGTTCAAAATGAAAAACAAAATGATCTCTTTACTGGACAGGTGAGGTGGAACATTTTGATGTAAATAGCTTAATTTTCAATGAATGTACATATTTAATGCATAAAATGCAGGTTCAGTCATTCACAAGGTGTATGAGAGTACTTTTAAATTTTAGCTTATCCACCGTTTGAGCTAAACGCCTTTCGAACAACCGGCCCTAAGTCATTCATATGCATTATCAGTAAAATCTTGTAATATGTCTTCACAGCTAAATCATGGTTCATTGTGCTTTTTTGTACGTTAGAGAAAAAACACCATATGTTTTAAGACAATTAAAGAACTGGCTGGATGAATCACATTTTTACGCACACATGCCAGGTCGGTGCAAATGATGTTCTTGAATATAGTATTAATAATTCCTTCGTTCAATCTGAAAAAGCAACGATTACCGTGTTAATACATATCTGTTCTTTTTGTATAGTTGAAGTAAGGTTTGTGGCGAAAGATGATATTTATTTGAGTCCTGCGTTTGGAAGAGACGTCTGTTTCATTGGAATCATAATGTATCGGTAGGTGCATAACGAATACAAAGTGATTCCTTGTGGCAAATTATAGTATATACTCTAACAAGATACTGCATGTTGTGATGTTGGAAAAGGAAGCTATCGCAAAATGCGAAAACTAACAACTTGGATAATTTGTTAGCTTGTTAAAAAACCAGTAATGACAACGGAAGTATAACCAGCCATTTCATTTCAGGCCGTATGGTAAATTAGTCGCACATGAGGATTACTGGAATTTTTACGAAGACCTTATGCTTTCTGCTGGAGGTCGACCACATTGGGGAAAGGTTAATATTAAGTTTACAATTTTATCACTCGCTTAGTTTATGATTCGATAAAGTATAACCCCTAAAGGATGATATATCATTCTCATGGAGTAATATTTAACCCAAGTTTTCCGAGCAGAAAGGCTCTATTATTGAACAAAATCTACGGCTTCACCGTGGTTTCCCGCCATCTCGAAATTTTTATCAGCTCCGCGAGGTTTCCGCGAATGACACACACGCGAACCTGAATGCCCGCAAACTAAATAGTTTGAGTAACCTATCAACTGGCAGGCTCTTCCATTGCCGAGTAAAATACTAAGGTTAATGGTCTGGGCCGGTGACCTCCGTATATTTATAGATCAGTGATCTTGGTGAGCGTCATTGGCGAGCGTTTCGCCCAACGAAGCTGTTCGAAACACTGACCTCTACTAGATATGGACTATTCTAGTGTAGATCAGTGATTGAGATTCTTATATCCTGATTGGCCTCTAATAACCGTTTCGTTTTTTATAGGCACATAAGCTTGGTTTCCAGGCCCTGCGAAAAATTTACCCAAGCTTCGACGATTTCCGCAATGTCTGCGCCAAACTCGATCCAGACCGCTTGTTTGTGAACGAATATCTAGAAAGAACACTTTTCCCGCCAGAACTGAAATAATCATCAGTTCCAGTGTTTTTTGTTATCCCTCGTGCACAAATTGTCGAACTTTTGTCGTAATTGTCGTGAACATGTCTCTCTTGCCGATTTGGATTATGTACGTTGTATGAAAAAAAATTGTTGAATTTTAACCATATATAATATATGGCAAGAATTCGCCAATTCTAACCCAGTATTTTGGTGTTAACTTCAATTTAACTACGCAAAATGTCCTACCGTTTGCAAGCTACCGCCGTGAACCGTGTCGAATCAAACGTTTTGTTTTTCATTTAAAAAACCGTTTAAGTTGTTGGCTTCCGGTTACGTTTGCGTTGGGTAAGCGTCATGTTCTATAGACAAAAAGTACGATTTGCTCGCTCAAAAGTTGTACCTTGGAAATTTAAATTTACAATGATTCAAGTTAAAATGTTGTCTAACAAAGAAAGATGTAAAGTGAAAACCTATATGTTTGACATCGGTAATGACTAACAATTGTTCAAAATGTCGAATAGGATAAAATTAAAAATGTTATAAAGCGTTTTGTTAGTGAACTTATAGAATGTAACGTTTGGGAAAGCAAACGTCACCGAAAATAAACGTTAAAACGTCTTTGATGGACTTTGGTTCACGGTAGTTTGCATGCAAACGTTAGAAGTTAAGATTTTCATACAACCGCCTGAAGATGTATACATTTGTGTTGTCGTCCATTATGTCGACCATTTTGACATGTTCACGGTGATTGCATGATTAAGTGCATGGAGACGAGACTTTGAAATTTTGAAGACGTGACCCTCGAACAAAGACTTTTATTTCTAAACAATTTTTCACCAAACCAGGAACATAAACATCTTGAACATAGATATGCCTGCAGACAGGCATGAACGTTGAGAGGAAGGTAAATATCCCAGGGAATATAATATAATACTTTTGTCATGTCTTGTTTCTCTATTTATTTCATTTTGGCTTTGGCCAAAAATGTTCAGGAAGGGATGCGTATATATACCGAAAAGTATAGGAATATGGAAAATGCTCTGAAGAGTGATCAAATGCCCAAATCACTCACAAGTGGATTAAAGACTCTGAAAGGGTCTTCCTAGAAACCTGACGTTAGGGAGTTAATTCGATTTTCGGCACCGACAGAATTAAGCTCGACCGCGCAAAAAGTATATGGTCAAGTACCTGATTGCATCTGTCACGTAAATTTAACAAGTGTGAAATGATAAGTGTAAAAATAAACAAGCAGACGTGCATGACAATTGGCTTACAATGCTGCGCGGATCTGTCACGTACAGAATGGATTACCGACTCTGCATGATATATATAGAAAAACGCCTGCCTGCTGAATTCTGTCAAAGGGGAACGTCCAAATATATCTAGCCAGCGAGCGAGAACCACCTTAGTTTGTACTTGTTAGATCTGCAGTTGATCAACAAAGTTCATCAGAATGGAAAGTCACACTGGAGCCGTGAAGAGAACTGATTCATCAAGCCTTGTAAGCTTATTTTTTAAAGAATTATTTCATTCCGATCTTTTACGAAAATTATTGCCTTCCTAAGATCAATTGTTGCGAAGCGAAATTGTTCTTGTTTTTTCCCAAAGAACGGCATAAAAGGACACAAGTTCACAAACTGGTCGAAGACGTTCAAATGTAATCCTGAGCTGTACTTTGAGCCATCAAATCTGGACGAAATTCGGCAGGTAAAGAAGTTTAGCTTGGAAGCTTAATGAACTTTACTGCCCTAATATTTGGGCGTAAGTTTTTTTGTTGCGGTTTCCGAGTGTAGAAAATTTGAATCCAACTTTGACAGACTGTTGTGTGTAAAATTCCACAGTAAACGATAAAATTTTTATATTGTAATAAAGATTAGCCTAGTTGGTTTCCGATTATATTATTCGTATATCAACCATGACCAAAAATGAATGAGTTATCGTCTGCCAAAACATTTTGCACAACGTATAGTCTGCCAAACATATGTTCTGGTATAGGTGTCTTAAGGAGAATAAAATCTTTCGTCTCGTTAGATTCTATTCTCACACTTTATAAATTTTTCCCATGATTCCCATACTGAATCAAACACAACAAGTATCACGCAGAACACCACTCATCAGTGACCAAGGTCCCCGTGCAACGTTCTTTGCCGATTGTAGCAATTTATTTGTGAAATTGTAGTTTGAAATTGCATTTCTACAGTTGATAAAAAATTTCTAGATTTTGAATGAAGCGTCAGAGCAAAAGAAAAAAGTTAAAGTTATTGGCAATGGACGTTCGCCATCAGATATTCAATGCACTTCAGATTACATGATCTGTTTGAAAAAATTTAACAAAATCATCGCTGTAAGTGTTTTTTAGAATATCATATCACTACCTTACTGCCACCAATATATCAATACAATTATAATTATCACTCCCATCAAATTATAGTCGTCCTATGACTGTCTTCACTCCACCATTATCATTATCCCAAATCCCAAATGTCATAACTAGCCCCTAATCATTACCCAGCTACCCATCATCACTATTCCCCACCATTATTATCCTCCGATTATTACTCCTGTATAACAAGTTAACCATACTTATCCATCATCACCCTCCACCAGGTAAACAAAGAAACTGGACAAATCAAAGCCGAGGCTGGTATAACACTGCATGAATTTCACCAAGAGGCATTAAAACATGGACTAGCGGTTTCACTGTAAGTTCAAACTCTCTTATCTCTCATTTCTAATCCCTCTATCCCCATCAAGTAAGAATGACAGAGTAAGGTCTTGAAATTACCTTTTAGAATGCCTTCAGTATCCCACATTTCGCTAGCTGGTCTGATTGGAACGGGAACACATGGTACTGGCGTGAGGCACGGTGTCTTAGCAACCCACGTAAGTTGTTACAAGTGCATTAATTACTTGTAGTTACTCGCCGGACAAATGTTTGAGAAAACTTGCTGTGAATTTTCCTTAATTGACGGTCCCATTTAACTCAGTGTCACATAGCGAGGTAAAAGCCTCACTGATCATGTAAATTCAGGTTACAGAGATGACATTGATGGATGCCAGTGGAGAAATCGTTAAATGCAACAACAACGTGAATAAGGATATATTTGACGCGGCCAGGTGTCATGTTGGAGCAGTAGGGATTATACTGGATATAACGTGGCAATGTGAGAAAGCGTATCGATTGTGCTCAAAGCGAAAGGCGGGAAAGTTAGACGAGATAAATAAATAATACTATTGTTGTATTTCGCGGTGTTTTAAAACTGTTCACCCTTTCAACCTCCATCCTAATAGATGTTTCCTTATTCGACCACTCTAAGTCATTTTATATTCTCCCACACGTGAATGCATGTTTTTTAGCATGTTTCAGGAAGCACTGATCCGTTGAATATCCCACCTAGATTTAGGCTGTCGAATTCTGAGTTTGATGCACTCTTGATTAGGAGGATCAGGAGGATCAAGAATGATTGCTTAGATAGAAGTTAATGCTATACTCACAGTGCAGGGGTCAGGGGAGGAAAATGTCATTCAAATACCAGCCTCCTTTCGCTGAAACTATATATCAACTGTTGAAATTATTGTGTAATTGAAGGTGTTGGATAGGCTTGAGAATGATCTGTCACAGACTGAACATTATAAATTCCACTGGTGGCCTCATACGAATCACGTTGCTGTCTGGGATGTGGTTAAGACTGATAAGGTAGATGGTGTATGAGAATACTCAATAGAATAATCGAGAAAATGAGTTATTAAAGTTTTTCAAAACATGAATAAAGGCGTTTTTACTCTCTCCAACAGCCTGTGAAGATAAAAAGTAGTTGGTTTTGGGATTACCTGATTGGCTTCCATCTCCTACAGTTCGTGCACTGGCTGAGGTTTGTGTCAAAATGAAACTGGATTTCCCCAGAGTTGAATTTTTGACTGAGTGAAACGTATTTGTATTTTCTGTTAGTACTTTCTTCACGTGGCTGGTGCCGTACATCAACAAATATCATTTTACGTGGTTGAAATCCCAGCCTGAAGAGGTGGTTGACGAGGCAGAGAATGTGAGTTCAACATGACTTTTTGAGAGAGATTTGAGGATGAGCAGCTTTGCAATTGGCTTTAGTGATCAAATGTTAATTTCTTTAAAAATTTCGCTCTAGATTTTCACATTCAACTGCCTTTTCCCGCAGTACGTCAACGAATGGGCGATTCCAAGGTTTGTGGCGTTCATTAATATCCTGACGCATCAAATATCCAACTAAAAAATTATTGATTGCTTACGCGTGAACTTAACCGGAAAAACACATGCATTAATTACTTCAACTTTAGAGAGAAAACGGTGTTCGTGTTAAAAAGCCTGAAAAAATGGCTGGACGAATCAGGATTTTACGCACACATGCCAGGTACTTAATAAGAAAGTCGTATAGATATAAATACCTGCAGTTAGAGGTTCGAAAGAGAGAGGTCCCTGGGTACGAAATTGTCAGAGCAACTCGGAGATCTTTGACATAGGCCACAAGAGCTTAAGAAATTATTTATAGAAAACCAATTGAAAAGCAAACATTGCATGCATGTCAGGTTGGTGCAATTGGATTTCTTGAGTAGTTTTAAGAATTCCTTCGTTCAATCTGAAAAAGCAACGATTACCGTGTTAATACGTAATTGTTCTTTTTGTATAGTTGAAGTAAGATTTGTGGCGAAAGATGATATTTATTTGAGTCCTGCGTTTGGAAGAGACGTTTGTTTTATTGGTATCATAATGTTTCGGTAGGTAGAGGAATGGAAACGCATAAACACGCATGCAAAATAAACCATCTTGAGAAAGCGACATTTGCTTGAGACTGCTTTCCCATTATTATTTTTGTCGAAGAACCTCACAGAACTAATTCGTATCAACAATTCGTAACTAACAAAGGCCGTTGTGACATACAGTCAAATAAACAGTGAAGTCTCACTGAATAACAAACTATAACAAGTTGAAGAAGTTAGTCATAAATTCGGATGAATTATAACCTAGCTTGAAGCAACCCGTTGATAAGACGACCAGAGTATCCAGTCTGACTAATTTCGGTATATTAATTCAGGCCGTACGGTAAAGATGTTGCATACGAAGATTACTGGAATTTCTACGAGGATCTTATGTTTTCTGTCGGTGGTCGACCACATTGGGGAAAGGTTAATAAAAGTTGATAACTTTATCACGCTTCTGATCGAAGTACCTCATACTTTAGTAAATTAATTTTACCCGCCGAATCCCTGCATGATATTGAATATGTGCAGCTTACAAGAAACACGCATTGGCGGGCTAAACCGCTTTATTTACTGCATGATAGGACTCTCCTACTGACTATACCATTTCATTGGCATTTCTAGACTAAACTATATGGCATCTAGACACATGCTATATTATCAATTATTTGTACATGTACAGTCCAATTGATTTCTTATAACTTTTTATAGGCACATAAGCTTGGTCCCCAGGCCTTACAAGAAGTGTACCCGAGCTTCGACGATTTCCGGAATGTCTGTACCAAACTAGATCCAGACCGCTTGTTTGTGAACGAATATCTAGAAAGAAGTATTTTCCCGCCAGGGCTTGATTGTTCAAAAGGCGGTTAGCTTAACCCCGGATTAAAGCAAATCTTTAAATTATTTTTTTAATCGCTTGTTTACGAAGTTAAATCTCTTTTTTCATAAATATTTTCTGCACCGTTTTATAGAAGTCATATTTTCTGAAGTTTTTAACTAGCAGTGGTTCAGAAGCACATGAACTAAAAACTGGATTATAATCTTGTAATGGTGTAGTTGCTCGTAATTTTGCACTTGCATGTATAAAACGCACGAACTGCACGATTATAGATAGATTTTACTTGTGTGTATATTATATACAACGCGCTACCTCGAAGTCATATTTTCGAAATACTGTTAAATCGCGTAAAACGAATCATTTCCAAACCACCTGTGGCGATGCGCAACCATCCAAGGTAATATATTCATGAAGCATTCCGCAACAGCCAACACCACAACACAATAATCTGCCACGTTGTCAAATTTGAAATCGGGGATTCTCATTTTGTGATTTGAAATTTGATCCTCCAAGAAGAAGGAAATAACGATGAACAAATAGTACTCGCTCTACACATTACGTAATCCAAAACGACGACGACGACGAAGGCATGGACTGATTGTTGCTTGAGCTATAACCATTAGATGAAACGTATTTGGGCTTTGGAGGAATGTTTACAATGTAAGTCAGATTGTATAAATCATGTCAGATTGTACATGTCTGAATATATAGACTTGGTATTATTATTATTATTCCAATAAGGTATTCCCGGGAAGGGCTTTTCGATACCTTTTTACAAAATTATTTAAAAATAATTAAAATATATAGCATTCTATTAAAATATACACTGGCGGTCAAAAATAACTACTCAAATGTTGCTATTATCAGGAATCGTGACAATCAATCTTTTATTGTACACTAGCGGTCAAAAAGAACTGTTTAGATACAAATTCATAAAAAAGGAGCGAATATAGGAGAGAGCCACACCTCCAACTTTGTCTTTTCAGAACAAAGTTACTTTGTGTAGGAACGTAATATGAGTAATATGAGTAGGAACGTAAAAATACAATTTGGAAATCATTCTATTCCGACATGTTGACCTTCGCAAGCTCTTCAATACACCGAGCTATAATCTCAGACTTTTCTCAGTGCTTCAATATAAAGTATTATTCTCATAATGCATTAAGCGCTCATATTGAACATATTGACTCTGTGATTGACTCTTATACCTGGGGTTGGCTTCACGGTTTGTGTCAGTGAAATCACTCAATTTGTCGCGCTATTTACTGCTTGATGCATGGTATTTTAGGTCGATTTAGTCATTTAGAGTTCCCCCGGCCGTCGTTTAGTACACAAGCTATTGTATGGGTATTTACAATGACGATTGAATTATGCGAGGTTTATCCCTTGTTTTTTGCCCTTTAAGCAATTTTATAACAGTAAAACAATTACTATTCTTCTGCATCGCGATCCCATTGGTGATGCAATCGCTATTCCAGAGTCGCACAACCGGCCTCCCGTCGTTAAAGGGTTTTAAACAACCAGCCCTTGGTTAGAGAAATTGTTACATTGCCATTGGTATATGGTATTATTGGTATTATTCGCCTTTATGCCTGTTCCGACTGTCTAACACAACTCACAAGAGCTCACAAGCATCACAATGAATACAGTGCTATAAAACAGCATAGCAATAACCCCATTTCACATCAGATTTCTAGGTGCCACTATATATGTTGTCTATTTATATGAAATAACAGCTATTTTATAACGTTAGACGTTCTTATCTGAAATATACAGGGTGTATCAAAAAAAAGGTAATCCAACTTCAACAAGCTATTGTACGTGAACTACTCAGTCTATGAGCGAATTGTTTTCACATTCAGAAAGATCAGGCTTTTAACTATCGGATGACATGTTTTTAATACCAAATGGTGAAAAAGTGAGCACATACGAGGCTGATAAAAAATGTTAGTCGCAATCGCATATTTTCACCTTTGAGCCTAATTAAAGCAGTGCATAACAAAAGAAAAAAACAATTAATCATGAACATGTCACAGCTTGCACTGGTTTTATGCCGCATTGCTTGGAATGTTCTCCTTATTCCTACTTAATATGCATATGCGGGTAGTTTATTCAAAAGCAAAATTCTTCAATTAAGTCCTAAAGAGACTGAGTTAATTTTCAATGGTTTTAGTCCCAACTCTCAGAGGTGAAAATATGCGATTTCGACTAACACTTTTTATCAGCCTCCTATTTGCTCATTTTTTCACCATTTGGTATCAAAAACATGTCATTCGATAGTTAAAAGCATAACCTTTCGGAATGTGAAAAAAATTCGTTAATAGAACAAGTAGTTCACGTACAATAGCGCACCAAAGTTGGATTACCTTTTTTTTGATACACCCTGTATAACTGCATGTGGCGTAGGGAGTACATTATCTACTTCCTACTGCATATGGATTTAATATTTAGTTTAACCAATAATTGCAGGTTGTTTAGCAATCCTACCGCTATAATTGTATATTGATTATACCATCTAACTATCTAACTATCTGTGTTTAACAAAATAAGATAAGATTAAACTTTATTTTCACACGCTATAAATCTTTTACTTCAGCAAAAGCTGACTTCCAAAAATCAGCATGTGTACAGATTAAAAATACATAAATAACTCTAAACAAATGATAGACTACAACATAGGAAAATTGAGATAACATAATTATGTATGTATAGGTTATACAAACTACAATAGTTCTAAAGCAAGCTAGATCCATCAATCAGCACTTGCACTAAATGAATCAAAATTATCTGATTTATCTCCAATTCTCATGTAAACATCTTGTGAAGTGAGGTCAATTTGTGACAAGCCGGTTAGTTTAACCCTGTAACAAATCACGTGTAAAAAGTCTGCAAAATGAGCAACCCAGTACATGCATGCTAACGCGCCCTATGCTTACATGTGCTGCTTAATGTTTTGTCGTCTCGTAATGTTTTTTCTGTTGCCTTGGTAGAACTTTGCATGAGCACTTAGTTTTGTAAGAAATCATCCCACTATTTAATCACTCTCAACAGCGCTTGAAATACAGCTAAAGCAATAAGTTTCAACAAATAAAATACATCTGCATGTATATAGTGTTCGAACTTCGACATGCAGTTTGCTAGACTTTGCATGGGAACTGTCAGAACTAGATACTGTAAATATACAGTTTAGACGTAGGGCTTCATGGAATTAATTGTTGCTTTTTATGGTATTTGTCCAATAATTTAAGTCCAAATGTATGTTGTTGATGGCATTAGATGTATAAAGTAATATGATTCATCCAACGGAATCAACTGTACCAACAACACGTTTACTTATGATGTCATGACAATAGGTGTAATTGAGCGAAATGCTTACAGCTCCCACCTCCCTAGTAATGAGACCTGGTATGCCTATGGTACTATGATGTAATCATACTGAATGTATGGAAAATGTATTAAAAATGGCCATGGACTGAGGTCATGCACGAAACTCATTTTGGTTTCTTACAGACCCTATAGTGAATAGTGATCGCACTGCATTTCTGCATGCAAGGAAGAAATACAAGGAAGAAATCGATTCTGATGACATATAGTAGGTTTGATTATCTGACATTATTATAAATATTTCTCTTATTGATATTATATTTTTTACGGTGCTTTTACAAAAACGCTTAGGTGATATCTAGTCTCATTTAAAGGGTTTTAGTCGCATTTTAAAGTGTTTACTTGCCAAAAATGCCAAGTTTGAATCGTGAATGAGCGTATTCTGATGTGAGTTTTTTTTTCGTTTTGAGACTCGTGAAAGATGATGGCAAAACTCTGTCTTGGGTTGCAAGTTGTTGTGAGTTTAGCAATTTGCATCTGTCGCGGTGGCGATGCAGACACTGCTTTAGAAGACAGAAATCGAGCAAGCGAAATAACAACATCGCAGTTGGCAAATTTTGCTCTGGATGAACAGACTGTTTTTAAATTTCCTGTTATTGACAGAGATGGAAATATAGAATACGAAGATATCTCTAAAGAAATTTCGATTTACCAAAGCGAGGAATTTGGCAGGCAACTTTTGGGAATGGAAATGTATGACGATGTTGAAAAAATACGTACTGAACAGAATCCGCAAAGTTCTATTAAACGAATAATAAAACTATGGTTCGAGGGAGGAACCGAAAATCCGGTGACTTGTAGATTTCTTGCTGAAGTGTTGCGTAATATTGGCTTGATTAACCGTTCTGATGATATAAGGACCACGTGCGAACATGTTAATGTTCTGGACGAACCTTATCGGCCTAGAACATTAAAACGATATTACAAGCAACTATCGGAAATATATGAAAGGGAACCAGTTTTCGAAACCACCCTTTTTCTGCCAAAGAAACTACGTGAACTGAAGATTAGTTATGTGGATTTGGAAATGGAAGAAAAGGGCGCGACTGTTTCCTTAAGTGAATTTCTGGATAGCGTTCAAGAAGGGAATAGAGTTCTATTTCTCGGCAGGCCTGGTGTTGGAAAGACTACTGTCACACGATACATGACTAAGATATTGTTACATGATAGGCGTTTCTATCTTGTTGTCAAAATACATCTTCGTGATTCACTAAAAAGAATTGACAGCTTGGTAGAGCTGCTTAAAGTTTGTCGTGATGAGTCTTTTCAATCCGATAGCATCAAGCGAATATCGAAGTATATAGAAACGAAAGTAGGAGCAGGTGTTATCTTTTTGCTTGATGGTTATGATGATTACCATGAACCTTCTAATTATATTCATGATCTGCTGAAGAAAATTTCTTTGAAGAAAGCAATCGTAATATTAACGTCACGGCCAACTGCTGTTGAAAACATAACAGGTTATTTTGATCGACAAGTTGAAATAATTGGATTTGGAAGCGCAAGTATACGGAGTTATCTTGAACAAATAAAGCTCCCAGAAGCTAAGCGACGAATCATCAATCATTATCTTTCCATCTACCAAAATGTTCGACAGTCCTGTTATTTACCACTGCATTTATCTATGTTAGTATATGTCACACTCGTGACAGAAAATGACGACCCTCTGTCTGTCATTGATACTGAAACAATTCTTTACCTGAATTTTCTCACCTTAACTATTAGGCAAAATGAAGAACGGTATACAGAGAATACGAGCTCATTAAGAAACTGCCTTTACGATGTGGACAGCGAAACTAATTTATGTATCATCTTTCGGAAAATTTATCAACTATCCTTTGAAGGGCTGATGCCTGGCATGAGAAAAAACGCCCTCGTTTCTACATCTTTCAATGAACTGCCTGCTAACTTGAACATATCTGCTAAACTTGAAGAATTTAGCCTTTTCAAGGTGGTACCTATTGATGATAGCGACGGTGCGAGGCTATATAAATACTATTATTCACATCCCACATTTCAAGAGCTTTTCGCTGCTCTCCATTTGACCACATTGCCAAGGAATGAACGACTTTCGTACGCTCAGCATACCTCTATGTACGAAGTGTACAAGTTTTTTCTAGGCATAATTGGCAACAAAAACGCCAAAAACTATGACAGTGAATATCTTTCTCGAACATTTGTTAGTTTCACAGTGGAAAGTGTGTACCGTAATCATAAACTTTATATGATAAAATGTGCTCACCAGCCTGGGCAAAATTTCGTCCCTTTGTTAAAGGCAGCTGGTGTAATAACTGAAAGTAACTCATTGACATTGGATGTTAATGCGTTAATGGAACAAGACTGCTGGTATATTGGACATGTCTTGCTAAGGTCACCATTGTACAAATTAGACATAGAGGCATTAGTATCAGAAAAAATTGCATCGTGTATTTCAGTGATTGAAGATTATTTTAAACTCTACGAGCACGAAATATTGGATATTGTAGATGTAAAACATCTTGCAGTTGGACCAAAAATAACCTGGCTGTCGCTAACTGCGGTAAGAGAAGACGCTGGTGTTATGACCGTAATGTCAGTAATGAACTTTCTTTCCGTATTTGAGAAACGCCTCAAACACCTGGAATTGTCGTTCATGACGTTCAAGAATAATAAAAGTGTCTTGCTTTTAGCTGATACATTGAAGTCCTTTGGCAATTTGACCTCTCTTGTTTTGTTGGTTCACGTTGATGTTATCAGAGATGGAGTTCTTGAAATGGCATTAAAAAACCTTCCTTCCCTAAATCATCTGAAGCTGGGTGTAGTTTTTAATGGTCTTAATAATATTCCCGGCAATCTGCAGTTCCAATTTAGAAACATGAGGAATATAAAAAGTTTAACTCTTGTTCTCATCGGGAACATTCCGGGGAGCGTAAACATGACATCATTGTTTGGGGAACTGAGGTACCTAACCAACTTACAAAGTTTGTCGATTATATGCCGTATCTGTAGATTTCACAATGCAACTGAAATGCTTCAGGGAATAAAAAGAGTTGCCGTTCCAGAGCTTGCATTGGAGCTCAATTTTTTTTCGAATCTGCGATATGATGGCTTTGGAATTGTGTCTGTGATAAGTAAGATGACCAACTTAAGAAATTTATCACTGTATATTGCCTTTGACTTCGACGGTATTCGCGGAAATACTGGCGTAAAAGAGTTAGGCGAAGGGCTAAAATCATTAGTAGACCTCCAAGTGTTATTTCTTTCGCTTAGTTGGGATCTACTAACGAATGAATCCATCAATGAAGGTGCCGAGGCAATCGTAAATGCATTAAAACAATTTCACAGTTTGAAGGTACTCGAACTTACCCTGACACACAATGGCAGTACTAGTGGTATTGCATCGGTGTTCCCATCTCTTCCACATCTGCAAGAACTGCAATGACATGGAGTGATATTTACGACAAAACAAATGTTACAATGTTATTAAATGGAATAAAACATCTCAAGCACCTGAAAAGACTTGATTTATCTAGGAATGACATCACTGATGAAGATGTGCCATCGCTTTTGGACGCACTAAAGTATTTGAATCTTAGTATACTTGATTTGTCAGACAATAAAATAAACGACACTGGTTTGGAGTTACTCGCTAAGGCAATTGAAACTGGGTACCTAAGCTCTTTGCAAGTTCTTCGGTTGCGAAACAATAAATACAGCGATACTGGTGCCGATATATTTTCACAGAAAGTAGTTAAACTTTCAGAATTGCGTACTTTTGTCCTTAATTGGGATCATAGAAGATATAGTGCTCGGGCAAAAATTCAAATTTATCAACAACGAGCAATTCAGAAATCTGAACTGAAACAACACAAGGAATTAAATGTTTCTTTGAGTTTGGCTGATATTAAACATTGGATTGTTGCTTGCGTCTTTGGTGGCATATTTGTGATTGTTTTTGTTGCATTCAGATATCCCGGCACTACGACAGATGTTCCCCAACATGTCATAAGCTCAAATGCTCTAGCAGCACTTACAACATCGACATCGTCAGCGTCATTTTTGTGGAAATTGAGGACATCTCTTGGAACCGACTTAGATGGCACGGGAACTAACATCGCTATTCTTGATTCTGCTGTCGACTGTCAATATGCCACATTACTAGGAAAACAGATCACCTCCATTGATTGTTTCTTGCCAACGCTATCAAATAGATTTGATGAGCATGGTACTTTGTGTGCTAGCATTGCAATTGGCTCGGCAGCTCAAATAGATGAAACAACTTTTATCCATGAAGGCGTTGCGCCAGGTGCAGCTTGCTTTGCCTATCGAGTGACTGAAGGAAATCGTTGTTTTTCTGAAGCAGTTCTCAAAGCACTTGATGATATAAAAATGAAAATATTGCATGAACATATTCAAATTGATGTTGTCTCAATATCGCTTGATATCACAGAGAACCAGGATGAAATTGAGAAAAAGATTTTGAGTCTTACGGAGAAAAAAGTGGTATTTGTTGCTGCAGCCGGCAACCTTGGCGAATATGCAGTCGAGTCGTGCTTTCCCGCTAGACTTAAAAGTGTAATATCCGTTGGTGCCCGCGACAGATGTGGTCGTGAATCTAAATTCAACTCTTGCGGGCATATCGACGTTTATGCTATTGGTGAAGATATTCCGCTAGCAGTAACGACAGAAACAACAGAAAAAACACAAACAAAAGCGAAAACAGCAACAACAGCACGTGCTGGCACATCATTTGCCACCCCTGCCATAGCTGGGCTGGTGTTACTTTTGAAGCAACTCGCCAACAGAATAGGACCACCTGCTTGCGATCATATCCATAACGTTGAAATTTTGAGAAGGATTTTTGACGAAGATATGCGTGTCACATCAGGTAGTGGGAAAGTGTTGCACGCTCCGGGAGTATTTCTTGAACGGGTGACATCTCGTCCTGATGAGTTAAATGAAATCGTAAGGAGGCATCTACGTACATTGGGGGAAGGTGCGATGGAAACCGGCTAAGTTCCGAAATCACAATTCAACATCCTTCTGGCAGTAAGGTTGATATTTTACATCATCGACAGACATAAGAATAGACGATTACCACAGCCATAAAACGGAGAAAAATTGGAATTTTAATCAATTTCATTTAAAATATTTCATTTTATATAGTAGCAATGACTTTTATAATCCGATAGTTTAGTAATTGCACTTTTTCTAATTTTAATACTTTTAGGCACATTTTAAATTTAGACAAGACGCCTGTTCTGGCGTTAACTCCGGCGCACGTGCCAGTCTTTAATATAGAGCTTCTGAACATAAACAATACAGTTCATATTCGCATTTAGATGCCTTGCATGCGAACCTAAATGTTCGATCGCGAAATTCAGAAGCACATCGTACTTTAAAAAGTATAGAAGTTTAATTGTTCAAAAATGTAAATAAACCGCATGATACATTCGCTTTGTGTTACACTTTGCTTTTGGCATTCGCGCTTATATATTATATCTTCAATCCTGTGCAAATTACGACGTGTCAACGCGCCCATACACGACCACATCATCTTGTTAAACGGCGAAATAGCAGCGATATTATTAAAATAGGACCAGAATCTACATGTATTAAATATATTTTTACCCCAATTTAATCTAAACTTAATCGAAAAGCATGAAAAGAACGGTTTATTTGTTCCTCTTGGAGGAATTGCCGTATCATGCGAGCGAAATCGAATCGCGCATCCGAAAATTAGCCAAAGCTGTGCACCACAACTCTTAGGAGATAAGACTGGGACGTAGATAAATACGGTCACATACACGTTTTAATTACTAAAATGTTTCGCGCCATTTCGGACTTGCGACGACGAAAAATAAAAAAAAAAAAAAAAAAAACAACAAAACAAAACCGAGGCGAATTTTCAACTCCGTCGCTGACGCCGGAGTAATAAATTGGGGTAAGTAAACTTTGATGTAAACGTGATTGTATTCTAATAATTTAATACGTTACCCACATGTGTTTGACGGTTGATTAAATATATATTTGGAAACCACGAACCCAAGGGGACGGGGACATTTTTTTTCAATATCAGAGCATAGATACAAGATGGATAATGGATAATAAACAATTATTGAATGAGGTTGAGCAGGATATGAGGAATTATTAAGGCCGAGGTTTGTGTTATCTGCCGAAGCCGAAGGTTGAGGCGGATAACACAAACCGAGGCCTTGATAATTCCTCATATCCTGCGAGAACCGAATTCAATAATTGTTTTATTATTTATTTGCAAAAATTTACCTTTTCTTTGATTTAGCCATTCGTATCTTCCCGCTTTTAGGTTTTGGCACAAGCCGCATAAATTAGCGTGACGTCATACCGTGCAATAATTTTTTTCATATCTGACGAAGTGACGTCAAACGTGCAATAATTTTTTTCATATCCGACGAAGTGACGTCACTGTCCAAATTTGGGCAGCTGCCAGCGGATATGACGATTTCGCCAACAGCTGCTGGCCAATCAAAACTCTTGACTCATTTTCAATAAATAATAATACGTATTCTTTGATCAGGGTGAAGGCTGCACTCAAGGGTGCTACCATAAATTGTACCGGGTGAGAAATATTTAATGTTTGAAGCGCCGAAGCCGCCAAAGAGATCCTTCTTCCCTTGGCGCGGGCCGGCTCCTCTTTTTCCGTACCCCCGTCTTCAAAATTACGATCGGCCAACTTTCGCTTAGGTAGCATTTCCTACTCTTTGGGTAAACTAGTCAAAATGTTTGTTTACATCTTGTGGTGCAATTGCATCACAAATAATTGTGTAGGCGTCGCGTTTATATAGTATGTACTTTTTGACAGTTCTCTGGCAAGTTTTACCATTGCAGAACAGAACTAATTTTGAAGAGAAGTACGGCTACAAAATATGGCAGAGTGTATGTCAGGCCTGTCAGGCGAACAAGACGATGAGATTTTGGCTTTGTCATCAATATTTGGAGATGACTTTTGTCAAAGGAAATACGCCGGTTGCAGCACAATTTATCAAATTCGAGTGAAGATCAACTTAGTGGGGAAAAAAATCCACATAAACGCTTGGTTGCCGTCGAACGAAAACGAGGATATTCCAAACGATGAGCAAGAGAATGAAACAGACAAACCAACATCGCCTGTCAAAAGAATTCACTTTAAGCGCTCTGAATCAAAGCAGCACACATGTCTGACATTGTCAGTCTCCCACCTAACCCCACTGACACTGGAGTTTTCATTTCCTCACAATTACCCCACGGAGTCAAAACCAAAGTTCACTTTATCGTGCATGTGGCTTGATGCTTACCAACTCACACTGCTTTGCGAGAAATTAGATGAACTTTGGGAAACAAGCTTCAAAGGTGAACCTGTGATATATCCTTGGGTGGATTGGCTGCAGAATTCCTTACTTGAATATCTTGAGGCGGATGAGAGCCTGTCCTTAAAACCATACGATTCAGACCTTGGTGTCCCTCGCGACCCTCGTGGGTTGCCAGAATTCCTAGACCCAAAATTGTGTGCTTTAAAAATACTGGAAAATGACTTTAGCATGATCCAACAAGAGTTTCGAAAAGAGACCCACACCTGTGAGATTTGTTTTGAAGAACGTGAAGGGATTTTTTTTCACTTTCTCGAAGACTGTGGCCATAATTTTTGTGTTGAATGCTTGCTCGATTATTGCCAAATGAATGTTAATGAAGGAACAGTAAAAAGGTTGAAGTGCCCCCAACCCAAATGCCCTGCAACCATCTCACCAATGATCCTTCGAGAGTTGCTGAGTGATGAAGATTTTCAACGATGGGAACGACTGCTCTTCCAGCAAACGTTAGATGGTATGATAGATGTTTTGTATTGTCCGCGGTGTAACACCGTGGTACTGCAAGATGAGGATGCAGCATCACGGTTAGCCCAATGTGGTGGGTGCTTTTTCACATTTTGTACGGATTGCCTAATGACTTGGCATGGCATGGAAAGCTGTGGAGGGGAGGAAGTCGAACCAAAATCGGCCCAGAAACCAGCCAAGCGAAGGAAACCGAAAAAGAATGGCAAGAATGGTGAGGAAACCCATGAAGATGAAACACCTCTGAGGAATGACACGGGAAAGAAAAAAAGTGATGCGAAGAAAACTTTTGAATTTGTTATGTTACAAAAACGACTTGGAAATTATCAACGTTGTCCACATTGCAAGGTGATGGTTGAGCGATCATATGGTTGTGACATGATGCATTGCTCTCGCTGTTCTCAAAGGTTTTGTTTCCGATGCGGTGAGTTGAAAAACATACTAAATCAGATAATGACAATAATCCCCATAAAATGCCTATTCTTAGCTGGCTAATTTTGGCAGAAAATTTGCATGAAATTTTGTACCAACAAATTCATTGTTTGGCACTGTCAGAATACAGTTTATGGGTTGATTTATCTATTGTTTTATTCACAGGGTGGAAAATTAAAGGATATGACCACTTTCAACACTGTAGTGCAGCAATTGACGCAAATGATATTGCTGAAAGAGGCAGGGCTATGTTAGCAAACCGTCCGGTACCTTTTGAGGCCCAGCGACTTAACGAGCTAATGAGACAACCTAACAACAGACACCAATTAAAACTCCAATTCTGTCCACGATGCCGACAGAGGAACATGAAAGAAGCCAGGAATAATCATATAAAATGTTGGTCTTGCAAAGCAGATTTCTGCTATGTTTGTAGTAAATATACTGGGACACCTGTGTCTTCTCACTTCAGCTTGTCGGGAAGATGTCAGCAACACTCTGATGATTGATCTGTAGTGAGTACTTGTAATTTTTTTCACACAATCCAAATAGTTATAAAATTAATATATATTACAAATAAGTATCACAATAGTTCATGCACAATATAGCAAAGCTATGATTGCTACAATGTAGATGTTTGTATGTAGACATTTGTTGCAAAGTGATAGTATACTTTGGCAATCTGAATCATTCAGGACTGTTTCTTGTTGTCTCCTCCATCAACTATAACAACTAATAGTAAAATAAAATGCATATTTAAAATAAATAAACTTATAAAAGAACTGTGGTGTTTTTAATAATAGTTTTTGTTTTTAAATTGAAATTCAAGCCAATTTGTTAAGCTGATAAAATCCTGCAGCAGTGCAATATAAAAATATATTACCTGCTAAAAATCTGCTTCTTAGCGCGAAAGGTTTCTTAGCGCGACAGCGTTTTAATATAGTTATGGTTTTTCAATTTTGAGGATGGAAAAATCGGTAATGGCTGGGTAGGTTGGACATCTAAAACTTGAATGCTGCCATTCAAGCAAAGTTCAACTATTTTTCGGATTTAACAATCCTGCTCTGCACGTAATGTTTATGAGAGAACTCTTTGTTAACATTCGACTTCCTTTCTGCTAAGTTGCTAAGGTCAAATGAAAGAGTCTTTGTGAAATTCTGCCCTCGCAGTTCCGATTCCCCGAATTGTAGCCTCGCGACCGCATCTCGTGACTTTTCGAGCTATAAATGAACAATCGCGGTTTTGTTCTCGAGGTTTTTTTGGAGTGGTCGGATGTTCATACTCGTGAAGCGTGCCTCCCTCCCACCAGGCCTGTCTAGGGACCGCCTACAGGCTACCCTCCCACCTCTCATTAATATTCCATGCCGACCATGCCTCATTATTGACACGAGTCACTCACTCATCCAACCCATCACTGCCCATGTCTAAGGGCGGCCGGGCGGTTTACGTAGGGGCGTTAGGTAGGCCCATTTTTTGGAAAAAACGGCGAATCAACGAGATGAACTTAAAGAATAAAGATATAAACAGGCAATATTTAATTAGGCCCACACATTTCCATCTCAAGGTCCAACAGCGTATTAAGCCAGCCTAGCCCATTCACAAATATTGTCGCTTTGTGACTCAGTGCGAAATATTGGTCACTTGCCAAGAAGGTTAAATAAGATATAGTTTCTTTTATTTTAGGACTTGAATCAAGAGCACAAACGATATCTCATGCAATTTATTTGAAGGGCGATTTTGAAGCACTCCGGAAATAGCACCAATTCAGTTAAAACCGATAATTCGCGGGTGTTCGTAGGCTTGATTTGCGTCAGCGCCTGAGTTGTTGCGGGTAAAACGGGTCAGAAGATCGAAGGATACGGTTGACAGGATATAAGCAGTTTCTCTGTGCGCGATTTTTGTTGAAAGCGAAGCTAAATTTTGTTTCGTCGATAGCTACAGTCATGTTGGCTCCAGTCGCTTCACCTACGAACTTTGAAAGAAGGAGTGTGTCAGCATCCCAAGCCTCTTTGAGTAGAACAGGTTTGTAAACTTTGTTTACATTTTAGAACGTTCGCAAAGTTGCAGTTTGACCAGATTGTACTATGGCCTTGTGTATATTAACTTTGATTCTTTGAAGAAAGACTTGTATAAGTGTTATGTTCGACAACGAACAATCGATATTGCTTGTTGACAATCGAAGGAGACCAAAACCGTATAAGGGTACGTTGTTTGTATCGAAATCGCCTAGTATTCCGGTCCGTTGCAGTTTTCTCAAACAGCAAAGAGTATTAAATTGCTTGTAGGTTAGCGAGCGAAAGCTTATGTCGACGCCAAAGTGTTTACTTACAGCTAGCGTGGGATTAAATTCAAGGGAAAGTTACCGCCTATATTAGTAGTAAAATCCCGTCGAAATACAAGTTAACTAATCACTTGTAAGCTCGTAGGAATATAAAACACCAGGTGAAGGGTTCGGTGAATAAGACACGGTCTTACTTATCGAGAAAAAGTGTGTAGACTTCAGTGTGCGCGGTTTGAACGCCTATGAATTGTAAGGATTCTTTTTTAAGCAAAGCGTGGTTGAACCCACCGTAGTATATTTTGTTGATTAAATCTACGATCTGGCACAGTTTGACAGCAAATTTTCACACATAAACACGTCTGGAATAAGTAAACTTCGAACGGATGTGTTCTAAATTTTCTCTGAATGGAATATATTGTATCAAATTTTGTCAGTGTAGCAATTATTTGTATCAAGATAACTTTCGAAATATTGTAGCATGTTTATACTTCTGTGAGGCGATAAAGCATCGATTTCTATCCTAAAAGTCAAGAATTTTGCACGAATTAAATATTTATCGGCAGAGGAGAATATTTAAGTTGAATGCTTCGGCTTCTTGTAGAGATCTGTGTAAATAAATGCGGTAAGATCCTCCATTGAAATATTCAATTGAAACCGGTCTTATAGAATGCTTTGAAATGGAGACGTTACAAAGATTACTTATCAGAAACTAGTCCAGCGAGCTTCTCTGTGACCTTGTATCATTCAGGTCAGGAAATCGTATCGAAGTGGCCTGTCATAGAGTTGGTTTGCCGTGAGAATGCAATAAAATTATAATATTGACTATTGTTGATTGTTACTTGAGGTAGGCAAGGGCAATGTATTTTGTATGCTAAAATGAACGCCCTTTGAGCACATACTGTAACTCAAATTCACGATTGCTTGCGTAGAAACATTATTCCTTTCCCATTTCAATGACACGAGTGATAAAACCCGATTTTTTGGTTTGTCTCGACCGACTTGGCGTCAGCCGAATGACATGTAGTTTCTTCGTTAAGTCGGAAGAGCTCTCAAGTTTCAAGTAGATACGTCGAGAAAAAGTTCAATACACAGGCTCAGACAGGGTTTAATAAAGTTTTTCGGTGTGCTGATTTATACGAAACACGGAGATTTTTCCCTTGGCAACGGTTTCCGATTTGCTGAACGTTTCTTTGCTTCCAAGATAAAGATTTACTGTAAGCTTAATTGAAAGAAATTAATTTGGAACTAGAGGAAGAACGGTTAACAACTGATTGGCATCTTTTGTGAATAAGGCTGATGTTGATTTTCATCACCGAACTGTAAATCCGGAGTTGGGTATCAAAATGAGGCGTTGTTTCGGATTTAAAAGATTACTGCTTCGAGATCAGTTGTATATATTGCATATGCTGCATTCTACAGCTCTCTTGTTGAGATTAAAAGTGCCTTTTAATTAGACAATAAATAGCCGATTTTAAAATTATCTCTGCTAGAAGATTATAAATTCACCTGTTTCTGTTTGTATGTCTTTGTTTTATGTTATCAAGCATGTTTTTGATATGCAATAATTTGAGCAATATTGCGAAATTTAATGCAAACATTTGTGGTACCAGCCATCACTGGCTCACGACGAATCGATGTAATTTATCTAGATGAAAAATTGTTGCACATTTACAGACCTTTACGCCCTGGTTCTCTGCGGTAAAGCTTAATTATTATATCAGGCGTGGCTTGGTTCATCAAAGGATTTTTGTAATTTATGCACAATTATTAAAATAGTCCAATTACTGAATATTGGTTTTTCGGTTTTGCCAATAATTGATAATAAAATGAAGAGAGGTTATACTAAGAATTCTGGATATTAGGCTATCGCGTTGTTCTTGTCCCAATTACCTGGAAAAGATACTTAAATGATGGAACATAATTATCAGTCATGCATCGTGTCTGAATAATTAGTGACAGAACATTCACTATATTCTCAACAAAGTTAAAGTTCACATTTATAACGTAGTAGCCCCTTGAACCTCTCAAGGCCTAGCTCCTTAAGATAAAACGAATGCCTCGCAGGCCCTCGCTCGCTACCCCTTGAGACCCCTGCAGAAGGTTGTGTGGGCAAAAACCGACGCAAAACGCTCAAGGTTGCCATGGATTGTTGCGAAGTACTCGGGGTGGGGGGAGGGGGGGGGTGGTGTTAACTCCAAACTTATACTGGTCCGAAAACTTTTACATTCAACTGGACGTGCGCTCCATTTCTCACATCGACCCCAATGCCATCGCCATGTTATGAGACCCAATTCGTGGGATGAAGAGAGGGAGGTAGACAGGTAGTAATAGTATCATGCCTAAAAAGCTTTGGGGATGTGGTCATATCTATAAAGTGTCTGGTGTCATTGTTAAACAAGCGTGATTACGCACTAGGGAATTTAATGAAATTTTACTATGTGTAATATACTACAAAGCCTCTGCTTTGTCAGTTAAGCAATGATTTCATTGTAAGTGGACTTTTATGTCTCTGCATCTTTTAGCATAGCGCTCAGGCATACAAATTATAACAATAGGACATTTAGTGTATGTCACATCAGTGTCATTTTTTTTGGACTATGTTTGGACACATTGTATTGCAATATCACCACTGTCTTTGAACGTTTTCGCGCTGATTGTACTGAAAGAGATAGCCTGGTTTGGTTGCTATAGGTTCAAGTGCTTTACGGTACTGGTATGGCCCTATGGCCGATGCATGCGGTTTTCCAAAGAAGATTTATAGTTATCTATTTAAAGATTAATATTTGCCTTGTTTATTTTTTGTTTTGACGTTTTCCTAAGCGGGGCGTATTGTTTGCAAATTTTGCACGTAGCGAATTGCTGTGCATCATGATTTATGGCCATATTAAGGGTCATTAGGTCAATTTGTCACTTGTCATTTTTGGCGCGGTATCTAGCTAATTCACCTGTGCTACGGTTGTTTTGACGTGTAGATTTTTCTTGAACATATCTCGTTCCTTGAGGCGTGGGAAAGTAGAATAGCTTTGTTAAACTACATCGTATACAATCCCGGTTCTTTCTGCCCTTACGCATAGTTCTCTTCACCAACAATTTATGTAACACAAAACGGTGAAAACGCATTGCTAACTTGAGCAACGTAGAGAAATTCGATGTCTCTCCTTAGCGTAATCACCGTAATTATTCAAGTAGGCGAGATAAATTTTATTATGCGCTAAGATGAGATTAGGCAGTTATGCTAATAGGATATTTTATACGTTATCCCAATGTTTGTTTTTGGAACAGTTATCTATGAGCGTCAAAAACATGACCGGAAATGATTGTTTTCGTACACCTGTCACGAACATTATACCTGCATAACTGTGCTGCATATCATTAGGGGAATATTGGGAGAATCTAGTTTTGCTTCGCTGCGAGTTCTCGGCTGAGCTTCGTACTATTAGTATTACTTACGGACACTTGTATGAGTTGTATCGTGTTTTATGCAACCTCGATCGCTCCATAAAATGCATCATGAATGCATCAAGGATTTCCATTCAGTAAAAAAAGTCGCGCGATCGACTTTTTGCGATCGCTTTCTTTTGAAATACAAACCGACAAGCGAAATAAATCCCATTAAGGCAGACTTCCACAGAGTGAAAATGTTGCGCGATCGATTTTTTGCGATCACTTTCTATTGAAATGTGTTGTGTCAAGCTCATTTGAGGGGATCAGTCCCCGAGTCCCGCCTGATTGTCTGCATTTCAAAGAAAAGCTATCGATGGCGCGACATTTTGCACTGGATGAAAATCCTCCCTTAGATGAGCTTAACCGAAACATTTTAAAAGAAAGCGAATGCAACTGCATTAACGTGCTCTAATGACACCCCTTGTGGCTTTCCATAAGGGGCTGTATTGTGTGTGAATTGGATAAAACGTTAATAGGGTATATTTTCACCCTCACTCAGGGTCACTTGCCGGAACTCTCAGACGCGGCGCTTCCTTACGACACGAGCCTCGACCCTACGTCTCGCGAAATCCGATCAAGGAGGAAGATCTCGATGTGATACTGAACTGGGAGGCGGACAAAAGCGGCGAGTGTTGGCAGAAGATTAAAAGTGTGAGAGAAGGCGACGTGTGGAAGAAAGAAATGGAAGATAACAAAACATGGGTCTTAAAGGTGAGAGATTTCTCTATACCACAAATTCAGTTCCACGCACTCTGCATCTTCTTAGTTTAGGCTAAGAGGTGCACCCCCGGTCTTTTATTCATTTCATATATGAAGGTTTCATCCTTTATAAATCTGAATACGAGTTTTTATCATTCTCAGGCTGAACTCACTGCTGATACTGTTCCTTTTAAAAAAGGTAAGCAAGCATTTCAATGTTTTGATGGAAGATAAACACTACTAGCTGTGCGCCAAACAAAAATTTACATTCGCTAAATGTCATGTAAGTTTGCACTATATACAAAGAAAACAGAGATAATTTTTTGCACATACTAAATGGTCCCCACGGCTTTAATCAATTACAACGGCGTCACGACCAACGGGCAATGCATGCATTTAAAATACAAGGAAATATAATGTAAGCAAAAATCTGTAGGTATAACCACATGCAAGATTTCGTGACAATGTTACGTGACAATTGACAAATATGTGATTTCCGCATTCTCGGATAATTAACCTCAAAAGATAAATATTACAAGAATAAAATGGATCAGTAATGTTTATTTTGTATTTTTATATCTCTCATAGCTGTCGAACTCATAACAGAAATCAAACACAGAAAAGAATGGGATTGTTTGCATTTGCATCTGGATGTTGTTGAAACCGTTGGAAATGGAAACTTCAAAGTTATTTACAGGTAATCTATATTAACTGTGCATTCTGTTTAAAAGTTAAATTTCAAGTCCGAATCCGTTCTACAATAAATTGTCCTGAATTTCTACCGTAAGAGAGACCCCTTAGAAAAAGAGAAGCATAGGGATCCAATGTGTAAATAGTACAGGAACGAGCCAGTCAATACGGTTAAGTCATGGTGGAAGTGTCAAGTTTCCCCCATCCGAAACACCATCAAGATTCGCAAAGTAAAAACTTCTAGGAAATCGCAAACTTTCTAGAAGGACCTATCATCATTTTCATGGCCTTCTCTCATGTGTTCTGCTAGGAAATATCGCCGACTAATGTAAAAATCTGTCCATTTCTTTAGCCAAATGAAGATGCCAGCATTTTGTAAAAAAAGAGAATTTTTGGAAGCGATGAGTCAAAGAGTGAGCGACAAAGAAAGCAATTGTTATCATTTGTTGGCGTTCCGTAGCACAACTCATCCTAGCGTACCACAATCTAAGGATATTATCAGGTCATTACCTTGAATTAATATAAACTAAACCAAATAAACTTGAAGTACGCGTTCAGCGCATGTCCAGTTGTATGTCCGGTTCATGATCTAAATGCTTAACTGGATGTTCAACAGGACACTGAACGAGATGCTGCACTGTACTACTAGTAAACTAAAATAAGATTTCTCAATTCATTATATCATTGCACTCCACCTGACGTTATAGGCCTGGGCCAATTTTAAAAAAATTGCATCATTATATTGTAGGGCGGATGATCAACTGTCTGGTATAGTAATACGACCTGTTGGTGACGGCATGACCAGCTCTAAGGTAACCTTCATATTTCGCATCAAATTCCGCGGTTCTGCCCCACGGGGCATGAAGAAAAGCTACCTGGCAAATCAGTCAGTGGAGATGGTGCGCCGTATGAAAAAATATCACGAGAAAAAGAAAGTCGAAGAAAGGATTGGTAAAGTATGAGACGATGAGATGAGGTCGGTCTTGTTTTTATGGGATTGTAGGTCTTGACTTAAATTCAGGCTGATGTAGACTATGCGGGCTTTTGTCACAGCTTAGCTTGTATTGATGTAATTATTTGTGCTTGATATGGTTGTCATAGGTAATTGTTTAGAGCTAATGAAGTATCGGTATCGGTAGGCTAATAATTTTCCATAGTGCGAAATGCATCTTAATCTCGTAGAAACAAGCCCACTTTGCGGGTAAAACTATCCCATAACGGTTGCTAAGTAACGGCTAAAGATTTGATATGATGGTATATCTCTATTTGGTGTTTAGACCAGTACTACTGTCCTAAAGATAAACAGTCTTCGTCTACACTCAGACTAGTGACATTTTATTTTAGCATATTTTAGTTGGGGATTTTAATCTGCATATAGAGAACTAATTTTAGCATTTTTAGCGTTCCTCCTGACACGATAAGCTTGTATACGGAAATTACCTGCATGTTTCGCTCAAAATAAGCTTTATAGTGCGGTACAAGTCTCCCTTGAATTGGCTTTCGATAGATCTCTCCAGTATATGTGAGAAGTCAGTTGGTGCGATCCGCTGGATAATGAGTTACGATCCATTGTTACAATCTGTTTTTGAGTATTACCTTAGGTCGTGATACTCACCGGATTGGCCTTTTAAAATCGATTTGAGCGAAACTTAAGTGCGAGTTACACTAGCGGAGGCCCTCAATATAATTGATTTGTTATTTTACAATGCAAAATTTGTTCAAAATAGAAAAGCAGAGGCTCTGTTCCTCTGATAGTAGATTCTATAGATCTGATAGGTATTTTTGGAATATATTATTAGTTCGTTTTATTTAAGACATTGTCATTGACCGCCTTATACATAGTAGATACATAATAATTGTAAAAAGACTTAATTTAACAACAATACCATTGTAGAGTACTAACATTAGTACCAATCGTCATAATAAATAGCAATCTAATAAGATTTTCAGTCCTATTTATTATTTGTTTATTTGTTGCCCAGCACTCTTTTTTAACTAATACAAATTAATACGTTTTGTTAACTCCTCCTGCATTGCTTATACTATTTCTGGCGACAGAATGGGCAAAGTGGTCCATCTCTCACGAACATTCTCAACTGTAGTATTGATGCATGCAAACCTATATTTTATATACAAATATATATTTGTGGGTTATTGACACTATTCATCTCGACGTCGTTCTGAGATGACAGTCCACAAAACTAAATAAATATATCTGTTTTACTAGCTCGCTCCTAGTGAATAAGTGTTAAGACTATATTGTCAATGTAGTATATTCCTGGGGAAAGCATACCAAATTCAGTGGAATTGCAATGTGTACAGCGTTGCAAGCCGTTACATTTTGTGTACTTTGTTAGAACGCAGAAAGATTGTTCATTACCACATTAGGTGGAAAGGGATGACAATTTCCTAACGCGCTAGAAAGTATATAAAATTTGCAAGGTTAAATTTTTGGCACTTTACCACAAAATCACAATCTTACGTCGAAATTTAACTAATTTTAGTATGCTCTTTTCATCCCCCCCCCCTTGGTCCATGATGCAAGATCTAGGAAGTGGTAATGATCATTGATCATACCGTCGGTGGCAACGGCCTTGAAAGGTCAGGCCACGGCCCCAGCAACTGTTCCATAGGGGTGAGCGAATTTCTGGTTCACCAAAAGCTGTAGCAAGGCACAGGTATCTTTCGTGAACCGTTCCAGCGGGTTTCCATATTCTTCCTCTGAAGACCCATCCGAGGATACCTCGCTTTGATTGTCGCTGGAGGTCGAAGAGTGTTGCTCAGGTTTTACTTTACTGTTAGACCCAAGGCTTTTGGAATCGTCCAAAAATCCGATGTTCTGATTCAAGGACATCACAGCAAGGTCACTGCAGTAGAGACGCTGCTCTCTGTTTAAGGTGGCGAACACACGTAGCCAACCTGCGTATTAAAAAGAAAATATTTAGGTTTCTTGAGGCTGATTTGTAGGAGTTATTTCTATAAACCTGGGAAGACTAGGAAACATATTTCTGGCTGGCTTGAATTTGACCATGCATTAACTCTTTAGAAATGTCAGAAAAGGGAGAAATTTTTGAAGAAAATATTTTCCTTTTAAAGTTAGAAACTATCAAAGTGTGATTTTCGGTGAGGAAACAACACTGGGAAACAAAGTGAACGGTTAGTAAGAGACAACGTTTTTGCAACAATGTTCTTTCTGAACTACCAGCATGACAACTCAATCATTTTGCATATATATTTGTAGATGCCTTATGCATATAAGAAACTGGTTGATGTACCATTCAAGTCTTGAAACTGAATCATGCCTCTTGTGAGTCGATGTTGTAAACAAACTGACCAAACACAACATTCTTCGGAGCTCTTATACTGAGGAGATGCCAAGTCAAACAAGCATACGAGTCTATACAACGTCAAGCTGGATGGCATCGCTTCTTGTCCCAAACTATAGTTGGTCTGCTCGGTGTCGGAGCTCGTCCCAGGCATACTGGCGACCGCCTTGGCTGCGCACTCCGGTACAGAAGTGTCCTTGGTAAGAACACATGTGCTTGTAGTCGCCAGGTCGGTGAGATTTTCAGTCTCGTTGGTCGACGTTGAGTCGTCAATTTCCATGTTATTCATCGATGCAGAGACAGCCTCGTTAACCACAGCGTCGTCTTCTCGTATTGGTTTTGCCAACTCCAAGCTTTTTTCAACGAGCTGTCTGTTCAATTTTGCAGGACGTTTGAGGTTCGTAGGGTTGTAACGACAGAACAACCACTTCTCTTCGTATGAATCGAAAACCAGCTCAAACGTTGGTTGCGGGTGGTCTATGATTGTTTCCCATCTTGTTGCGACCTCAGCCTGGACCAACTGCTGTTCCTCGTATTCCCAGCTACTGCGATGGATAAAGTACTCGCAGTTGCAAAAATATCCAGAATCGTCCCCATTATCCTCGCTCTCCTGGTCGTCTTCGTTCGCTGATTTCCCGCTGTAGCTGCTCAAAGTGTCCGAACTAAAGCTGTGAGTTATTCCCTTGGAAGCGACCACGGCCGCCCCGGAAAGTTCTCCAGTCTTTTGCAAGACCGAGAGCGCTCCTGCCTTGGGTGCGGTCAAACCTGCCGACAACTCACTCGGTTTCAGTCGGATTAAAAATTCCTCTGCTTTGGGGGTGGTCGAAAGCTCGTTCGCCTTAGGTGTGAACGAAACATCTGCAATTTTAGGCTCAGATTTAATACTATCTAAGGTCTCAATGCTGGAACTTCTCGAAACATTCTCCGAGGAAAACACAGACTCAGAATAAACAGGGAAAGCAATTTCGTAATGTATTTTGTAAGTGTTACCCAAAGGGTGGGTCACGAAAAACGGGCTCGACAGCATATCAAGTACGGCCAAGCCATCGTCTCTGAATTTTGTAGACACGGGACAACCGTGTGAAAATGTCGAAGACATCGCCGCCTTCCAGTCGTAGGTTTCAAAGATGAAACTCGTGTCGGAATGTTTCAACCGAAAACGCCAGATCCTGTAGAAGGCCAGACCGACATCTTCGGTGAACATGTAACGGAATAAAATTAACCATCTGTACATCATGATACAGCTTGCCATGACCTGGTATGGTCTGATAAACCTCATTTGACGGCTCGTCATGCGATCTTGATTCAGGCGAATGGTAAAAGAGTCGTCGACATACTCTCGGCGTCGGTCGACAAACACCCACTTGAGATCGTGAGTATCGTAGTACAGCTCCATGTTGCTGTTAAAAAACCGTGGGCTCGTCTCTTCGAGCTCAAACAATCTAGGTTTTTCCCAGCGAGATGTGACATCTTCCATGACACGAAACACGGCCTGCCGGAGCTCTTCCGAATCCAAAATGGTCTCGACAAGTTTGCAGGTTATGAAATATTTCATATCATCTGGTGAGTAATTGCCAATCCCTTGAAGGTACCTGAATTATTAGTAATCTTAGTAAATTTTGATTATTAATGGTTTGTTTTTAATATTTATCAGTGGTACAGCGCAATAAGTAAATGTGAGGAAGACATGTGAGAATGGTTTGCAAATGAGTCTGATAATATGTAGCTTCTGAATCATACAACTTTATCACTATGTTGATGCACAATAATTACACATGGACTGAAGTCCATTCAGTTTCATTTGCGACCTAATATCTGGTCTTTCTGGGGGGGGGGAGAGGATTTGCGATTAGCAAAAGGATCCACAGTTGTAATTTCAGACCAGGTGTTTTAAATGATATCTTATAAGAAAACAAAGCAAAATCTCTGTAATGTAAAATGAAGAAATGCATTTCCAAGGTCATCACGAAAGGAGGTTTGGTTTCTCATTGCAAGGGGTGGGGTCAAGCTGCAAGGAGTAGGGTCAAGTTACAATGGGTGTGGTCAGCATAAAACCACCAATATGAAAATTAAAAGTTTTTTCACATGCTATTAGTAATGCTCATGGTCATGCTGAATTCAATGGTGTTTTTGGATGTTACATCTATCATGGATGAAGGTCTGTACATAATACGAAATTGAAACAATATTTGTACTTTCCTAAAACTAAACTAAAAGACAACAATCAATAATTCCTATGAATTTGGAAATGAGAAAAAGAAGTGATTCATGTATAAAAAGATGCAGTTTTTCATGATAAAATTAATGGTGTTTATGATCTGTCATCTGTTAGGGGTCAGCAAAAGGGTTTAGAACGAAGGGAAACGGGAATGACATATGACATAAACGACGACGCAACACCTGTGACGTATTATAAATTATAATCCCCTCAACATCTCATTTTCCACAAATAAACTTGGTTACGACGTAACAGCAGTCTGATCTTTTGCACTTAGAAATTTCATATTTCTAAATTGTACCTGTAAAGCTTTTGCCACTGCAAAGTCATCGTGGAAACCTGACCAAGTACGGCCCTTTGCGAGGGCCAGCGATTTAAAACCAAACCGTGCCACAGACTGTTATCATTAGCTACCCGGTTCCATCGTTTGCAAACCAGACTGCATTTGATAACTTCTCCTGCATCAAGCGATCGAAGTATGTTCAAAACTATCTCGTCTAGCTCGCCAATAGTACGTTGGCTAGTCATTTTTGAACGGTTTTCGTGTCACAAACTTGATGTGCGTGATGTTTTTGCTTTAATAAACAACTACGCCATTGTTTTGTTTTGTAATTATTGTGCGATCTTGATCGCAATCATGATGCAATAATTTTTCTTCAAAAATCAAAACAAAACGCTTGATGAAAATGGACTCTGATGTATATCATAGGTTATTGAGAGTTAATCCTAAGGGTCAATAGAGGGTAGTTTTATTATGATGAAAAATTTTACTCGACGAAATAATTCCCCCCGTCCAAATATATTAATTAAGTAGAATTCCGGGGGTTATAAATAATCGTTATTAAATGACGGTGGCAAAAAGGCAACAAACCAGACAACAATAATATAGACATTCAAACTCGATCAACGTGGCATTTAAAAAAAAGTTTAACTATTGATTTCTTGTCCATTGGGTATGTTCTTAAAATAAATTCTCGATCAGATTTGTATTTACATGTCCAGGAACAAAGTATGGGCAGTTTGCAATCATAAAGGTATAAATTTGTAGTTGTTTGTATAAAAATGATAACTATCTCATTGATTAGCATCTATTCATTATCACAGTATAGGTAATCTGGTTGAAAAGGAGGGGTAATCTGTAGACTGTATATATTTCTCTTTTAGTATTAAAAGATGTTGGCTATTGCTTATCTATCATTGGTGATACTTGTTGCTATTGCAGTCCTTCTTCACTTAAAAATTGCACCTGCTGAGCAATCAATTTGTAATCCAGCATTTGTTAGCTTCCAATCAACATACTTTGGTGCTTATTTTGTGGCATTATTTGCGGAGTGGTTGCAGAGTCCCTACCTCTACCGGATCTACTCCCATTATGGCTTCATCGACACGCAAATAGCTATAATCTATGTGTGTGGTTTTGTATCTAGCATTTTGTTTGGTACTGCTTCTGGTTACCTTGCAGACAGGTGTGGCCGCAAAAAAGCCTGCGTTTTCTTCTGTTTAACCTATTCCCTTTGCTGTTTGTCCAAAGCCTCAAGTAGCTATGTGGTTCTGATCATAGGCCGGGTTTTAGGAGGTATATCGACATCTGTCCTGTTTTCAACATTTGAAGCATGGTACGTTTATGAGCACACCCAGACTCATGACTTCCCTATAGAGTGGATCACAGTCACATTTTCCAAAGCCAGTTTTTTTAATGGTGTTATAGCAATAACGGCTGGCGTCATTGCAAATACATTAGCAGAATGGGTGAATCTTGGACCAGTGTCACCATTTCTGCTTGCAATACCGTTTCTTTTAGCAGCAGGAATCTTAATGGTTACAAATTGGGAGGAAAATTATGGAGGGAAGTCGTTAAAGTTAGTAACACCTTGTTTAGAAAGTCTTCGTTTGATAGTGACCAACTCAAAGATTTTACTGATTGGTATAGTGACTTCACTTTTTGAAAGTGTCATGTTTGTGTTTGTATTTCTATGGACACCTGTCTTGGATCCAGCAAAGCCACCTTTAGGGATTGTGTTTTCTTGCTTCATGGCTTGTGTTATGATTGGAGGGCTTTTGTTCGAGGCTGCCGTTGCACGAAAAGTTTCACCTGTGCGAGTCATAGCTGTTGCAATATTATTGGGCCTAGCATCAAATTTGACATCATCTTTTGGAAGCTCAAATCATCCAAGAAAAACATTCCTGGCATTTCTTCTGATGGAGTTTGGATGTGGATTATATTTCCCTGCAATGAACTGGGTTCGCCGGCGTGTCCTACCAGAGGCACACCATGCTGGCATCATCAATTGGTTCAGGGTACCGCTCAATGTTATTGCATCAATTGTCTTGTTGGTGTTGCATGATACACACAGTGGGGAAGGAATTACAGCCATTTTTGCTTTGTGTTCTGCGCTTATGACAGTAGCCGCAATATGTTCAATAAAATTGATGATGTCTCTCAAAGAAAGTGATTTAGTTTCTGATGCTCAAGGTAATGAAAGTCCAGTTGAAGAAAATTTAATTTAATTGCCACCAAAGGTGTTTTTATAACAAAATGGATTGGACATAAGACAATGCTTTGTAGTTAAATTTTGAAAATTAGCATCCAGCTACATGGTTTCATTTGTAACTGTAAATGTTGTGCTAATAAAAGACACCATGTCAAATGAATTGAACAAACCATTTTACATATCTAGTGATTGAAAATCATGTTTATGTTTAACCTATATATACAAATACAAGCAGATGTATGTTTTCTTCGCTGTGGTTGGGAGCAAACCAACCTATAAACAATAACCAATATTCTGATTCAGGGTTATGATCAGGGACAGACTTTCGGTTGCTCATATAGAAATGTCCATTGTGTCATCGTGTCAGTCCACATTTTCTAAATATAACTTCACAATATAACAGTCTTTAACAGATCATGTGCTTTCTTAAATTTTCCAAATTGTAATGACAGAGGACTTATTTACTTATGACTTTTCACAATATATTTCAATTGCCTGGGCAATGCTAGGTTGCCCACAGGGAGGGGGGGGGTAAGATTGGGAGCAATGTGTTTCTAATGTACAAAATGTACAATATTTGATACCCTCCATAGCAATGGTTTGAAAATTGAAATTTCAAGTTCTAAACATTTTGTGCATAATTAACAGCGCGCGCTTAGTACAAGGCCTGGGACTAGGCTGGGGATAGTGAAAATTTTTTCCAAGATGGCGCCGACAACGAGCACTGAGCAGAAGAAAACTGAGCAAAAAAATGAAGCAAAACAAGAAAAAAATGCCAAAAAGAAAGAAGAAGAGCCCGAATTGGTACATTATTTTATCGCATGATATTTTCCCCGGCGGTTTTCTATCCTAGGGTGTAATCGAAGACGGTTTGAAGTGGTGCTTTAAAGTACCAACACGTTAATTTTAATAGTTTTCTTTGTACTTTTAGTTTTTCTTCAAAGACTGCTGTGATTAAAATGTTTAAATTATACTTCATATTGGACGTTTGACACGAACCACGGCAGCAAGCATTTTGTTTTTTTGATGGTGTCATCTAAATCAATTTAAATTATATGATTTGTGGTGCTGAGAGACTTTAATAAGGAGCTCTACATTGAAATTGTTGCGACTTGCGACTAATTAATGTCAATTTTTTTATTCAGACAGAAGAAGATAAACAGCTACAAGAGGAATTGAATATGCTGGTGGAAAGACTCAAGGTTTGGTTTGAGTGGCCATGTGGCCATATATGTCCATATGACCATATCGGACATGACTAAGTTTATAATACCATACACTTTACATCAAATTGCCACTTATTTCTAATATATAAGCCCCGTTCAGCGACATATCTTAAAATACATACATTCTGCTATGGTAAAACAAAACTAACCAGGAAAATGGGGGCCAGTAACACCCTAAAACAGCATGCCATATTGGTCATAAATTTTTATCTATTGACATAGATGTATATAGCAACTTGAGTTCTAACATAGTGTTTGTGATAGCTTCAGTTTGGGTCACAAAATTGTTTTGAAACTCTTTCATTGAAGACAATCTCTTTTAGGAAAGCAATGTGAGTTTACACAAGCCAAGCCTAGAGCTGTTACGAACACAGATCAAAAGCAGCACAAGTTCAATGACTTCTGTTCCAAAGCCATTGAAGTTTTTACGTCCTCATTATGGTGTGATGAAAGAACTGTTTGAAAAATGGACAAATCGGGAAAATAAGGTACAAGAATTCTGAGTATTGGATTTACCTCAGAGTGTCTCTGTTGAGCCTGAATAACAAGTTGGAATGGCATTGGTATTGGCATTGTTGGAATGAAACTCTAAATAGGCTACCAGTGTGAATAAGAGTTAGCCAGACTCATTTCAATTCTCATTTTAGACTCTGCTGGCAGACATAATTTCTATTTTGGCAATGACAATCAGTGAAGATAGAGAATGTCTAAAATATCACATGATGGGTTCAAATGATGCATTAGAATCATGGGGACATGAATATGTCAGGTATATATTGTGTTTTATATAATAACGTAAAGAATTCAAGCAATTTCATTGGTCGAGAGCCATGATCTATAAGAGGACAGACGCACGGAATGACGTCACAGCAATTTTCTTTTTACCGGTTTAATTTTGGATTTTTTTCAGTTTTATTATATAAAACAAATAGATTACAATGAACCATTGTCTGTTCAGTTATAGATACACAGTATGACGCCATATGTGATAGGAACAAAAGAGTGACCACTCGCCCCGGCGGCTTGTGGCCACTTTTTTTGTTCTTATCACATATGACGTCATACCGTGTATCTATAACTGAACAGACAACGGTTCATTGTAATCTATTTGTTAAGTTTTCTATATATTTTTATCTCTTAAATTTTATCTCTCTTGCCTACTGCCTTTTCCCTCTCCTTTTTCATTCTTTTCCTGTGTAACCATTATTTCATTTCTTCTTCTAAATTTCCTAGGCATCTTTCAGAAGAAATCCATGTTGAATATTCTGCACGGACAACTTCTGGTGAATTAGTTGACAGTCTCTTTAAACTGGCTACAGAGATTGTCCCATACTTTATGGCTCACAATGCTGAGACAGACGCCTGTGATTTACTCATGGAGATAGACAGGCTGGACTATCTGTGTGATATTGTTGAAAGTACTACATATCAAAGAGTTTGTATCTATCTTACAAGGTGCATATACCAGCACTATTACAAGACATTAATTTTCACACTCAAAGGGTAGCAGATTGTTTTAATGGCTACTATTATGTAATCAAGGTTCTCATGCAATAGAGCCTGAAGTAGGAGAATTTATTTTTGAAAAAACAACCTGTGTAGTGCAAATAGATATATTGCATACCAAATGTCTAACTATTTGATTATGAATCATACTGTGAATTTTGTGTTCCAGTTGTGTGAGTTACGTTCCTGAACCAGATGACACAAAGTTATTAAAATGCTCGTTGGCAATCTATAAAAAGTTTGATCGTTATCCCGAGGCCATGAAAATTGCAATTCAACTGAACAACATTGACCTGATCAAAGATGTCTTCCTTTCTTGTACTGGAAGGTAATGTAATTTGCACCTGGATTCATAAGTGACAATTTTATCAACCTTTTATATATTGAACTCAATCTATTAACATTAGTTAGTTAAATTGTCATACACATTTTTCATCATAAATGTATCTAATATAATCTTTTTCAACCTTCTCCAACAAAGACCTTCAGGTCAAAACGTCAGTAATTCCCTTGCATATCATATGTGAGGCAGTGAATCGTTGTCTGCCTTGGTATTGTATTATACTTTCTAAATATGCTTATCATTTGCCACCCTCAGTTTTAAACATGTGTTTTCATGTAGTCCCGAGAACAAGCTCATGATGAAACAACTTGCATACATGTTGGCAAGGCAACAGATCTTCCTCGAATTGGAAGAGGATATGGAAGAAAATGAAGAACTGACTGAGATTTTATCCAACACCCATCTCAATAGTAACTTCCTTGCACTCGCAAGAGAGGTAGGATATCTCTACTGTGTCTATTATACTAGATATAAACCCCACCATTTCCAAATCAAAAATCTATTTTCACCTCATAATGGTGGAAAATTGTTTATGCATCTGTTTGTATCTAGCTTGACATTATGGAACCAAAGATTCCTGACGACATATACAAAACACAACTCGAAAGTCACCGTAAGTAATGTTCAGTTTGCATGGGCTCAAACATTTCAGACATTTTCATTTGCATTTCTGGCAAAAGGTTCTTCTTAGGAACCTTTGTGTTGCATGTATTTTATACAGGAAGTAAATTATAATTTAGGAGAATAAATGACTGAATGAACTAGAAGAATGTGAGTGTTATGAACTCTATAGCTACGTCAAATTATAGCAATTTTTATGTCCCTTTATAGGGTCTTCATTCGGCAATGTCGCGGTAGACTCAGCCCGCCAGAATCTTGCTTCCTCCTTCGTCAATGCTTTCCTAAACGCTGGCTTTGGTGCTGATAAACTGCTCACGGATGAGAAGTCGAAATGGATTTACAAAAACAAGGATATGGGTAAGCATGCATGGAAAATTAGCGATGGATCGCAAATGCTTGGTCAGTCATTGGAATACTTCGCCAGATTTTGTCCTGATTATATTTTATCGTTTCTGAAATGTTTCTCACTCCAGGTATAATGAGTACAACGGCATCTCTCGGTCTCATCCTACTCTGGGATGTCGACGGCGGCTTGACACAGATTGACAAATATCTTTACTCGGCGGAGGATTATATAAAAGCTGGAGCGTTGCTCGCATGTGGTATTGTAAACTCGGGAGTGCGCAATGAATGCGACCCTGCCTTGGCCTTGTTGTCCGATTATATCCTGCACTCAAATAATGTTATGCGCATCGGTGCTGTTGTTGGGTAAGAATTAGAGGATCGAGCCTCCTAATAAGGTCATGGGGGCTGTTCGCCTGAATCTAGTAACATAATCTTGTAACTAGTGACAACAATATGGCCGCCTGAAATTTTATTTGAAAACGTTTTAAAACTTGCTCAAAGAAGTTGAACTAAGAAAGCCGAACTTCTTGGCCGACATATGCTTAATAATGATAAAAATTTCAGTGAATATCGCAACATGTATAAACGGGTCTTAAATATATGTTGCTTCAAACAGCTAACTCTGGTTTTTCCTCATAGCCTCGGTCTTGCGTATGCTGGTTCTAACCGAGAGGACGTGTTGTCATTGCTATTTCCCGTCCTTTCTGACAAAAGCTCTACCATGGAAGTATGTATCTATGTCGCATTTGACTGGTTCATTATTCCTTAAAGCGTCCGTGATTGGTTGATCTGCAAGAGTTGCAGCATTTTGATTGGTTCATGTTTCATCTTGTGTCTTCTATTTAGATCATCGGTCAAACAGCTTTGGCTTGTGGTACAATAGCAGCAAGCACTTGCAACAGCGAAGTCAGTTCGTACTTGCTTCAGGCGTTGATGGATCGAACAGAAGTTCAAAGAAAGGACACTCATTGTCGATTCATTGCTTTGGGTATTGGACTAACTTATTTAGGTAATGATACTTATTTAGGTTCTCCCTATGATACCAGGTGATCCGGTAACAAGTACTAGAAGTAAATTTCTCTGTTTTGATTCACTTGAGTTGAGGTCGCTTATTTTTGTCCATGGAATGTATAGAGATTTATAGGGGAGGAGGGGGGGGGGTGAGTACTTAGATGCCAGTAGGGGTGGGGTGGTAATGGTGATTGAGTATGTTAATTACGATGAAAATTGTGACCGTGATTTTTGGGGCAATATTTGTAAAAGCGATAGTTGTTGCTATAGTGATTATAAAACTATATTATTTACTCCTAAATAAGGTAAACAAGAGGAGGCCGAAACAACGCTTGAAGCTCTAAAAGCTGTTCCAGATCCTCTGGGCAAATGGGCCTCTGTCTTGGTTGAAATATGTTCGTATGCTGGTATGTAATTCCGCTAATCGTTCTGTGTGATTGTCTTTAAAAGCGTGGGGAAATGAGTGAAATTGACCGATGTAATTTGATGTGGTTTGCTTGGCTCCGCATTAACTCTGTTGCAACTAACCGTAACTCGAAAGTTTAAAATTCCTTTCAGGGACTGGCAATGTGTTGAAAATTCAGAACCTACTTCACATCTGTAGCGAGCATTACGAGGAGAAAGAAACAGAGAAGAAGGAACCGAAGGAGTCGGACAGCCGAGAAAAAGATGCCAAGGGAAAGCCAAAGGAAGCTGCCGCCCCAAAAGAGACAAAAGCCGAGGAACCGAAGCCGAAGTTGGATGGAAGTCATCAGGGTGTGGCAGTATTGGGGATCTCGTTGATTGCTATGGGAGAAGAGATTGGGGCTCAAATGGCGCTGCGCACCTTTAGACATTTGGTGAGTTTGTGGTAGGGAGGGGGTTGATGATGATGTTGGAGGGGGGATGTGACTGATCGTGAAAAACAGTTGATCCTGCAGTGAAGGAGGTTGTTATTTGGTGAAGGAAGAGGTTGATAGCGACGAGGAAAATTGTTGTTTAGTGGTGCTGGAGGATGATAGTAGAGAGGAGAGGTAAAAGGCTGGAGGTGGAGAGAGAGATACGAGGTTAGAAGAGGTGCTGTAGTAGATAATAGAATGAAAGTTGTTTTGTCTCCTTTCATAGTGTCAAACCTGACAGCCCAGATCACCGAAGTGTTTAAACCTGAAATTAATATAAATTTTTCACGACCAATCTCACTTTACTCTTCAAGCTTCAATACGGTGAACCAGTGATACGACGCGCCGTGCCACTGGCACTGGCCATGCTCTCTGCATCAAACCCTCAACTCAGTATCATGGACATGCTCAGCAAGCTGTCTCATGACAACGATGCTGAGGTGGCACATAACTCGATATTCGCGATGGGAATCGTTGCTGCTGGTACCAATAATGCAAGGCTGGCTGGAATGCTGAGGCAGTTAGCTCAGTATTATAACAAAGATGCAAGCAATTTATTTATGGTCCGGTTAGCTCAGGTAAGATTTTAAATTTTCACCATGTTTGTAAACTGAAAACGTAAGTTCCTTAGAAAACACGTCACAAAACTTCAAGTGGTATCCAATGTCTATTCTAAGGTCGTTTTCACACACCCCCCCCCCCCCTTTTTTTGAATAGTTCAGGGTTGATTACACTCCACTGACAGACTAGACTTGCTCCAAGTCTCGCTCAAAATAGTTTTAGATTTTGACAGGTCTATCCAGGGTAATTTTGAGATCAGTGCCACGCACGTCAAGTCAACATAAGTTTATTTCTCTCGTTTCTTGTGTCTTTCAGGGTCTCGTTCATCTTGGGAAGGGTACATTGACCATAGGACCCTACCACTGTGACAGATCATTGATGTCACCAGTTTCAGTCGCTGGATTACTTTCTGTTTTAGTCGCTGGGCTTGACATGAAGAATAGTAAGCATTTCTTTTATATGGTAGTATTATCAGTTTTTAAAATACCAGAGGCCAGTTGTATAAAAGACTAGATAACGTTTAATTGTAGTTAAGGACAGAATTGGCCAATCAGAGTTGTGTGTTTCTGATGATGTGTACATCATAAACAAAGCATGGTTATATTGTTAACGTTTGTATATGAGCACGAAACATGCTTGCAACTTTACATAGGACCTGAATTAGACGATTTAACCAGCGTGGTTATCAATGTCAAAATATTTGACATTCATAACCAAAGGTTATGAGCACGAAACATGCTTGCAGCTTTACATAGGACTTGAATTAAATAAACCATTTAACCAGCGTGGTTATCCATGTCAAAATATTTGACATTCATAACCAAAGGTTATGGGCACGAAACATGCTTGCAACTTTACATAGGACAAGCATTTCACCATTAAAACAGCGTGGTTATCCATGTAAAAATATTTGACATTCATAACCAAAGGTTATGGGCACGAAACATGCTTGCAACTTTACATAGAACATGAATTAAACCATTTAACCAGCGTGGTTATCCATGTCAAAATATTTGACATTCATAACTAAAGGTTATGGGCACGAAACATGCTTGCAACTTTACATAGGACAAGCATTTGACCATTAAAACAGCGTTGTTATCCATGTCAAAATATTATAACACACCATATTTCAAAATGTTCTCTTTAGTGGTGGCCTTTCTTTTATAGATTAAGTACTATAAGTAGCCTCGACTTATCGTATTGATACTGGTCAGTTTTGTCGAGTCTAAACTGTTCCCTCTAGAAATCGCATTAGGGATAGAAAAAGGCAGAACCTGGAAATTTCTTGTGATGCCATGTAGTGTGTGTGAGATTAATGCATTCGGCAGCGGTAACACATCTCCCCGTGGAAACTAGAAATTGGAATAAAGCTATCTTAGTTATGTATAGGTTGAAGTCTTGTGCGTTAACTAGCAATTACCAGAGTAAGCAACAGTTAAAACAGCATCGATATTTTCTTTTTCAGCCATATTAAGTAAGAGTCATTACCTACTGTTCTACCTGGTGTCTGCCATGCAACCGAGGATGTTGGTAGCTTTTGACACCGACCTTCAACCAATGCAGGTCTCAGTCAGAGTCGGGCAGGTATGTATGATTATTATGACTAATGTGTTAGTCAGGCCTCCTTCTCGCCCGCACGCCTGTATAACTCACTTAACTATACAGAATCTGGAGTGATTACTCTACCGTTTTGTAGGCGGTTGATGTTGTCGGCCAGGCGGGAAAACCCAAGACGATCACAGGATTTCAGACGCACACAACACCTGTCTTGTTAGCTCACGGAGAACGGGCTGAGCTTGCGACTGAAGAATGTATCCTTTGAACGTGTACTGATCAATCTATTTTTTCAAGTAGCTCATATCACACCCCCAGTCCATATCCCATTCCTGTGTGGTTTTGTTGCAGCCTCGTAACCAAGCACCTCGTAGCAAATCATGAGGGCTCGCGTCTAGGTGCTATTGAGGAAATTCCCAGTGCAGAATATCTGTAGCATGTTTTCCCCTTAACCCTTGTTTTTAGATATTTCCCTCACACCATTCCTAGAAGGTTTTGCAATCATGAAGAAAAATCCCGATTACGATGCTGATGAAACCAGTTAAAACAAACACTCATCTGAATGACTAATACCGTGTACTGAAAAGTGAAGAATAACAATTCGCTGTTATTTTACAATCCAGGAAAGTTCTAAAGTTAAAAAACACCTTCAGTCTTTGCCACTGTAATGGTTAGACTGAACCTAATTAAGATATCTTACCTTTAACGATAACTGTCCTTATGCCCCCATTGTTTCATAGTATTGTTTCTATCGAGTTCGAGCCAGCCGCCCGCCCGAGTAGTTTCCTGGCAGAGGTAACTACCTTGCTATGTCGGTCAGTTTCTTAGAAACTTTCGTTGTGGCAAGGTTGGGGAATTCAGGAAGGCAACGCGACGGCGAGGGCCAAAAACAAACTCCTTGAAATAAATCAGTAAAATTTGTGATTTCGAAAAATTCTTCGCCGCTCCGAACGAGAATCAAGCTTGGAACTTTTCTCTATTATGAATTCCTTTCAAGCTTTTATTGAGATGAATAAACTGGTTTATTCATCTCATTGGTTTTTTTTCATTTGCTCAATGTAATGAATGTATTGTTTTCCCTCGTCGTAATTTTGCTGTCCTACCCGTTTATAAGCGTCCTATTTACCGGTTCAGAAATTGGCTTAAACCAAAAACACAAGTAGTGAACCATTAATTTTGACTGTGTGCACGCAATGCTTTTATCAAAATGATTTTTTGTCAAATATTATAGTCCTATTCAATCTTTTACGTCTGGAAAATTTGAATTCACTTTTCGTGACGAACGGCCACCGAATTCTTACGTCAAAAGTTCCTTTCCGAAACGTCGTAAGATCGCAGCCGAGGAGTTTCCAAACTACGCAAAACCACGTACGTTCACAAAGTGATCCGGTTTTGAGGTCTCGACGTTTTGTGGCATGGGAAGTGCTTGTTGTTTTCTTATACTTCTGTTTACACTAAGTAACCGCAACACCGCTGCTCACGAATGCCCACGGGCATTTTCGATCAATTGATTAAAATGAATTGAAGTTCCCCAGTGTTACAAATTAGTGACAAATGACAATATAAATCAAAGATTAGAATAATCGCGAATTTGACAACGTGGCAAATTGACAATCTAAATGAAATTGTCAAGCTTAAATTGTTGATTGTTTTTTTGATCGAATTGTAGCGTCGTGTTGATACCTACGGATGCTAAGATACCTTCTAAATTCATTGAACTATGTCTCAAATTTATGATGTGGTAAGTATTGAAGTGTATTTTAATACCACAGTGTCTTTTTGTATGAGGTGTTCTAGGTAGCTAGGATACGCTTCGACAGTTTTTTTTATTTAGAGGGACAAGATCAATGAAATACAAACCACCTATTGATTTATTCCCAAATTTGTTTATGAAAAGTTTATTTGACCGGTAAAATATCGTGTCCTACTAGACGTACTTCTGTAGTAGAATACAATTTCGGTGTAGTAGTTCTGATATTAACTAGTAATATTATGGTTATAAACTAATAATAACATGATATTCAAAAATTTATTCAAAATTTGACAATAAACCAATAGATTTTTGGGAAACATGTCAAAATTTTGTCGAACTGGCCTGACATTCCATAAAATAATTTCAATACTTAGATATAATGTGAAGTCTAATCATTGATTCTAATCCCACTGTAATGAACCCTCACTCTCCATCATATAGTCACTTGCATAATGTTGCGATTCTGTCCTATAAATGTGAAACTGCGATTCTTTCGTCTGGATTATATAAACATGTTGGTTTTGCTAGTCATGACATTACCATTAGCTTAGTCTTAAGAAGCAATGTTTGTTGTAAATGCTTTATTATCGTGACAGGTTTTGCTCATTCGAACCTCTGACATTGCACATCACAGCCTTCAACTATATATAGTATAACTATAGTATAATTGTAATGGAAAGTTAACCTCTTATATAGGGGCATTCTGAAGTGCTTAATTTAGCAGGATGTTGGATTTCCCTGACTTGGATTTCCCAGACCAAGTTCAGTTGGAATTTTTTCATATAATCGCACAAAATTTAAAATCAAATTATACAGCAGCTTCTGTGAAAATCAGTTTTGCTTATTATGTTATAGGACTATGGGAGGCCCACTGAAATTTGCCTTTCAGTTTTGCATAATTGCATGTTTCAGATTTTGATGCTCAGAGACCTTACATACACCTGAAAGCAGGATACAGTTTCGACTCCTGAATTTGCAGGGGGTGGCAAAACGCGCGCGCATTATATTATATCCTCAAACAAAAAGGAATTCAAGCACATAAGTCTATTGACAAGAAAAATGCTAATTAATCTTACTCATCTGATATTAATTACTTCCAATATAAAATTGCGTCAAACAATGTTAATTCTTAATTTGTGGTGCGCAAAGCTGTTCGCGGATATAGATCGCACTTCAGACCGCGTTGGGCACAATACATCAGAGCCCACGCACTCCCTGACAGCGAAAGCGCGCAGATCGAATGATATTGCTTCACCCACAAGCGCGAAGCCTTAAATTTGCGGTAAAAATCGCCGTTAAACAAACTGCTGATGCCTTCATACGACGCGAAGGAGTCGACCAGAGCTGTTTTTGAAATGGTAAGGACATCGTTTTGTAGAAACTGAGATTAAAGGTTATTTTTACGAGTAGGAATGATGGATGCTATATTTTGAGACGGCGAATTCATTTCGTAACGCCGAATCGGTTGACCTTCACATAGTGAATTCCGGCTAGTGTAATATTCAACATGTAATTTTCGTGTCTCGAGGGAGAAAACTGCTAGAAAATGTGTGTCTTGTTTTATTAGGTTTAGAGGGAAACAACTGAGCCAAATAACTTTTTTTCACAGGCAGAAATGAACGCCTAAGTTTATATCTTTGCCTTAGTTCATATAAACTCGGGCTAATTGGAACGGAAACAAGATATGAACATTCTTTGCATGTCTTTTAGGATTTTGTCAAGTCAACAAATGTGTCGTACCAGGCTCATCATGTTTCCAGGGACAAGCGCGGTCAAGTACTGGGTACGAAGGCTGGATTCCGTGGTTGTACCGTCTGGCTGACCGGTAAGACTGGAGATATCAAAAACTGGCGAATTGCCAATTTTGTATTCTAGGCATACAGTATTTTGCTAAAGTTGTTCATAAGCCATATGCTAAAGACTGGATACTGCGCATGACTGTATGAAAAGGGGAGACTATAACGGACCATTCTCACTAACTGAGTCCATTTTAGTTTTGGAGTGTTATTTAAAGAAATTACTGCTTTCCCTAAAATATTACTGCCATTGGCTGCCGGGACCTCGTTATCTCTCGTGGTTTTTGAAATGTTCTGAAATGGGTATTGTATTGTCGTCGTACCCATATAGGAAAATTTGTAGCTTTCGCATAAAGATTACTTGGGTAAGGGTAACTCGTAAGGCATCTTTCAATTATTAAGGTTGACGAGTATGAAATACATTTTTTGCAGTAAGTTCTTGGTTTCATTTGAGTGAGAGATTTCCCCACAGGATAATTAGGAATTATACACGGAAAAAAACTGACTTGATGGATAACTGTAGGCACTATATTCTGTTAAGAATATGTTCTCCACATTAGTCGTTTCACTTTCTTAAACTTAAATATCAAATCGGAAAAGGCGCGTTTCAATGCAGTCATTCACACATTTCAGACAAACGTCGATTTAACAATCTCTTCTAGTTTCATAGCTTATTCATAATTCAACAGTTAAACTTGTAGGCATGATTCAACCGCGATAGCATTTTGTTTTTTTTTCAATTATTGGAGAATGAGGAATATTTTCTGGACCGGTTGTATAAAGCTCGCATGGGATAGCGCTATCAACCGCAGCGGGTAGGGGGTATTTTTAATCCCCGTGAAGACGTTTGAAAAGCACTGAGATTACAAATGTTGTCCCGAAGTTAAAAAGGAAAACTGACTCCAAAATACTAAGGTTTATTCTAGCTTATACTAAACTACTGACAAAGTTTAGAGCGATGCGGGAAACACTACCTTGTTGAATAATGCAATCCAGTCTTCTGTCTCTTCGAAGCCCATGGCTGTAGCACAGTTAATAATAACTCAGCAGGTGAATGAAATTTCAATTTTAAGTCCAATTAATATGACACTGAATATATCAGATGCTCTCGGGAAGCAATATTTTTTTGCCCCATTTAAGTTGATTTAAAATCAAATTTAATAGGATATTAAATATTTATATGTCGCGGAAAAACATCAAGTGTATTAGTCATAATAATTTTGATGGTTTTTTCTAATTGGATAAGCAAATTAAATAAAAATTTGTTTTGGGATGGGCTAAGATAGGTTTATCCTTTTTTTAGTCCAGTAAATCTTCCATATGTTACTTTAGTATCCGTTCCTGCAAAGCAGGGGGGGGGAAGACGGGGAAAACAAGAGTTTATTATTACTGAAAGATTGTTATTCCAAGCTTAAATAAGCCCGCGCTGGTTCTATGGCGTTTTGGAGAACGAAAATAGAAAAATTCATTTAGTCCAGTAAATCTTCCATATGTTACTTTAGTATCCGTTGCTGCAAAGCAGGGGGGGGGGAAGACGGGGAAAACAAGAGTTTATTATTACTGAAAGATTGTTATTCAAAGCTTAAATAGGCCCGCGCTGGTTCTATGGCGTTTAGGAGAACGAAAATAGAAAAATTCATTTCGGTACAGTAAGGCTGGCAGTGAGTATAGGTGTCGGATGTTTTCTTAAATTGAATTCTCAACATCATATTCCCATGTCTTTAAAGCAACATCTTTGCTTAAGAAACATATTCAAAATGATAACCAAACTGTCAGGAAGAGTACTCCAATTCAAGTACCCGATGCATTATACGGTAAAAACGGTCAGACCGGTCCAGCTGAATTTCAGTACAGACAGATTACTGATATTTAATTTTAGAGAGTTTCAAGAACTCTTCATTCAAGTATGTCCTTATTCACATCTGTCTAGCATGGGAAAATCAGTTTCACCGCTTTATTTCTAAGAAACAATGTATTTCAATTCAAAATATGAATTTGACCATTTTGGACGCTTAAAGGCAAGCGCCCTTGGTATTGTATACTTATTGGAGTAGTTATGGGATTATTGTATACAGTTATTGTAATTGTACTTTGTACTTTAAGCAGGGGTAACAGTTCATTCGAAGTGCTTTTCAAAGCGTTTATTTAGGGTAATAGTTATTGCAAGAAATCATTGTTTATAATCACTGTCTACTTTTTGTTTAAAAGGTTTATCTGGTGCCGGAAAGACCTCGATCTCCATGGGTCTTGAAGACTACCTGTGCCGTCGCGGCATACCGACGTATACACTGGATGGAGATAACATGAGGACGGGACTGAACAAGAATCTCGGATTCTCGCCCGAGGATCGAGATGAAAATATCCGGAGAGTGGGAGAGGTTGCTAAGCTGTTCGCCGATTCCGGGATGGTCTGCCTGACCGCGTTTATTAGTCCTTACAAGCGAGTGAGTGAGCTTTCCCGCCTGTAGAACTCTCGAGTTTAACACACACTAGGTTTTTACAGTTAACAAAACAAGATTAGAGAATGGACATTTGCACCATATAGACTAACTTGAACTAGGCAAGAGGGTGCAACTACATAGAAAAATTTGCAAGCTTTGAAAGCCTGGCTATATACTTTTTAAATTTGTAATATTTGGTAACTAAACTTATGTTATTTTGGCAATGTTAATAGTCACTTCCTCTGTTTACACTTTTTCGCCAGGATAAGAAATTAGTCAGTTTATATATGCAAATTGTGTATTTTTGAAGGGACCCACATGAAAATATGGTTGCCAACTAACACTTCATACGATTATTTACATCATTTCTTTTCAGCTTCGAAATCGTGCTCGCCAAATTCACGAAGAGTCCAACCTCCCGTTTTTCGAGCTTTTCGTCGACACCCCACTGACAATTTGCGAGGAACGTGACGTCAAGGGATTGTATAAGAAAGCGCGCGCCGGTCAGATCAAAGGTGAATAGCACGTGACCTCGCATGACGAGAACAGTGGTAATAATTCCATGTATAGTAAATCCTAACTAAATACACGAAGTTAATCCTCGGGATTAGGTTAGGATCTCGGATTTACCGAACATGGAATTTTTACAGATTAGTTAGCTCAGATACATGCAGCTGGAGTGGAACTGTCAACTGTCCAACGCAGGACAGATATCGATACAGCATAATGTTCAGTGTTTTAAAGGATTGAATCTGCTAAAATCCAACTAAAGTTGAACAGCCATGACATTGAGTATTTTCAAAATAATTCACTAGGTTTTACTGGCATCGATGCACCATTCGAAGCTCCAGAAAATCCCGATCTTGTTTTGAAAGCCGGCGAAACTTCGGTGAATGAATGCGTGCAAAAAATCGTCGATTTGCTGACTGAGAAGGTACAGAATCAGCTCGAGAGTGCGATTATTAATTTGGCTTGATTCAAGATCTGTTTTAACGACTTGTTTTTACAGGAAATATTACCAAGCACTATTGTCAAAGAAGTACAAGAGCTCTTCGTTGCTCAAAACGAAGTTGAAATGAAAATGAAAGAGGCGAGAAAGCTGCCTGAAGTTAAACTGACAAAGGTTGGTGCAGCTTCCAGTTATCATTGTACTGTGAATAGCTGTAAGCTCTGGAAGGAAAAAAAGCTTTTAATAACTTACATTTATGAGACAAACGAGCATGTGACTGGTACAGAAGAACAGCTTCTAAAATTTCGACGTTTTTTATGTTTTTTTTAGCTCGATCGTCAGTGGATTCAGGTGCTGTCAGAAGGCTGGGCCACACCGCTCAAGGGTTTCATGAGGGAGGACGAGTACCTGCAATGTCTTCATTTTGGAGTGTTACTGAAGGGTAAAGTCACAATAATATGCACTTATTAATGTATGCTCCCGAGGGAAATAGTGAGTTTTGTTTTCCCAAGGGTCTGAATGTTTTCCGAGACGAAGTCGAGGGAAACATTAAGACTCGAGGGAAACAAAACTCACTATTTCCTGAGGTAGTGTACATTAAGTGTTTTGTCATAGAGGAACAAAAACATACATGTTACACAACAATTTCATTTAAAAAACCCACTTTACCATGTTATATGACAAGAAGCGGGCAACAATTTTTCACTTGTTTCCCTGGCGGGAAACATTGCATTTATTTGACTCAACCCAAATTACCGTATTTCAGGAGATGAGGTATCCAACCAGACTGTACCAATCGTATTACCTGTGACCACCGAGGATAAGGAGAGACTTGAAGGATCGCCTGCTCTGAGTCTCACATACAATGGCGAATCCATTGCAATCCTACGCGATCCAGAGTTCTACAAACATCGCAAAGATGAGAGAGCCTGCCGACAATGGGGTGTCTTTACCAAGAAACATCCGTACATCAAGGTAACAGCTAGATTCTTCGTTTCATCGTTAGTTAGATTCTTCAGGCAATTCTTATATTCTTCGACCATCGTTTTTTTGTTTACTTAGATGTGCTACGAGGCCGGGGATTGGTTAGTCGGCGGTGAGCTCGAAGTGTTTGAGCGAATCACATGGAAGGATGGTTTAGACGTTTACAGGAAAACACCAAATGAACTTAGGCGCGAATACAGAGAGAGAAATGCTGACGCGGTGTTTGCTTTCCAGTTGAGAAATCCAATTCACAATGGACACGCATTATTAATGAAAGTAAGTTGTGTCGTATCGATTGTGGGTCGAACAACCGGCCCCAGATCATGTATCCTTCGATTATGGTGTAATTCAGTGATACTTCCTGTAGGATACCCACAAGAAGCTGATTGACCGAGGTTATAAGAATCCAGTTTTACTTCTTCATCCTCTTGGAGGCTGGACCAAGCAGGATGACGTTCCACTTCCGGTTAGGATAAAACAACATCACGCGGTCTTGAATGACGGAGTGCTGGACCCTAAAAACACCGTGCTCGCCATATTCCCCTCGCCTATGATGTACGCAGGACCCACTGAGGTATGGGGTGGCATGGGATGGGGTGGCATGGGATGGGATATTCAAGATTTGATGATTTTGTTGTTTATTCAGGTACAATGGCACGCCAAAGCTCGTGAAGCAGCTGGCGTAGGTTTCTACATCGTGGGTCGTGATCCGGCCGGCATGCCCCACCCGGAGAAAAGTCCTAAAGAAGATCTTTACGAACCTACCCACGGTGCAAAGGTGGGTAATCTGGGCTTTTATTGGCCGGATATGCGCTATTTTTTTCCAGTAACTTGATTATTGCACTAAAAGAGAACCCGAATTTCTTTCTATTCAGGTTCTAGCGATGGCACCAGGTTTGACTAAATTGGAAATCGTCCCGTTCCGTGTCGCGGCGTACAACACGAAGAGAAAGTGCATGGCTTTCTTTGAGCCCGCGAACAAGGAGGATTACGATTTCATCTCCGGCACGCGCATGCGTGAACTCGCCAAACGGGGAGAAACCCCACCCGAAGGCTTTATGGCGCCAAAAGCTTGGAAGGTCCTCTCTGACTTTTATAAGTCACAAGGGAGAGGCGATGCATGAGGCCCCATCAAAGGAAGGAATCAATCCAATCAATCAATTCAATTATTTCTGGTGGGGAAGACATGATAATGCACATTGTCCTTTCCTTACTTTTTAAATTATTGTCTTTTAATGTAGAATTCAATTGAATCGAAATACATATTTTGAGAAAGAAATGCTAATGCACTCTTACCTACCCTCCCTCCGCGGTGGCCGGGGAAAGCGTGAGGTGATTTTGAGGTATTGAAATAAGTCTTCCTGAAATCAAACTTCAAACAAACCAACACATTCTACAGTCGAGTTGACACAGTGAACTCTAGAGTGACAACACCACTGCCAGAATCGTGTTATTTACTAATTTCAATATCTCAAAGTCGTTTCGCGCGCTGGTTTTTAAGGCCCGTTTCAGACGTCGAACTTTTCATCATTTCATCCGCCGAATCAAATGCAATGAGCTTAAACAAAGACTTTAGCTCATTAACATTAGGTTCGGCACATGAAAAGTTTTGACGTCTGAAACGGGCCTAACCCGTGTAGCCGGTATCATGTAATCGGGCGGCCAAAATGAAAACAACACAGCAATATAACAAGCAGTTACTCAGCATTTACTCATATACTATCTTATTAACACGAAACCTCTCCAATAAAATATACAAATTGGCATTATGCAACTTTAACTATAGTTTTAGTTATATTTTCTGTATTTTGCCATCTTGTCGAAAGATATTTCGACTTTCTCTATAAGGCAATATTTAAATGCATTTAGTCCATCCATGTGTGAAATTGTCTTCAAGGAAAGCAAGCTGACAGACGATACAATATTCCTACGTCTAGACTTTTATGTCTTTGTGCCATTCACAGCATTCTGGAAGATAATAAAAGTGAATTTATTATGAGCTTGGACTCTTGCATGTGTCCAATTCCCAGCGTTGAAACCGTGAACGACGTTTAAAACACGATTATTTCGTTACACCCAGCCATTATGACATAAAAAATATATTGTTGGAAAGATAAATAACTTCTCTTTCATCGTTGGATGCCACCATATTTTATGGTTTTAGTTTTACACTGGCGATTTCAGACAGCCGGGTTTCGCCAGTCTGAAATATGGATCGTAAATCACTGTCTGTACTTATTGTTTGACGGACAAAAAACGATTATAGACTATTGTTTACGAACAATGAAGATCTTGTAAAGAATTTAGAATATAAAAAGGTAAAGCTGCTCTTTGGGATTTGAAATTTTTTTCTATAATTTGAATATGCAAAATCAGTGCATGTGCGATCAAATCTTCACCAGTTTGATGGGTGAAGTTCTCGGGTAATCGCTTCGTGAATGCCGTAAAATTGACATTCTATTCAAGATTATTCGCGTTTAGAGCAGCGTTTATTCAGCGCAGTTACGCTGTTTTTATCTACAGTCTAAGCTATCTACAGCTTAAGATTGGAATGGAAAATCCTAATGTATTTGTATGAAAGTTTGAAGACATTTTTGGTTTTCAATATTTGGCTTTCATGCGTTCGTTCAAAGGTGTGGAAATTAGTTATTGATGAATTGAGACGGAGAATCCTCGGGAACAATTCAAGAAATGTTTTAAAGGTATGGAATTCGGCAGTTTGCAGTTTTGTAGGTTAATGTATGAGCATGAAGATTGAACTTCCTTGTATTATTCAAGCGCTCCAGGTACTCACCTTAGTCCTTATGAAATCTTTCTTTTACAAATATACATAAAGCGATGATTACACGGAAAGTCATTCCATTTGCCGTCTGGTTTTACCACGCCACAATCTTCGTTTTTCCGTTGTCCTCCGTTATTCGGATCCCCCCCTCCCCAGTTTTTGAAATTCACTTGGCTCCTGAAAAGTGTTTTGGGAGAACGTTTGTACTTGACTTTAAAACAATCGCCGCTATCAGAGGAGATCAGTCAGGCACAGGACGAACATATGAATAATATACACCCCTCCTCCTAGTCTTTTGGACCACCCTGGTTTCGGACGAACATAAAAAACATACACCCCCTTCCCAAGCCTATAGGGACGCCCTGGTCTTCACCCATCCTGCCCCCACCCTGCCCCCATTTCCCAACTTACTTATCGCTCCAGGCCCATTGTCCTTCCCTGGTTCTATCGTTGTAGCCCATCCACAGCTCGTAATATCTCGTCTCAGCCATCAGTTCATTCCTGACAAACCACTGTTCCTTTTTCGTTGCTATACTGAGCAAATCCGAATTCTTTTTTCTCTGGCAGTCTCTTCGAGCAGCGTCCCATGTCATACGTCGATATCTGATCAGGTAACAATATTCAGAGTTGTCCTCCTCCGACACGTAGTGCTTCCATCTTCCGGCACCGCATCCTGCCAGGGGAAAATTCAATTGTCAAGGTAAGATTTTCTTAAATTAATTAAACTGATGTCATTCATAGCTTTATCTTGCCGCCGTTGCATTTTGCGCAATATGACGTCACACATAGGGAATTTTAGATTCTTATGATAAGTGTGAAAGTGGTAGTCCAAGTAGACTCGCGCGAGAACGATACACGCGCGAACGATACACGCGCGAACGACACGAGAACGAAAACGGGATTTTAGAATGAATACCACTAAATCCTGGGTTGTCTATGAAGACCTGGGGCCGGTTGTATAAAACTTTTCAACTCTTACCAACATTTCGTTGTTTCGTCCTGTACTCCGCCCTGAAACCTTTAAACTCTTTATTTCCGTCCGAACGGAACTTTATCCATAAACTGTTTGCGAAAGCCGTGATTTGTTCTAAGAACATTAACAAGACAAACACGGTCTGACGTGATTGTATGTAACCATTTGTTTGAAAGTATATCACGTATGTTTTATTACTGCAAAGTTTTCGGTCCTTTACCAAAACCTTTCGGTTCGTTTAGTTTACTGTTTTGCAGCAAAAAATATACGTGAATTACCTTCAAACTGAAAATTATACATTGTTGTTATTTACCATGCAAACTTTAATACGAGGATATTGGTGCAGTGTGGTTGATGGTAGTAGAAATCATGCGGCAGGGGCCCATCAGAATAAGGGGAGAGGGGGCATCACCTCACGGTTCTAATATAGTTTCACTTACTTGGCAAAGTTTTCCCACAAAACGTCCCGAGCAACTTTGATCTCGAAGTGGCACCATCTCTTACTTGAACGTAATCATAACCGCATGTCGCGTGGTTCTCCACATCGAAAGACACAAAACGCAACTTGAGTAACTTATGAACGGGAACTTTGATTATCCAAGTACATTCCTTCCGAGCTGGATAATTTTTGGGAAAATTTGGCGAGCTAATGTTGCCTCTCGACGCTCTCAAAATTCCCCCGCACTCTAAAAAAGAAAAAAGGCTTTCATTCAATCGATTTTACAGCACGGAATAGACTAGTTATCATTGAAATAGAAATCCACTTTTCATTACAATATCTTTCCACTACAATACCAATAACTGTAATAAACTATACTTCATATGTACCCGACTTATATTTCCTAAGACTAAGCATAATTAGGGCTGGTGTGACAAATGTTAAAGACAGGCACAAGATTTGAGTCCCCGGCTGGGGTAATATGGAATCCCTCTCTGTGGTTCTGGAGATAGCAATGGTGTTAGTTCCGAATGATAATCAATAAGGTGTTGATGATATAATTATCCGGATGATGATGGTTTGATGATGATCAGTAGTCGTGATTACCTCGGCCTTGTTCAAGCTACGCTGAATAGTTCCCTGTTTTTTGTGAGTGTTGACTTATCCACCGTAAAAGAGTGTATTTAGTTTTGACTTATCCACCGTTTAAGCTAAACGGGCTTGATACAACAGGTCACAGAGCGTAAAATAAACTTCCAAACCTCGTAGCGAGGGTTTTATAATTGAAGTTAAAGTTTTCGCGTTTAGTTACTATCTAAGGCATTAACATTTCATCATGTTTTTTGCAATCCTATCATTGGATTTTTGAAAACTGGTCAAGTGAGATGTGTATATAGCCTGTATTCCTTGAGATAGTGGCTATTTTGATGATGAATATAATGTTGATAAACATTATGGAATGGGGGGAGGGGGTGAGTCCGTGAGTGGAACAGAATCGAACATCCGGTCATTCAACCGTTTTTACCTTCCACAGTCTTCCTAGTGGGAGCTCTCGTTGGAACCGCAATGGCCATCCATGACACGTGGAAGCTTGGCCGAGTGAAAATGTTCGCCGACCTTAGAGTGACGCGCATTTTATTCCCGGAACTGTAAATGTATCTTTGAGAAAAGGACCCACACAGGGAATTGATAAGAAGCGAGTTCTCATCTTGACCTTCACGTATGGTGACGTAATCAGCGCCTCGTAAGCAATTCGGCCTGCCCCCTACAAAATAAAACAAAACCCAAGAAAATTAAGGTTGGAGCTTTTTCTAATGGATTAACTCATCCATAGGCTTAATCATAACCGAGGAAAGACTGGGATTGAAATCCAACACCGTCTCAAAATTAGGCGTTACAAATGCAATTAATGTCGACAAATTTTGTATATAATTATTTGCATTGATTCTTTCGGCTCAAAACGCTTATTTTTTCTGCGTGTTATACGAAATCTGCGAACTTCTCAGAACAATATCTTAAACATTTGACAATGTATCGCAATTTTCTAGTTTCCACCTGTGGTGTTGAATTTCTTTAAAAATTGAATCTGCTAGATCATATCTGCTAGATCATATCTGCTAGATCGAATTTGGCTAGAATAATTCCTGTTGCACGTCTGCACCATTGTTGAAACATAATTTGTTTTGTTTCAAAATAAAACATAATTTTAAAGTAGCTTAAAGACGATTAACAAAACTATTCTAACGTAATATTTCTACAGACCTCCCACAGTAAACGATCTGAAGTATAATCGGACTTTGTACCCAATCGGGACTTCTATCGTCCAGGAACACGTGAAAGATCCCTTTTTATTCTGCGGGGCACGAAATGAACCGGAATCCTCCGTATATTTCTGATAACACTCTGGAATGGAAAAAATAATTCAAAAAGATCTGTATGACGTACAAATTGACTAAATAATTAATGACAATTCTTATTTCGAGATCGTTGATGCGTAATTTTACGTTTTTTAAGATCTCGCATGTGTGATAAGGCGGGTTGACATTTGCGACTTTTCCTGTAATTATCTCCATTTGAAAGATGCCAACGAGCGAATAGTTGATTGCTCTGATATATAGGTGCATTTATCTGAACATCCGTAACCTACCCCTCCATCACATCTATCAAAAGGGGAAAGTCGCACATCTGCGAACAATAATCGTTCATTTATTTCTTTTTTTCCCCTTCACATATTAAGCGCCATCTTAGTTAAGTCCATTGCAAAGTTCATTACTGCATTCCAAGAGAACCAACTAAGATGGTGGTGGTTGAAAACCGCTTAGAGATTACATACACGTGTGATATAAATATATCTAACCTCTAGGACACTCCTGTTGGTTGCAATATTCTCTGATTTCTCGGGCACCGGAACAAGTTCGGCCGCCATTACTTGGGTATGGATTAGCACAACTTCTGTACCTCCTTCTGCGTCCGCGTCCACAAGATTTAGTACATGTTGTCCACGCTCCCCAGGTGGTCCACCCGCCATGAATGGCCTGAGGTCTTGTCGTGGCTGAAAGAACAAGAAATGCCAAAGTTCAGCATAATATTACATGATTTACATGTACTTTTCAAGATGTGTTTCTGGAAAGCGTGGAAACGACGAAGCGTTTGAAAAGTGTTAACCAGGTCATTTAACTGTACAGTTCTACACAAAGTTTTCATTTTCAGAGCAAACATCCAGAGAGACTTGAACTTACTAGAAACTGTCGGCTGGCCGCCGTTGAATTTATCTGCACACAAGTAGTTATCGTTCCATCCGTCTAATCCTCTCTTTGCCAGCCATTGTATGCATTCCAATCCATTGATTTGCCCTGAATGGGACCACCTGAATCTGTTAAGGAACGAAATTAATTATGCGTTAGGAAGTTGTGCAACATGCTATGAAGTTGTGCAAATATAAATTAGCAGGGTTGTGTGTATATGCTACATGGTGTATGGTATATCGTTTTAATATCGTATATGGTATTAATATGGTCTATGGTATAATTATGGTATTAATATGGTATATGGTATGGTATGGTATCGTTTGGTATGGTATGGTATGGTATGGCATTGCATGGCATTAAATTGTATGTATACTTACCGGTAAGGGGAACGCCTAGGAACGCACAAATAATTATTGTTCCATCCATGTTGTCTTGGTTCCCGTGGTTCGTTAATCAGGACGCATTTCATGTTCCTGATTGGTCCGTTGTCTGACCATTTCATATTGATATCCCGACGTCCCGAGCGGCTACAGAAATAGTAATTGGTCCACTGGAAGTAGTTCGCACGTTCATAGGTCCTGATGCAGGTGGAGCTCGAGGGTGTGTATGGATGGTAACGATACGTGAAATCTTCTGGCCATTTTGGAAGATCTAAAACCCCGAAGTTTTTAAGTCATTTACATCGCACTGACGATGATAGCATATCAGCAAACATCAAAATTAACCATCGTAGTATTCAACCTCCAAGTTAAATCATAACAAAAACACCTGGACCTAATGATATGGTCGGTGAAATTACTTAGATTAGTTCGTGACTAGTTCGGGGAAGTTCCTTTGTCCAAGTTATTCACTTAGGGGCTGTTTACATGAGCCCGGTTACCCGAGATTCAACGAAGCGTGAGATGATTTTGAGGTATTGAAATGAGCAGATAACATGATGCTGGCCGTCGTATAATCACCACAACAATAGCATGTGCTTGTTTGGTGTCATAAAGACTTATTTTAATACCTCAAAGTCATCTCACGCTTCGTTGAATCTCGGGTAACCGGGCTCATGTAAACAGCCCCTTAGACAAAGGAACAACGGGCTAAATTAGTGCTATGGGGGAAAAGATACATACCATTTTGTCAGGTCATTAGCTAATACCAAATGGGGACAAGGATATCTCCCTTCTAATGCATATTTTACTGCAAGCTATACGGTATCACTATTGGATATAACAGTTTCCTAACAAAGTAGCATTCAGAAACACCTGATTTAGCTCGTATGAAACTATTAAGCTTAAGGAGGGTGCCAGGGATGGTTTCTTCACTTCTCCTTTGTTCCAACTTCGTTATTTCGAGGGTTCGAGAGCTATAAGATATCACTCAACATCCCTCATGTGTGATAGCTTATCACATGAAATGTTTATCACCAAACCTGGCTTACTCGAGACTGTTGGAATCAGGGAAAGACCGCTAGCAATATCTGGTTTGACTGCGAGCAATATCTAGCAATATCCTACCATCGCATTCTTGACTGTTGCAATATCTGGTTTCATATGATTGTGAGCCGCAGCTGCGACCGCCATTCTTTGGGCGCGGGTTGGTACATTCTCTCTTTCGTTGTTGGAATCCAGTGCCACATTTCTTCGTGCATTGGTTCCACAAGGACCACGGCGACCAACGACCATGCACAACTAAACAGAAAACACGAACCTCGCTACACAACGCGCCTTCCGAGTGAAACATTGGAATAGAATTAAATGGAAGGGAATGGAACGGAAAGGAAGAGAGAGGAAGGGAAAGGAATGGAATGGGGTGAAATGGGATAAGAAAACTTTATTTAAAAACGGCAGCCTCTTCAGCCCGAATCGTGGGAGTCCAGTATCTCAATGGATGATTCACTCATTTAAAGTTTTATTCGTTTGAATGTTCACAACGAAGTCTTTCTACACGGTTTTATCTCAAAATAATATAAACCCATTTCAACCCTTAAAAAGCCTCTCTGTCAAGGGAAAATTTCGAATTTTTTACGTGTATGCGAACAAATAAAAGGATAACTTGTGCAGAGAAACTCGTCTGTGCAGAGATTAACACCACGCTATTGTAGCTGCCCTTTATGTTTGGGAATGTTAACCTTTTATGCGAGTGTCCATGCTTACCTTGTTCATCAGACTTATTAGCACACAAATATTTATTTCTCCCCCAGCGTCTATCCCTAGTGTATCTCCATTGCATACATGGATAGCCTGAGAGAGGCCCATTTGTGGACCATATAAATTTATAGGACTTCTTCGGTACACATAGGTAGTTATCGTTCCATCCAAGGTAATAATGTTTCGCTTCGCTGTAGATACGAGTACACGTCATTCGAGGTATAGCTCCTTTGTTGGACCATCTAATATTTACTAGTCTCCTGTCCGACTTGACGCAAAGGTAGACACGTCGCCAGTAGCGGTCGTGTGGCTCATACAACCACGTGCATTTGTGACCCGATAGTCTCGAAAATGAGAACACGAAATCTTTTGGGAAACTCGGATATAGATTGTTTTTATCTGTTGGGAAAAGAGTGGATTTCGTTTAGTGACGTCCGCAAGGGACAGAAAGGGGAGAATAGTTGGCGAAAAGTGTCATGGTCATGAAGAAAGGAGGAGACTGAGTGGGGTGGAAGAGGAAAATATGGGGTGGGTTAGGAAGTGAGGAGCAAGAGGATAAATTGAAATGAAGAGGGTGGAGTGGATATGGGTGAGGGAGAAGTGTGGAGAGGAAATTTAAGAGTATAAGAGGGGAAATAACCAGTGATGAAGGGGAAATGGGTGTGGGTAAAGTGGGGGGGGGGTGGCGTGGGGTGAGAGAAGGGAGAAAAGTTAGAGGGAAAGAAGGTAGAGTTTAGGGGTGTGTTCGAGACAGGAGGGTGGGTTAGATAAAGAATTAAAAAGGTGGAAAAGAAAGGAAAACAGGTGGGAAGAGAGGAGGAGGTGACGATGGATGAACCTTTGCTGCGTCTTACGTGATCGATAGATAACTCCTATAAATTATTGTGATTTCAAAATATCGCTAAAGACACGAGACTTGTTGTCGAATTGCAGATCTCTACAGTATAATGTATATCATTACCTGGACATTTGTATAACCTGTTCGCCTGTAAAATGTCGAGGGAGCTGAGATGATTATTTCCAAAATTCCTCGTTTTTCCATCTCTCGATACAATCGTATCGTCTCTCCTGTTCTTACTGAATGCGTTTCGTGCGTAATGCATAATCGACTTGTAATCGTACGGCACTCCAAGGCTGTTAATCTTATGGGTGCTGTATTTGCGGAACGCAAAATAAAGTTCTAAAAAAGATGATGAACAAGGATGCTCTCAATCCGGCGACTGTGGGGGTGGACAATGCGATTAGTCAGCTGTCATATCTGAGGTCAGTTGTATAAGACCTTTGACCTTTGACTACATTTTAAGTAGTTAAATCGTACGTAGTTTACTCCAAAACACACGAATCTGATCAACAATTCGGTCATCCCTTTATAAAAGCAGTCCGGGCCACTCAAATTTGATATCGTTAGTGTGGTAAGACCTCGACTTACTATCGATAATATTCTCTCTAATGATTTTGACATAGCGGTCCCGATCAGGGCGGTTTTGTTCGTGCCAGAAACCCACAACATGGCCGAGTTCATGAAGTACAACGCTGTGGTGTGCGCAGCCGGTACCAAGCGAGACAGTCTGCCGTCCACCTACCATACCAACATCAGAATTGCATCTAAAAATTTCCAACAAGATTTAAGACAGGTTGAAGAGATGCGCTACTCCATATCTATAAAATCGCATCTTGCATCTGCCCTGCGGCCGGTTGCGGACTAAATCTATGGGGGACGTGCTTGCTCGGGGATGCATGGACCAACTATGGGGAGAGGGGTAGGTCAGCCACCGGGCAATAGGGTAGGGTAAAAGCACTAGCTAGTTGAAAGGAATCTTAGTATGTATTTTGTTCAAACTTCTTTCGGTAAACTTTTAATGTTTATTATACACCCTCTCAACCCCCCTGATTCAATGTCGTGATTGTATCGTGGCAAATGACTAACAATTAAGTGTTTGTAGTATTGATCGGGGGGGGGGGATAAGTGACCAAACATTTTTGTGATTGCGACTTCACGATTTCAAAGGGATTGGCTCAACGCATGCTATACCAGGATTGATTTCATTCCGTACCCATTTCCAATATGAAAAAGGACGTAATTGCTATCGTGTGATTTTCTTCGACGAAACATTATGCATGTCTTGGCTTCCCACTCACTCATCGCCCCTTTAATCAGCTTCTGAAACCATATTTGATTTCCTAAAAACATCAAAGAACTCGTATTTCACCAGAAGGCACTCGAAGACATTACAAAACCACCTTGTTTGCTAGACACATATGTTTTTCCATTCTTTTTAGCCTGCTTCTAAAGCCAACACCGAGCTTGGAAATTGGTGGAACAAATTTGAAATTTATTTCAAGGTACTTGTTGGCCTGAGAAACTATACTACGCTTTTATAAGTGCAATTCGTACCTTTCACTTCACTATATCTGCTTTTTTATTTAATTATTGCGCCGATTAACGCCCTGGTTGACTAGCCGTGAACATTGCCGCGAAAACGTATAATTTAAACTTCTTCTTCAAACTTATAATTGTTTTGCTCGCGTAAAAATGTCGAAATAGTTCATCTCAACACGGTCTTTTCTAGCAATCCTATCGTGACCCCTTTAAAAAAATCTTCAACCATCTCAAAAAGATGACGGCCGCCCTAATTCTATGCTAAGCCTTTTCAAATATGACCCTGTTTTCGACGGACAGATATTTTTACATGGTTTTTTTAATCCAACTTTTAGCGATAGAATTACATGCTGTTCTTTGCAAAACATGCAATATGCGTCTCATGAAAATGATACAAACGTTTAAAACTTTTTTTGTAACAAAAAACATAGGGAAATATTTGATTCCATTTCGGAGAGACAAAGCAACGCTGTATAAGTTATAAAAAGCTAGTTACGCACACAGTAGATATGGTTTTAAAATTAGGATGAGGAGTTCGGAGTTTTTAGCATTCGAAATGCGAAAAAGTTGATTTGGTAAAACGGGAAAAGGAGTTCTAAAAAATAGTTTGTTGCACTTACTGATGGAATTTCCAAACACATATGGAATGACTCCGCCTGGCCATAAGGCAGATCGGTCTCTTATGGGTGCATCATGTTGGTCATCAGAAGCGTCAGATTGTGCCACTGGAAACCTCATGTCGAATTCGTGAACCTCGAGCTTGTCCCTGGCTAAAGAAAAATTGCTTTATGTATAAAAGTGGTCTTTCAGTCACTCTTATTTGATTAGAAAACGAGGCAAATTCATCGAAGGAAGGGCATGCATGATTTGCCATGGTAAAAACAGATGAAAAAATTTCACCGGCTCTAGCAATTCGTTCGTGGGAACGCTGCCTTAAGGCTGCTTAACGCTGTCTTAAGGCTGAGAATAAATACATCAGCCAAGAAGCATTCCTTTCTAACCGGGATTTGTCCCGAGGTTGGCAAATAAAGAGGGATATCACATGTCGAAGATGCAATGGGAACGATATCGTTTTCATGTGTTTTTTTTTCATTTGTGTTTCACGTGGAGTATTTTCAGTCGACGACAGACGTCGGATCTCATTCAATATATTGCGTGTGAAAAGAGCGTCGGAACGAGCGACACCAGTGCAGTGCGCATACGACCATTCAAATGAGGGAGGGGAGATCGCGTTCGTCAATGCGTTCTGTCCCTAGAGAAATTACCGCTGGAGAGGAATTGAACTGAGAGAATTCAAACAATTGCACACCCCTGATCCAATATCTTCAGACGGCAGAAGGAAAACCCATTAATCGGGCGGCGGCAGGATGCGGGCCTCCCGTCGTCGCCCACAACCCCCCCTGCAGGCTGTCGCGCGCAAGACAGCTACGGAAGCATGTTACGTTTACATTAACAACATTTTTGCTTTCACTAAATGCAATAAAACATCTCTCGATCGTTTGATTTGCATAACGCGCGTCACTATGAAAATAATTGGATGAAATCGCGAGTCTAAAATAACATTATGTCGTGGGAACGTATGATGGGGTGAACAGAAATTTTGAATGACACCTGCTGGTCTGCTTTGCCAGTTTGGTATACTGGATGGCTATGAACTGTTCTCTTTCGATATGTATTCCTCCTCCTATACATGTTATGTGTTCTAATCACGCTATTTGAAAATATCCGAAAATATTTAAGAAAAAAGGACATTTCGTTAACAAAGACACATTTCTTGTTTACAAACACGAAAAATATCTAAAACACGCGTAATAGAACTAATGTTTTTCGCTTATAACTTTCAAAAGAGCGAGGGTAGAACGCGTGTTTTATTACGCCGGGTAATTCTATCTGTTCTTAACTACAGCATATATTGAATAACCTACACAGACTGTTTGCGAAGGCACACGACCCCTGCAATTACCGATAGACTAATGTCCAACGACAGCGAGCCATCATCAGGTTAAGTGATTAATTAGAAAAATTCATTCTTACATTGACGTCAATTAGAAGCTGCAAAACGTGAGGTTCTCGAAATTAAATCTTTGAAGTTAACCCAGGCGTTGTTTCTCATTACGATAATTCGATTTGTGTAAAAAAACAATCATAACCTTTGTGCATTTATCGGGGCGTTGGCCCACACCATGTTGATGCGTTTCTTTCACCTATATGACCCTGGTATTTGGTTTCCCGATAGGCAGAAATTATCTGATTTAAGCTCTTAGAGCTTCCATATTGCCTTGGATGGCACTCTCCGTTACGTTCTCCAAGTACTTCGATAATTCCATGACTAATGTGTCAATAATGAATAGTTCTCACAGTGGACCTCCAGGGGCTAATTGAAAATGAACCCATCCAGCATAAGTACGGCCAATTTTCGTGCAGTCTCGTTTTGTGTCGTTAAACTGCTCTCATAGGAGCTTGCTTTTATTTCATCGTGGGTTTTAACTTCCGTGCGCATCAATCAACAAACGTCCATATTTTATTCCTTGACATGCACAAAATGTTTCAACAAGTATTCCATAACTTGTTTTTTCTTCGCTAGCCTATCTAAACCCCTTTTCAGGTCAAAAAGTGCATAAGACCATGCACAACTTACGATCTATTTGCTAGATTTCGCTGACCAATTTTTACTTGAGTTGAAATGCCGAGCAATAGACCTTTCCTCTTTTAGCTTTCAAGCACACAATGCGTGATGGTATTTCGGATTACCAAAGTCAATTTGAGTTGTGATTTTGCTATTTTCAGGAGCGATTTAGTTTAACAAAGAAGCAAAAAGAATCGGCAAGGTTTTCTTACAAACAAAATCACTTCTAAGCAGAGCGATATCGCAACTCAAAGTTGCTTGATAATCAACTACTGTCACGCATTGCGTGCTTGAAAGCTAAAAGAGGAAAGGTCTATTGTTCGGCATTTCAACTCGAGTAAAATTGCTCAGCGAAATCTAGCAAATGGATCGTAAGTTGTACATGGTCTTATGCACTTTTTGACCTGAAAAGTCGACGATTAACCATCATTATAAAGGCTCCTTTTGCACTAAAGCAAATTCGTTTTTTATGGTATCTTCGTTTGCGTTTCGGGAACTACAGTTTGTGGCGAATAATTGTTTTGAGAGATTTGATGCCTTGTTTGGGCGCTCACGTAGATTTCTTCATGCACACGCAAGTTTTACTACCTAGAAAATTTTGACTCAACTTCCACGGCAGAAAGCTGTAGATACAACCGCCAAGCGTCTTTTTTCGAATAGCACAAATATTTCTTCTCCTTGAAATTCAATTCCACGGCGGTTCCTATTGTTAGCACGTGCTGCGGTTTTGTGGTTTCACAAAAATCGGTCGGATAACAGGGTATCGACGTGGATATTTGGATACTTCAGAGTATATGATCTACGACGCCGTCAGCTCGACAACAACGACACGGCCGGCTTCAAATAAGCCACTGGAATTCCATATGCTTCCCTAATTATCTGAAGTGCGTTTTAACCATAACACGACACACGAATCACCAAGGATCAGTGTGACAGCATCTTCGAATAACTTCTCATCAAATGAGGCGGAGAAACTGCCTAAAATAGGCAAAACATTTCTCGGCGTTTCGTGAAGATGGAAGCATCGAAAAGAGCTTTTTCTTATTTTAGACAGCGGCGTTCTATAACATTTGTTGAGAAATCCGGTAACGCTTCAACTGTGCGTAGCCTACAAAACTGTAATTTCTACCAGATTTTATCGTTTCATTGAAGCTATCGAACAGCTCACGTCCATCGCAGCTGCTTTTATATCGAGAAGCCGTAAAATGCCTCATTTGAATTTCGCAAGAATGGCCGCGCTTTTAGGGAAAATTTTAGACCACTAGTTATAAATTATTCGTACCTCAAGTCTCGCAAAAGGTGTTCTCATTGTAAATTTTTAATTGTAAATCGCAAATTTCCTATTTCTGCACCGGACAGGGCAGAAAACTAAACATCATCAATGGACGGAATAATAATCATTAACAGAGGCATCCAATAAATTGAGCCCTTAATTTTAAATTCACGATTATTGCTCCATAATGATGGCACATCATGAAAGATAAGATATCCGGTTAATCCTCCGCTATACAATTTCACTATCACAAACTCACCCCAGTACACTGTCTCAGTGTCTCAATAGTTCGTACTGATTGATGCTAACTCTTCGGGTATAAAATGGATTTTGGTTCAAGTGTGGATGGAGCAAATGAAAGAAATGATTAATGCAACAGATGAAAGCGACTTTACAGCTTCTCGCTTCGTCGAACTATGTCAGCAAAACTCCCTCCGTGGCTTCGCATGCTCCCCTTTATCTTTTAAAGTAATGTAAATATGCAAGCAGTAGTGACGCATGAAATGGTAATTAGTTCTTAGTTTGAGAGGGGAGCTTGATAACCATAAAATTCCTGCGCATTATTTTAGCGTCACGCAAATTCGAAATGATATCGAAATGATAACATAGCACGATTGCACGCAACAGAATTTGCTGCTGTTCAAAACTGAAACGCCGCATGCCAGCAGATTGATAAACTGCGCAATTTAGATTTACCATGTCAGTGTGGTCGATGCCGCCCCGAGGCTTCCAGAAAGTCCTGCCGCGCTCGCGAGAAATGATTATATATTTTGCATTTTGTGCGCGCTTGCTGCGCCAAGCAATTGAGTCATTATTGCGTATATTTTGTGGCGTACTCATGGGCACGCTTTGCAGACCGGATCTTCTTAAACCCTTCAAAAGTTTCCGGAGCCTCATAAAGAACCCTGCAAAGCGTGGATGGATCTCGTTCTTAGTACACTGTTTAAAACGTTTATAATGTACACCAAAAGTTAACCCTCTATGCTTGGAAATACGTGCTGGTTCTAAATGACTTCTGTTCGAGGTTCATTAAGGTGAAACTCTGGTACATGCCTTGAAACAGTTGCCCAGAGATAACAGCTTTAAACTGTTCTGTCCGGAGGCTTGGTGATTTCAATACCACGGGTAGGATATAAATAGAGTTGTCGCCGTATTCATGAAGCAGCATTCATTTGAGCCTGTGTGATACCCAGGATAAACTTAACAGGGGTAACCGGACTGACCGCAGACAGATCGGCAGAGTTGTAGTAGAACGCATGCTTGTAATCTCCCTGTTCAACAGCGGGAAATTATTTTGGAAGGAAATTTATCACAGTTGGTTTAAAATTTAAATTTTTCGGCATGTCTAATGGCGATATATAATATGTCAATTTCTATTTTGAACATGGCCATGGGGATGATGTTTTTTAACCTTATGCGGCTTAATAGTTATCGCTAGCCACAAATTTATCATTTTTTGGCGGCCCATAACGCGATCACTATACTCCTATACCTAGAATTTCTGATAGCTTCGCAAACGCATAACATAAACATTGTTTTTACGGCGTTCCACTGTCGCCTAAAAGTAAATTAGGTAATCAAAGTTCTAACTGTTTATATGCTCATTCTAAGTAATGGAGTAACTTCGAAAGTCTGTGTTCCACTTCAAAGGTTGTCCTTTTTATCAACAGATTTTCGTTATTTTATGAAATCTTGTGTACACGCCATCTGCGTTGCAGTAGGTATACGTGATTAGCGTATAGATTCTATGCAGGGTGTCCCAAAACGATCCGAAAGTTATTGAGATCGCCTATTTTTAGATTTGAACGCCTCACACTGCATGTTATAGGCGCAATTATGTAAAAAAATAGCTTGAATAATTGCATGTGTAGAAGTTGTTCAATTGCCTTTTATACGCTCCTGTTGATAAAGCGCAAAGCCTTTTTTTTTAAAATTCTGGCAAGGGTCGGAACTATTTCGATATATAGTGTTCGGCCGGTTTTTATCTTGTTTAATTCCCATAAAATAGTTTTCAAAATGGCTTTGTGGCCACAGATGCATTACAATCGGCAAAGGCGATTTAATAGTTTAGGGTTTAAGCAATAATACTAAAGCCTTTGATGGGGATATGTCATCGCTTATCTCAGTTCAAGGTTTCTGCTTTTCATTTCGCTTGCGAGCTAATTAACCGCAAGGAATATATTTTTAAACCTTCTTCTTCATTGCGAGAAGTGATCTTACGTTTATGATTATGAAACGATAATCCGAAGAAATACGATTGCGGTCTATAATAAGTCGCGCATATTTTTTTATCCTTAGCATTGTGATTTTGCGAGGGGGGATTTCAATTTTGAATAACGAATAAGCGTAATATTTCTCTGCTTTTTCGTGGTCTCATTAAAGCTCGTATTCTGCACAGTTTTTCAGGGGTAATTAGCAAGTGCAACTGTCATTTCCACGTACCAGTCACAAGAAAATTAATTAGTTAAATCACACTGCGGTTAAATTCATGCGTCTTATCTTTGTCCAAATCGTTACAATGTATGCGTTTTCGGGAGATTAGGCAACCTGTCTGTCTGGCGTTCATGTCAGCTGTGACAGGGGAAGGCGGTTATGCACGATCCCCATTGCCGTAGAAATAAATGGTTCGTCCCTCCAATAAGGAAAAATGAGAAGCAACTAGTTATAATTGTATTGATATGCACTCAGTTTTACGTCCATAACTCTGTAGTTTGAAGAAATTTCTTCGTAGAGGTCGAGTCGGCGATTTCAGGCGTGATAAAACGCGGTATTTAGAAACAAAATATATAAGGGAACCATCCTATAGCTAGCTACCTTTATTCGTCAGGGCTCGCCCGTCCTCGATTGCGAGGAAGAGATATTACGCGAGGAAGAAGCGCGTCGCGCGGTAGTCACTGATCATACGTGTGGTAGTGTTGTTTTATCTTAAAATACGTGTACAATAACAAGTACGTATAAACAAATACAATGCTGTGGGTGATTCTGGTGCTTCCAGAATCTGCTCCGCGTTAATCTTAACAGGAATTTGCATGGGCTTAGGCGCGTTTCCAAACTACGGCTTTCTTGCAATTTAAACAATGCATGAAACACCGCTGCAACGCGTTATAAATTCCAAGCAAGTAATACGTAATTTCGAATTTTATCGTGAGCAAAAAATGAGGGCTAGTATCAATTCGCTTGGTAACCTGCTTTGATAAACAAAGAAGTAGGTTTTCGCTGACTTCATCGTCGGTTTTCTCTTGGTAAGGGAAGGAAGTGTTACCTAGGTTGAGCCAGCCACCTGCATTTGCGAACAGACCGCTTGATGTTTAAGTTGATAAAAATCTATCCCAGAGTTTAAGCTGTTTTGTCAAAGACGCCAATTTCTCAATATAGATAGTCTGGAAATGTACGTCGTTTGGCGTATTGGTGACGTCTAATAGTTCCTCAGGATGATTTAAATATTGGCGCACACGTCGTTTGCGGTAGATCGTCATGCGTTTATAGCCTGCCAACATTTGCTTCTGAAAGGCGGAATAATATGGCATTGTATTGAAATGCATTTCCTTGTTTGCCAAGTGTTGACTTCTCAACTTCTCCTTATAGACAGCGGTCTGCTATTGAAGCAGTATTTTTACCCCGAGCAAAATAAAGTATTTTTTGCTCGTTGCCAAAATAGACTGCGTGTTTAAAGTTTCATCTTATAAGTTGCGTCGTTTTTATTATACTTTTTTACAAACCCTGCCATTACGATTTGTTTTGTAACTAAATTCGCTCTTAAATTCTAATGCTGACTAACTCTATGATAAAAAACCGATGTATTATCTGTTCACAATGTTTGTCAAAAACACAAAAAGTCATTACTGGCATTAGCTATATTAATTTAACTAATACGGTATTAAAAAAATTCAATCGTTTAATACCAGTAAACACGTATATGCTCGCATTCTGTATGCCCATTTGTTGCTGTTTCGTAGTTCAACCGATGTTATCTAAACCCTAAGCAATGCTTATCAGTTTTTCATTGACTTTTAAGAACGTTTACAAGAAGAAATATAAGAAACACCCGTGAACTTTGAGTAATAAATCATGGACCTCGAGCGTCCCAGCCCTAATTGAGCATGTTATGATATGCTGACTACAACACAGATCCCACTGCGTAAAAAAACATTGGAATTTTTAATATTATAAAAATTTTTGATCCCCTTTTAAGGACAGCGCATCCGTCAGCGATAAAACCGTGATATAGGGACATGCGACGAATGCTTAAAATGATGAGATTTCAGCTTTTCAAGAGAGAGCGTTACGGAACGTATTTTCACAGGACTTCCCCGCGGAGAGGAAGGTCGATACATGGCCGAGCGATTCGAATATTTAACGGGAGCGCGTCAAGGAATGTGCTGTCATTTTAGGCCGGTGCGAAAGTGTCTATAGCAACGCAGGAAATTCTAATGAGGTTCCTTTTCGGCTTCCTCTTTCCATGGAATGACAAAGACGATAACGCAATTTGTAGATCTATTAGGTTTCTGTCAATTCTGAGTGGATGCTCTTCGACGATCGCGCACGCAATGCTAACGAGCGCGTTTTCTCCCTACATATTTCAGTACATTCACGCGTCTTTCTCGTACAAATTTAAAAATAAAAATGGGCTCTTTTTTGTATGAAATGCGTCGAGCAGAAGCGCGCTTCATGCGACGATTGTGTATGGTCGCATTTTGCGCAAATCTCACTCAATTCCGGCGTTTATTTCATCCTCGCTGACCGCAAGCGCTAGGCTATAGGCCAAACATTCACGCGATAAGCGTTAATCGTGAACACATACAAAATAGTGCACTTCTTAAAGCATTACTGAATACCAGTTGGATAAATTAACTCACCAACTTCATCATTCGCCCTCATTATTATTTGAAAAGCGGTCATATTCTCAGTGCTGTTTCCTACCAACGTAGCATTTGGCGTAACATTGATTGTAGGCAGTTCTCCCTCGTAGAAAGTTGACGTCGCGGTAGTGTTCGGCTCTAGTCCTGCAGATGGTCTTTCAATGGCAATCGGCTCTAGTTCTGCAGTTGGTCTCTCAATGGCAATCGGCTCTTCTAGTTCTGGAGTTGGTTTCTCAATGGCATACGGCTCTGGCGTAGACTGTGCCCTCGCCACTGCCAGTAGAAATGTAAAAACGGCCCACGTTTTGGCGTCCATGACTGGACGATATGATGGTACGATCGTGCGGCTTGCTTTCGGTATTTCGAATGCGAGAACGATTGTCGGAACGAGAAACAGTATTCAGTATGTAATTATGCAAATAGAATGTTATTGTTGCAATATACGTCCTTTTATCTGCGGCTGGTGGTAATAAGTAGGCTGCGTTTAACCGGAAATGCGTCACAGGGAATCAATATCGCCACTCACAGGGGGTGCGGACGTATCCCAAGTGCCACGCGCTGTACAAGTGCGCTATTTCGTTACTGGGCAAAAGTGACCCCAAAGCCTAAATCCCCATCTAATCCCATTGCCTGTTTCGAGCGGTTACATAAATATAGCAAGATATTTCGTTGAAGAAACGATGATCGTGCTCAGTCTTGAATTGTATTCAAGTAACGTGGACACGCAGAATTGTATTTCGTTCGTGGTCAGAGTGAAAAACGCCAATATTCGTAGGAAAAACTGTTAAATACTTCGTATAATTAGTACATATAACGGCCTACGGAACATGCTAAACTAATCAGGTAAACTAATTTAACTAAGCATGGAATATGACTGATATTCGATAAAAGTTGCGTCGTTATTGAATGCCAGATTAACCGGTGCACTCGTGGACACTGAAACATGGGCTGTTTAATGTTCTCAATTATCCAAGATTAAGTTTAAGGTATTCAAATAGGCAAAAAATATGATAATCCGGTTTTGCTGTAGGACTTTGTGAGGTGGTCCATGGATCAATGCTATAGCTTATGGGTATGGCCATGGATTCCCAGCGTCTCGGAATGATGTGAATTCCCAAGCATTCTGTCGCATTTTCAACAAACGCAAATCGGAGACAATTGCCGACGATAAATACTGTGCCCTGATCTGGCCAACGGAAGTTGGAACAGCGAACAAGCGAAGAATGACATGCAAACACTTTGGTCGTCGAATAATTATGCACCACGAAATGAGTTTTTGCCAATTTTGGCTTATTTTCCTATGAGACATGGCCAACACTGAAACAATAATATACTACCCTACGGGTGCGGTCGGTAACCGCATAAGGTCCATGGGAAAATCTCAAGTGATCGTCTGTATATTTTCTGACGAATATCTTGTATATTGATTTTGTGTCTGAAAGAGCAAAATACAGTAAAGTCAGATGAGTTTGTTTCCCTTGATTGTCACAGCAATAACTATACAAGCTATCGCTTCTAAAGGTTTTGTTTCATGGTAATAATTATTGCCCTAGCCTAGACTAGGTATATATCAGTACTACTTCTCTGTAGGATAAGTTTAAAAACACATTAAAAATGTTTGAAAATGTTTGATAAAATAGGGCAAACTAGAATGGAATGAAACTAGAACTCTGGAATGAAATTCTGCTTGAAATAGGTGATGCAAATGCATTCAGTCACAGCTAGGGAGTTCACAATAAAAGAATCAAGAATGACAGCGGATGTATACATTTTCTAGAATGTTTGTGGTCGGAAATTCATTATTTCTATTAGATGGGAATTATTTGAAGGCAGACGTAAGACACGGGACGTTTTTTATTGTTTTATTACGTATACTGAATGTCAAATGTTTTTCTTGTCATCTTTTCTTCCATGGTTTCCGCTGAAAATGTACGAATCGCTTTCGTAACGGTGGTTTGGTCAGGAAGAAACCGAAGAACCGTTTGAATAAAAATAAAAAAAAGTAATAAGGTCTGAGCTGGAGTTTACTTCAAACAACGGGTAATTCACTTGAAAAAATGTAAGAGATAGTTCTATAGTAAATATGAATAGAAATTAAGAGTATACTGAGACTGATAAACCTGAATATACGCAATGTTAATATGAATTAGGTGAACAAGAAAGGCGAATGCAGCTATTGCCACTGGCAAATTTTCGACATCATAAATCATCATTAGACGCAATGATTTGAAGGATTCCTTTTTTGCACAACTCATAATCTGATTGCAAACTGTTCCTCCTATTCAGCCAAGATTTGAAGACATAAACGATGACAGTAGTTATTCACGCATTACTTAGCAAGGCCATGCATGCATTTGCATTTCCGCTGGCGAAACCAAAGGTAAATTCCGACTATACCAAACAATTATTCAGATGATTAGTAATTGGTTTTATGAAACAGAGATGAGAGCAATGACGATCAGTTTCTTTCTTGGGAAGATGTGTATCTCAGTATCTTTATAGTTCTCTCTTCAAGATTACCAAAACAAACTATTCTTCAAAATGAAAACCACCTAGTCGTTCAGCGACCATGCATAAGCCAAGGTTTGCTAGTTTACTATATGTTTATTATTACCTTGACTACAGAAAATGCGACTTACTTTTTTATCACCTCGTTCATACCTACTTGTTACTTTACAAAGTTAAATATGCGTTGAAATCATAATTCGACGGCATCGGCGCTCGTACAAAGAGACTTTATAGCCCGGATTATTGGAGAAAAAAAGAACTTTGTTAATACATTGGAAAAGTTTACTCAATTTTGAACTGTCCCGGTCGAAGGATTTTAGTTTCTTATTTGCACGAAGACTCGAAAAAGGTTATCGAAAGTAATCAAACAGTTGATGACTTGTTATCAGTTATCGATCATATCGTCCCGCAGAACAGTTATCTGACATAAGCTAAGTTATATATCTTAAATCTTAACGGAATTCCTATTATATTTTCTTATTGGTCGTGATATCAAGCATGCATGTATGTGGACTGATCACGCGAGGTATGCATCCATTTGAGAATGGTCACAGGGTCATTCCGGAAATGAAAAATGTCTGTGGTGGGTGGCTCGCTTTTCCCGTAGGTCGAGGAGGCGTGGGAGTAAGGTGTGGATAGATAATGGGATGGGTGATGGTTATTAGTGGATATAACTGTGGTGTAACGAGCTGGAAAGGCGATAGCATCTGATCTCCGCGCATGCGTGCATACCCGTTTGTTGAGTTCAAAATGTCAATAGAACACATATTTCTTTACAGACCCCTTTTGATGATGACAATCATCACGTATCCCGGAACACCCTATTGAAAGGTTGTAAAAATACAAAATACAAACGATCCTGATTGGTCAATCCCTTCATCGGCCGACCATATTTGGGGATTGAACTAGCTTTCGATACAACCAGTCATTGGAGTGTTTCCTAGCTTTGAATTCTAGTTTAACTATTTCACTTGATCGGGTACATAATGAAAGTACCCACACAGTTTTATTTGGAAATTTGTGTGTCTATGAGTATATATACACCCACGGTTGGTCGGTTTTGGTCTCCCCCCCGGAAAACTGATTGCACTGAATTAACTGGACTAGTATTTGAGTGTTGCTCCTTGATATTGTAATTACTGTAGTTCTACATTTGGAAATTAGTACCAAAACAGTGAGAGCCAACTAAGCTAATGTACAATTGAAGATTAAGTTATCAAAGCATTGCTTAAAATTGATTTAAATTGAAGTTTTGTTTTTAGGGGCGGCGCTACCCCTTTGTTGTTACGGGAGAGGGTTTAAGCAAAATTTTGCCCAGTAATTATGCGGTACTTTGGTTTGCCGACTTGAAACAGCCTTCGGTTACTCAATAGGGAGGTTTAGCAATGACTACGAGTACGACATCATGACTGATGAAGTGAGCTTTACTTATATGGTGAATACAAGATTCGTCATTCTCGCGGTTTGTTTTCAGTGCTTATGTCATCAGCCAAAACTCGTAGTCGAGATGATTGAGTACGAATTCGTTGTGAACGACTACGAGTTTCGTATTTTAAATGTTAAAATATTGACAATGAGGACACACTTGATAATAATTCTTTTTTTGCAAAGTGCTAATAAGCAAGAAATTTAGCCGATGGCATTAAGACGTTTCACATCCGATATAAAGGTCCTCGAGATTGCATTCACGTGCGCACACTTGATATATCACTTTGCTCTTAATGGTTAAAAAAAAACCAACTAAAACGTTTTGCGGACAAAAAGTAGACTACCTAGCCAACTTGCTGACGAATCTACAATCCACGTCCTACCCTCTAGCCCAGTCTCTGTTTAACGAGTTCTGAATAGTGGATTGTTAAGGTCTGTTCATGCGATCCAATTTGATTGGATCTAATATACTTTTGACGTATGGAATGTAGTGTGCTATTGACAAAGCAGTATACTGCGCTATCTAACGTTGGTTTTCTGGCCATATACTTTCAAGTCAAGACATCCATCATAAAAGTGAATTGGGTCCAACAAAATTGGGTTGTGTGGATGCACCTTTATTTGTCATTCGTTATTATGCCCTTGAAACCGATCAACGAGTGAAATGCTTCACGTCGACGGCAATATCACTTTACAAAGACATCCCATTGGCATTGGCCGTGTAATTGCCTACTCCACAGTGAATAATAGATTACTGCATGCTACGAGGCTTGACAAGCAATTTCACGAAATCACGCCAAAAATGGTAAGGTCAGTACGAGGATCCCGGGGAAAAAATATTTTCCGTGTTTATGACGTCTTTCTCACACATAACATCCTGAAAATGCTGTTATAATCTCCGTATGAACTATCTGCGCAATTCAGGATACCGACCAGCTTCGAATTATTTCAACGCATGTTAATATGAGAAAGTAACATGTTTAAATACGAGCGTAAATCACGAGATTTTAAAGTTAAACTTCCTTATTGGCAGTCAAGGTAACGGGATTGTACATATGTCTCACGTCTCTGAATTTTTTAAGTCTACCGTAATGCATGGTCACTGAAGGACAGTCTGTTTCTCAAATTACTCTAAAACAACAAACAACCTGAATTCATAGAATGTTTTTTAAACTTGGACTTTACTCTTAATTGGACGTGTTAACGATTTCGTGGTATGAGCCGAACATCCAATTTTCTCTCCTCTTTTTACGAATGTCGATTCAGTTCAAGGTCGTCCTAACGTCCTTTCAAAATTATCAAAAACTTTTTCCGCTCTTGATATGGAAACTGACTGCCTTTCAAGGAAACATGTTTTTGGTTGAGAGTCAAGCTATATTGTCTTTGGCAATCTTGCCGTGCAAAAGCAAATTTCCAAATTCGCGGATCAAAATAAGCAATTTATAATCCATTTTCCGGTTTTAAGTTTTTTGAAGGGCAAGCTTAATTGAATTAGCTCTATCAGACATTCTATGGTATAAAA